TGAGGTACTTGGTCTACAAGGTCGCTTGGGGACTTGTCTGCTGGGCTAAGTAGGCTTGTATGGAGGTCGTGAGGGATGGAGAGCGAGGAAGGGTTTTATAGGTGTACTCAACCTTTTTCGTCACAATTGAAACCATGGGAACTTGGAAGAGATTGGAGTGGGGGTAGAAGACGTACAATAGAACAAAGGTAAACAGAAATAGCATTCTTTGTTTGACGGCGGGACTCGGCTCCACGTTCCTTGCAAGGCGTTGGTGAAGTATCGACCACGTTCTTTGACCATCTTATCTTTGTGATGTTGGCACTAGGTTTTCAGCCGAGGCGAGATGTATCTTCAGCATGAGCAATGTGTTATGTGAGAGGAGCGTAATGGCTCTGGATATATCATAGAAGACGTAAGTCTTACCGTCGGCTTCTACATCTACTATACTCACCTTCTTTGTGTCTTTCCATCCTCATTCGCAAGAGAGAATGAGAAGATTATTTGGTAAAAGAAAAGCTAAAGTGAAGATCGGGCACAGGCACTTGCAGCAAGATACAGCCTCGTGGAATCCCAGCTTTGCCGAGCTAAAACTGCCTCGACATTGACACTCTTGATGCCATACCATTAATATATACATGATATAAATACACTATATACATCCAAACCACCACCTAATCATACTTCAAAACAAAAAGCAAACTCCCCAATGGTGCCCCCCGCTATAGAAACACTTGACACAAAATGAAGAAAAACAAACGAAAACAACCTACCCATCCTGCCTAAAGTCCTTCTGCACGCGGATCCCATGCAACGGCAAGAGATCGTCCTCCCCGGACGCCACGCTCGTCCGCCCGCGGATCTTGGTGACCGTCTGGCCCCGATCATGCTTCGGCCGCAGCGACACCTCCATCTTCAACGGAACGCTGTCGATCTCGGACAACTCGCCCTCGTCGGGGAGATGGTAGAACGAATGGCGGACGACGGGGCGGGAGGAGGACGTGCCCCCATCGACGCCGCCGCCGCCGCCGCCGCCACCCGTGGAAAGTGGGATATCGCCCGCGGCGAAGCGACTGCCCAGCTGGGTGGCCTCGGATTTGGAGGAGAGGTGGTTGGCGGAGTGGCCGGTGCTGCGGAAGATGGCGGGCATGACGGCTTGGATGCCCATCGTGCGGGCGGCGAGTTGCAGCGCGGGCCGGATGGTCGGCAGGCAGGCGGAGACGATGCCGGCCGACATCTCGATCGCGGTCCAGCCGACGGTCGGGGCCAGGGTGTAGGAGCTGTCGGCGGCGGTGTAGGAGAAGAGGACGCTGAAGCGGTAGGCCGAGGCGAAGACCACGCTGTTTTTTTTTGTGTGTGTCAGTTGGTGGGTCGTTTGTCCAAGGGCTGGGTAAGGAAGTGCTGTAGGGTGGACTTACAAGAACCCTAGGCCAAATGCGATGGTCAAGGCCACCTTTTCAGACAGGCGGAGCTGCAGCTTCCAGACTTGAGGTAGTGGGAGGAAGAGGATCACCAGGTCGGTGGCGATGGTCGAGGTGGCATTAGCGATCCAGGTGCCGACCTGGGAGATGCAGTGGCCGGGGAGACTCGGGTACCAGAGCTTCTGCACGGGGACGCAGATGAAGATGAACAGGAAGGTGATGCAGATGACCCAGCAGATCACAAAGGTGCCGATAATATAGGCCCAGCGTTTGAAGTAGGCAAAGCGGAAGATGCGGTAGTACATCAGCAGAATGCTGAGCTTGGTCCAGACCAGGTTGAAGACGTAGAGGATCTCGGCCACGACCAGGAACTTGGCGATCAGGATGACTTGTCCAGTCGGCAATTGGTCGGCGTGGATGCCCATGCCTTCGTGGATCATGGCATAGATGAAGCCGACCACGACGAAATTCCACCCCTAGATGGTGTGGTGTGTCAGTGTGATTCGAGAGAATCGAAGTGCAGTACACCGCAGAGTACATACCATGGAAAAGATGATCATCCAGTCATCCCACCAGAGTTTCTGCTTACGTTCCAGTCGAGAAACGATCCGCAGCACAACACACAGAAAGGCAAGCACCGTCACGGAGGTGGTGGTGGCGGTCGCCCACCGCTGTTCATCCATCGCCATGACCACTTATACCGGGGAAGAAAACGGCTGGCCAGGGAAAGCGAGACCTCGAATCAATTTCAGGTGGGCAGGCGATCGCTATTAATATGGGAGCCGTGCATGGACAAAACCTTTGGTGGAAGACCCACTGCCCGAAGCTGCCGACAAACGCTACATTTGGGGATGGGCTCAGGCGGATTTTACTCGTACTTTGGGGGGAGGGGGGAAGTTCTACGCCGCGTGGCCAACAATGAACTAGTGTAGCCTCGAACCGAACTTTGGGGAATGAAGAAAAAGCAAAGAGAAATAGAAAAAACGAGGTGCTTAGATTGATGGAGGCATGGAGCTGTCGTTCGCGTTCGCCGCCTGTCAGTGTCAAAAAATTTACATGTTCAGGTTCCACTCACTGTCCGTCCCAATTAGGGCTGGACCAGCGAGTCCGGCGGCCAAGGCTTGTTAACATTTATTCAACCTTTGGCCAAGGAAGCGCCGGCTCCAAGTAGTCGAAGCCACTAGAAAGACCCTAAGTCGAGGTCGCCCCATCCGATGTGTCAATCCTTTAGCAGTTTCGGGTTGTCCTGCCCACTTGGCACTGGTTGGCATGCAGTTCGTTCCTGAACTGTTCCAACTCTCTCCTGACACTAACTGTGTACTGTGTACTACCTACTCTTCGTAATCTATCTGCGCCCCTTCAGTAGTAGCCTAAGATCCATTTTTTCTTGTAGCTTCCCCTGCAGCCCGCTCAGGCACCGTAGCGAGTGACCATCTCACGGATCGCCGCGTTAACCTCCCGCGGATGCGTGGCATTCAGGTAATGGGCCCCTCCCTCCACCATCTGCAATTTAGCCTCCTGACTAGCGGAGAACCGCTGGATCTGTTCTGCGGGGACCGTGGTCTTGAAGGGGAAATCCTCCGTCCCCTGAGCCAACCGGTATACAACACATTAGCCATCCTGACGCTATTCCCATAGGTAGATTTATGCCGGAAGGGGGTTCACTCACCTGGAGCCAATACACGGGGCACCGCACATCCTTCAGGCGCAGAAGCAGCCCGTCCCGCGTCAACAGGCACATCAAGGCCATGCGCACCTTCTTGCGTCCCTCATCCCCCGTGTAGACCTGCTTCAGCGTCTGCACCCAGAAGTCGGTCGTCTCGGGCGTTCCCGACGCCCCGAAGCCGATCCCCGCGACCATCCCGCACCACACATCGTCGACCACAAAATCCGGGGTGGGAGTCTCGCTCGTCCATTTCTCCAGGAATGGGGTCAGCAGGGTGACGGGGTCCCAGCAGTCCTTGCTGCGGGAGTCGGCCGATTCGTAGTCCATCGAAGTACCTAAGGGCAGGATGCCAAGGATCTATCAATAGAAAACAAGAAGAAAGCACGTGAGATTAGTCAATGCGATTGTTGATTTCCCCCCCTTTTAAGTAGTCAAAGTGTGAGAACAAACCCTATCTGGTGCCAAAAGGGCCATGCGTGCTACAATCCATCCTCCCTGGCTGGTTCCCAGGGCAAAGGCCTTCTGGATGCCCAATTTTTCCATCACTTGAAGGGCCATGATGGCCGAGTCCCAGTAGGTGAAGTGTTCGGCGGCGGGCGCCAGACAGCGGGTGGCGCCATGGCCAAGTGGCTCGATGGCCAACAGGTTGGTGGTGTTGGTCAACTCGGCATCCTCGAACTGGGGGCGGTAGAGCGACGCGGTCATGCACATCGAGTTGATGAGCACGCAGGTCGGCTTGGAGGAGTCATAGGTGCTGTTGTTGGACAGGGCATAGCCGACTTCGATGCCACCCAAGTGGGGGACCTTGATGGTATGTTGAGCGGCCATGATTATCAGAAGGATGTTATTGATGGAATGATGCAATCTGTGGAAGGATGCAGATAAGAAAGGGAAAGGTAGAAAGAATGATGGCAGGAGATTTTCGACAAGAGCTAATGCGGAGGTTTCTTGGTTAATTAAAGTCTCCGCCTTATGTAGTCACTTCTTGATTATCTTAATGTAGGAGACTCTTCTCTCTTGTCTCTATCTCTCTCTCTCTCAACAAGAATTGCATACACACCCCCTTTTGATCCACAACCACGCCACGCAGGTTGCAAATCTGCGACACAATGCGAGGGCAACCAACCACTCTCACGGGCAGGGGGGGAAAAAAATAAATTCTCTGCGCTCGGAGTGTGTGCGGGCAAAAGGAGAACGAGGGAGGTCTGGATGGGGCACCTCACACGGTGATGACAGCCCTGACAAGAACGGGGACCGTCCGACCACGGAGTTGCTTCCCCAATCCGGGCGGCTGGCTCCACCAGGGCAACGGGTTCCTGACTCGACCAATGCGGAATCTTTCCTCTCGTGTCGTGGCAGGTCCTCGGATTTTTTTGCTTCTGGCGCAGTTCGCATTATCCGTAGCAACACACGCGTGCTAAAGGTACTATTTGTTTGACTTTCTTCGAGAGCATTCGGACGCCTGCCGAGGGGCACAATTCCCGTTCAAGTTTGTGGGAGAGGCATCATGGATCCATCTTGGATGGAACGAATCCGAGGACGGCACGAGCTACTCTCGTCCTAATTGGTCGGAACCACGAATAACGTTCTGACCGCGGTCGGGTTAGGTTGGGATTCCCCTCGTACGAAGTTTAGAGTTGATCCTTCAGAATCAGCCGGTGATGGTCATAAAATAATAAATTATTCACAAGGGCCGGCTATTGTCTCTTTCCGAAAAGGGAAGATGGGGAGAGAGGCCAAGTCAAACCTCATGACGTGGGAGGGAAGAACGAACCCAAGAGGGAATGATGGGCATGACGGCCATGGCCAGACGGGAGCAAAACATGGATCAGCCCCTGTCAGTGTCGGTGTGAATTAAGCTTATTAAATTTGATTAAAAATCCATGCGACCTCCTGGTCTCCATTTACCACATGGCAAGCAGGAAAGGGTTCCAAGCTTGCTGCAATAATAGGATATGATAAGTATCCTATTACTCCTTCGGCGAGTAATGCAGCGAAAGGCATCATAATTCTCATTATTCTTCTTTGTCTGTCATTACTGGCCGACTCTTTCCCCCACTAGCTCCGAAATTTGCCCGTGTATCCGGCTCGAGAACCATTTCCTTGTTGCCGAGGCAATTCAAATCTACAAGGACCCTTACAACACACACCAAAATTCAATATCTCTAGACAGCAAGTAAGTACAGCTGGCATATATCTCCAAGAGCCGAACGCCACAAAACAACTTTATTGCACGACATGGAATCATTTGAAACCCGCCTCGGCGCCAAGGGTGGCTGCACTCATACTTACTCAACGCGGACAATGCTCGGGAAATTATGCACTGCGTGTACTGCACATTTGGGAGCCAGTTTGATTTGCGCTGATCTAAATGACATGGCGCAACACCCGTCAGTCATACGGCGTCGAAACCCACTTCTTCCTTTCTAGAATGGTTTAGCGCTCTACCTTGCTCCTCGGCTCCGATAAACAATTCCTTCGTCTCTGATCCTGCATACACATTCCTGACTATCAGCAGGGCTATCGAAGGGCTAACGAAGTCAGGGGTAGCGGGAAAATTGCCGGTGGTGGCTCACGACTCACGAGCATCGTGCTCCCACGAACTGCTCTATTCCGCTCTCTTCGGTGGTTCCACCCCCCGTATGGCCTGTGAGCCCTTTCATGCAGGGCATTTCTTTTAGAACATTCTTGAGACTTGAAGAGAACAACGTTGTAGGGGGATTTACGTTGTTGCGACCAGCAACGGAGCATGGCATCTCTCTCTCTCTCTCTGGCCATACAGTTTCGCCGCCCAGTTGAAGCTCTGTGATCATCGATGACTCTACCAAGAAAACTCGTGGCCAATGAAGTCCATATGTTGCGTGTACATAATCGATTTAAAGATGCGACGAATAGGTAAACCACCAGGTGACTACCACCCAAGCGTTGTTCAAGGATCAATTTCCTTGTACAATATAATTGGCTCGTTGCGCTTGATGCAACTTTCGATTAAAGATCGTTAATGCATGAGCGACGCCACTTCCTGCTAGATTGGTACTGCATAAGCGCATAATGTCATGTCAATCTTGTATCAAACTGATATTTGGGAAGAAAAAGAAGCACCAAGAAAGACAGAAGAGAAACAAGTATATACTATTCTGGAACTATGGGCTTCCAAAAACCCTGCACTCTTGTGTATCAGGCGCTGATTCAGTCCGCGCACCAGAGACACTCTTTTCACCAAACGCCCCTAGCCTGAGAGGCCTGGTCTGATAAAAGCCTCGAGTCTTCAACTAATAGACAGGAACATGTGATATTCATGGTTTTATTTATAGCCTTGAACCATACGAGCGAAATTATGGTACACGGCTATTTTCATTTCTCGATCATGTTTCGCAAGTCAACAGCCTTCCAAAGAGCCGATTTACACGTGAACGGGTTTAGACATGGAAACAAACCCACCGTTCTGACAATACAAACATCTTCTTCTTCATCTTCATCGGCTCTGCTCTTCAACGTCAAACACCAACTTACACCCCCGAACCGTCTTCCCCTCCCGCAAAGCATGCAACCCCGGAATCACCCCGGGCAGGCCCCCTTCCCAAAACCACACGGGGTGCGGAACAATGGTCCTCTCATCCAACAGCCGTGTTGCCTCGCGGATCTAGTTGGGGCCGGGTCGCAGTAGTCGAAGACTTGGTCGGCGCCGCAACTCCGGACGAGGGACTCATGCTGGGGCAGTTAGCAGGTCGTGACCACCGTGTAGTCGGAGAGCTTGGCGAATTGGATCGCCACGATGCCGACCGCGGTCGAACCCCATATATGAGGATGTGTTGTGGTGGAGAGGTTGGTATGGGGGAGAAGATGGAGGAGAGGATGGAGGAAGAGCCAGCCGTAGGCTCTGATAAAGCGATTGCCCGATGGTGATTACGACGACACCCAGCGTGGCCGCATCCTGAAGACTGAGACGCGCCGGGATGACTGCTTGTAGGTCAGCCTAAATCAGGATGTACTCTCGAAGAGGGCCCATCGGAGGGCTGCTCCGGGTTGCAGCCGTGGACGAGGCCGAACACGGTAAAGATATCATCTTCGCATATTCAACAAGAAGCATCTAAAGGTGAGAGTAAAGCAAGATATCCCCAACATTCGAGTAAGGGATGTCAAAAGCACGGGCGACATAAGCATTACTTAACCATACAACACACCCGTGACCCGGCACCTGGCAGTCAGCACTAGATACTATAGGCGAAAGGATCAATCAGATTCGGGTCAGACAGTAGAGACAGAATGGTATCTACAATCATCCTGGATCTTTGTTTAAGGTCTTTGAGGTCCCCAAATCGAAATATTTCTGGTTTCAATTTACTACGCTCGAACTTTCCTCTTGCATATTCACACTCTCTGTGAGTCAGCTATGGAAGAACCCAAGCCGGGACTGGTGCGCAACCTCGCATTATTGCATCTTCAGAAGATACAACGGCACCCAAGGATGACCTTGATGCAGCCACACCCTACCTTCACGGGGATCGATTGCATGTAATGACTGCGACGTGAGTTTGACCTCCCCAAGTTTCTGCTATAATGCGGTGTACCTCGCTAACCTGGACTTTAAAGAATTTGCCTGTGTCTCTTCTGAAAGAATCTCGAGATTCCTATGGTGAAAGCCTCTCTTATCAGTATAGCGACTGAGTTGGGCGGACTGGACAAGATCTCCTGGATTACCACAGCATGGATGCTTGGATATGCCGGTAGGTAGCCACTCCCCAACTCTTTCTCGCAGCCTGTGGTGTCGCTCAGACGATGGAACAATTGTGAGTTCCGACATTAATCACTGGCAAGGTGCACAACATCCCGCTGCGGATACCAACCCTTGTCGATTATTCAAGTAAGGTCTCCCTTATTCTACTTAGTTCGCCGTCTCTGCCGCTGAACGACAATAACCAGTGTCCCCCGGGAGTTGTCGCCGCCCTATCTCTGATCATGCTTTTGATGTAACAACTTTCCCCATCATAATAAGCCAAACGCTAGTGTTGGCCTTTATTTTGCTAGGTCCTTGCAGAGAACCTATCCCAGAGTTGACATTCTCGGAGCTATCCTGCTCCTGGCCGCGACCCTTCTGCTGGTGACTGCTCATGATGAAGCCAACGAGCAATTCACCTGGCGATCGGCGCTTCACCATCACATTACTCATTGTCTCGGGTCTCTATGGGTAGTTTTCGTCGCTTGGGAGTGACGGGGAGCCGAGAGCATGTGTTCCCCTGGCGGGTTTTCCGGAATCGGGTGTGGTTCGCAATGCTCCTGTAAGTTGGTTTACAGTACACCCGCCAGTTTCTCTTCATACAAAAACACGGTACTAAAGACCAAACCTTCGGAACGGGAGGTCTACAGGAATGCGGTCTTCCTTGGGATAATCTGGCTCGTGACTATGTTCGAACTCCCGCAGCGGTTTGAGATGGTCAACCAACTCTCCCCTTTTCATGCTGCCATCCGGTTCATTCCCTTCACGGTTGCAGCCCCGGTCGGGTCAATTCTGGCCTCAACCGTGGCAAAAATGTTCAAGGTTCCCCTGCTGTATCTGCTTGGCATCAGCTCATTGAAGCAAGTGGTAGCCTACGTTCTCCTGGGAACGGTGTCCGGGCAACATGACATCTCAGCCCGTCAGTACGGCTACCAGGTCCTTGCTGGGCTTGCATGCGGGATCAACATACCGCTGTTGACATTGATGACGCCGTATGCTACGGGAAAAAGAGACCATGGTAAGTTAATTCTATATTTGATAAAACGTTGCTGCCTCGGGAAACTTTATCTTTTTTTTTCCCTAGCGGTCGCCATGGGAGGATTGCCCAGTTTCGAGTGACAGGCGGCTGCATCGGGCTAGCTATCATCACAACCATCCACAATAGCTATCTTCGCTCGCATTTGACCCAATCTCTGGGGGCAGATGTGACGGAGGCGGTACCAGAAATCAACTGGAGTCATCGCGATCCTGCCCACGGGAATACAAGATCTGATTAGCGGCACTTATGCTGCTAGCCATGACTTGCAGATGAAGGTGCCGGCGGGGCTTGCGGAGGGGCAGGTCTTGGCCACGATGGCTATGTGGCAGCGAAGCCCTAGTATAGTATACTTCTTGAGTTGTTTAATCCAAGCACTATATGTGCGAATTACACCAATCATATTACTGAAGTAGTAAATGCTTGGAGACCATCACGATAGGCTCCAGAGACAGCAGGTCATACTCTACCCAGGCCTGAGCGGGCCGGATTCCGAACCAACTCAGGCGATTAAGGCAAGACGACCAGATATGCAAGCTCCTCATGCACCCTTTCAAGTCTTTGTGGTCCTTGCAGTAGTGGTGCGACTTTTAGCAGCCTATACAAACGAACAATTGACTCAACAGCTCCAACCTAGAGTGAGGTTCCCGTCAATAACAACATCTGCTCTACCTAGCTTATCTTGTTACTAGTTTATTGCCTGTTCAGTCAACTCAGCGCTATCCATAGGAGAGTCGGGGTCGGTGAATACAAGTCATATCAACGAAGCCAGAGCCGAACAGTTGTGCCACCTTACACAAATCCCTATAAGTTTTGCACACTCCTTATCAGCTAAGTTGTATTTGTGCTTAACTACCGTTGCTTTGCTTGCTACTTCTCAGCTTACTTGTCTTCTACACAATTAGCTTCTAAGAGACGTGCGATATCACATATTCAAGATTATCCTTGGTAGTGAGAAACATGAACTGCTATTTTGGCAGCTATTGTTTTCACGGTATGCACCATGGGGAAAATCCCTGACCCCCGACCCCAAAATGATTCGAATGACCCGACAAACCTGTGGGGAGCCCGTAAATACCGTTCTGTTATCTAGTACCATGGGGTGTCGCTTGGACCCGACACCCCCCCGCGCAAGTCCGACGGAGTGCGAGAAAGGATTTTGTTGATGCCCCCACCAAAATGGCGGGGTGTCTTATCGCGCCCAATCCGAGACGAGACTATGAACATCTCAGAAGTCTTTACGTTAGGCCTACTGTAACCGAGCAGGGTCCTTATCAGCTAGTCCCCTCGGGTAGCGCCACTAAAAATGCTTAGCCGATGCTTAGCCTCGATACTGATGCTGTATGCCGCGTTGCGTCGGAGCTAGGCATTGGACGATAACTTAGCAATTAGCAGCGTATGGTTCGCTTATCAGCTGCAAATTAAATCCTTCCCCACTGGAGCACGAGCCGGTCGGCCGGTTCTGAAAGGGTGTGAGGGCCCCCGTGGTTCTTATAAGTTGGGAACTCCATCCGTCATGGGTGTTGGTGCAAGGACGCACATCTCGCATTCTTGCAACCATGGAGATCAAACAGGCAGGGCTCTCGATAGACGAGGGGCAGAGTGACAAGTATGAAGAGAAGTCGGGACACGATCGATCTTCGATGGAGCCCAGGATTCTCGAGAAGGGAGAAACGTTTCCTGCGGACGAGGATCAAGGCTTCGAGAGCGACCAGGTGGTGAGCACTGCGGCGGATCTAGTCACCCAGATCATCAAGGTCGAGGATGATCCCTCCCTCAACCCTTGGAGTTTCCGGATGGTTTTTCTGGGTATGTCTTTGCATTTCAAAGGGTCAGGCGGCGTCTATGACTAATCTCATACAGGAGCTGGATTGTCTATCTTTGGTGGTGTGCTGCAGGAGATCTTTTACTTCAAGCCGCAGACCATCTACGTTTCCCAGGTGTTCCTGACTGTCATTGCCTATATCTTGGGAGAAGCCATGGCGTATGCCATTCCCCGCCGTGGCATGATCGGACGTCTGTTGAACCCCGGGCCGTTCAATGCCAAAGAACACGCTGCTATTGCCCTTATGTCCTCAGCTGCCACTCAGTCTGCACTAGCCACTGAAGCACTTTCGGCCCAACAGCTTTTCTACGGTGGCTATCCCAACCATGCCGCCGCCATTTTCATCGTCCTCTCCTCCCAGCTGATCGGATTCGGGATTGCGGGCCTGTTGCGCGATGTGATCGTGCGCCCAGTCAAGATGATCTGGCCCATGACGTTGCCCATCACTACTCTTCTCGAGTCCATTCACAAGGACAAGCAAGAGGCGAAGGCCAAATTGAAGATCTTCTATATCTTCTTCGGGGCGCTCTTCGTCTGGACGATCATCCCCGAATACATCTTCCCGGTTTTAGAGGGTGTCTCCATCTTCTGCTTGGCCAGCCAGCACAATCTGGTATTCACCAATCTGTTTGGTGGTGCCTCTGGAAACGAAGGGCTGGGATTCCTCTCCCTTTGTTTTGACTGGAACTATATAGCCTCTCTCGGTTCGCCACTTTGGGTTCCGCTCTACTACTTGACCAACAACCTTATCGGCTACATTGGATGCATTGTACTCTTCATGGGTGTGTACTACGGTAACATCTGGCGCTCGCAGGACTTCCCGTTCCTGTCTCAGCTGCTTTACTATGGTGACTCAAACTCCACAAACTACAATGCCTACAACCAAACCCTCATCCTCAATGCGGACTATACTGTTGATCCTCAAGCCCTGCAGGAGCAAGGTCTGCCCTGGCTGACCGGCACTTACGTCGCCTACCTCATCACATCGAACATGGGTCTAACTGCTACATTGACGCATATGTTACTATGGAACTTTGACGATATAAAGGTGGGCTGGGCGTGGGCTGCACCGAGCCAGCTCAAGAAGTGGCTCAAGCCTGAGACATACAAGTTCTGGGCAAACCAGGAGACTCCGGAGGAGCGGTTGCAGCGTCGCGTGAATGACACTTCTCTGGATCCACACTACCGGCTCATGCTGCGCAACTTGTACTATGACACGCCGCTCTGGTGGTGGGGAGCAGTGCTCCTTGGCAGTTTCGCCGTCGGTATGGGCTGTCTGTATGCCATGAAGTCCACGCTCCCCTGGTGGGGGTTCATCATTGCCAACTTGCTCACGCTTCTTTTCATGCTCTTCTTCGGCGCCCAATATGGGCTGACCGGATTCCAATTCAATGTGCAGCCAATCTGTCAGATGTTGGCGGGCTATATGTTTCCTGGCAAGCCATTGGCCAGTATGTGTCTTCCCGGTTGCACTCTCCACCTTTGTTTGTTGCTAATGCGTCCTCAGACCTCTATTTCACTTGTTTTACGTATAACTCTCTCCAGCAGGGGCAGGTTTTAGCCAAGGACCTACGACTTGCGCAGCAGGTCCACTTATCGCCACGGTGCACCTTTTTCGTGCAAGTCAGCGGGTGCATTATCGGGGCCCTATTCAATTATGTGATGATGTTGATGTGCGACTCCATTCTAGTCCACGGTTGCGATTTCCATTTGTGTACTGACCTGCCGTCCTGAAGCATCGTGCAAAATCAATCGGAAATCCTGCTCTCCGAAGACGGTACCAATATCTGGAGCGGTGCCAATGTTCAGATAAGTGCCCTTCTGGCTTCCCAGACAAAGAGGAACCCGGCTGATCTCAGTTTACCAGTTCAACAGCCTTGCGATTGCCTGGAGTATGGCCAAGGACATGTTCTCCATCGGTGGCCGGTACCAATGGGTCACGATCTCGTATCTGGTCGGCTTCGCCGTGCCCGTCCCGTTCTGGCTGGCGAACCGCTTCTACCCCTCCGGCATCTTCTCCTACCTCAATACCTCCATCATTCTGTGGTACATGGGCTGGCTGTTTGTCGGCATCAATGCCTCCATTCCGGTCTATTTCGCTCTCGGCTTCGCTGCCCAGTTCTGGCTGCGTCGCTACCACCCGCACCTTTTCAACAAGTATAACTACATTGTCTCCGCTGCTCTGGATGGCGGGACACAGATCTGTGTCTTCATCCTTACTTTTGCTGTCTTCGGAGGTAGTGGCACTTCGCACCCTTTCCCGTGAGTTGGTCCCAGAGCCTGATTTTGAGTGACATTGACCGGCTAATCGAGTTAGTACCTGGACCGGCAATCCCGACACGAGTGTTCATAACTTGGACTACTGCATGGTGAACCCGGCGACGCTTTGAAGCTGTCGTGGTGTGGATGATTCGAATACGAGATGACTAAGAAGTGGAAAAACTTTTTTTGAACATCAGCATGTCTTCTTCGATCAATGGAGAGGAACATAATTTTAAAGTCAGTCACTAGATGGTGTAGCATGTAATAATAGCTTGTCCTTCCTTTTCAATTTAGAATTCTAAAGACCGTTGTTGTCGGGCAAAGCATGCAGAAATTAGCTCAGTAATGGGTCGGAGTTGGGGAGTCAATGTGCATGATGACACCTCAGGCATGAATTGAATTGAACTTCCCGCGCCCGCGCCCGCAGCCCGCTTTTTTTGCCCGCACTTCCCCTTTCTTTTCCCCAGCAACCAGTCGCCCTTCAATCTAGACTGAATGCACTGGAGGCCCAGTACTACTCGGCATGTAGCGATAAGCTGTGCTCTGCACCAATTGTGCTTCCAGGACCTGACTTGCAGCCGTTCAGACATCATCCTGGGAACCTCGGCCTTCTCCGGCTAATTTAAGGGCAGTCCAGTCCAGTCCGGTCCCTGTCGGAGTTTCGGGTGGGAAATCGACCACCGACCTCCGACGCTTTATTTTTCCGTTGGGCCCACCGAGCTCTCTCGATCCACTGGCTAGACTGCATCTTACACCTTTGCATGCCTGCTTGCTTTTGCAGAGGCCCACACCACAAGTGTCCTCGAGGCCTTTATGAACTCCCTTCTGCCCATGGTCTAGCACGATTACATTCTGGGTGAGGGGAGCCTTGAAATTCCATATGAGCATAAGCGGTTGGCTCTTACTCTATGACAATGCTTGCCACGAATCCCTTGGGCCTCTCCAGGGATGTTAATCTGCACCTGCTGACTCCCCACAGACAAGCGAACCTCCACTACTGGTCTTGGCACTACGCAAGTCTAATAAATAACTTATCAATGCAGAGTTGCAGGCACCGTCCGTCCTGAGCGAACTCTTGCACCTTGCGCACATCATGTCTGCTACTGCCCGTCCGCATCATTCCTCAGGTCCAACGCCGCCCTTGAACCAGTCGTGTGAAAATTGTCGAGCCCTCAAAGTCCGCTGCCTGCCGGATCCGAATATTGCGCATCAATGCCAACGTTGCACCCGCACCAGACGGATCTGTGTTTTTGCGCACACCCTGCGACGCCAGCCTCGAAAAAAGACCGGATCACGGGTCGCCCAGCTGGAGAAAGATGTCCGCGACCTGCGCGCTTTACTCCACGAGCAGAATGCCCCGAATCAAAGATCGAATTCAGCCGGCGTTGACACCGGTGCCGCTGCTGTCTCCCTTTCCCCCACCACCACCACCACCACCGCCGCCGCCGACACTGCTGCCGTCTCCGCTGCTACCGCCACCACTGTAAGTCCCGTCTCAGAGACGGCTCCCACTCGCGCGGCGGCAACAACAACACCTTTTGCATCCACCATCTCCGACTCCGCCCGTTTACAGACTGCCTCGTCATCTTGTCCTCCTCGTCCGATCGTGACAAGCCCGGTTGCCAACCCTCCTTCCCATGTCAGCACCACTGGCTCGACGTTCATGAGCTCTTCGCCCGGCTCTGCAGATGTCGTCGACCGTGGTATCCTCTCTTTGGAGACGGCACAGATGCTGCTGTCCGTCTTCATCTCTGAACTCACTCAATTCTTCCCGGTGGTTGTTCTTCCGGGGGACACGAGTGCCGACTTCCTACGCAGGACGAAGCCAGTGCTGTTCTTGTCCATCATCGCGGCAGCGTCGCTAACGCTTGAAACACCGCACGCGACCGTCTTGCATGAAGAACTTCTCGCCGGCTTCGCGACGCGATTCTTTCTAAGGCAGGAAAAGTCACTGGATTTGGTGCAAGCCCTCCTCGTAATGCTTATCTACTACCTCCCTCCCAAATCGGCCATGCATGGGCAGTATTACCAATACACGCATATCGCAACCACTATGGCGCTGGAGCTTGGGATCGCAGCCGGTGCCGTTGGTCGCAAGACCCAACGCTGCCATGCGGGTGAGGGGGAATTGCCCCCATCAGTACATAGTGACCAGGCCCGGGCCGTCCTCGGCTGCTATCATTTCGCATCAAAGTACGGGCCACTCGCTCACCAGCAATTTACTGTCTGAGTTACTGACATGTCTACAGTGTTAGCATGCAGACACGTCGACCGAACATGCTCTGCCACAATGCTGTCATCAGCGGTTATGTCAAGCACCTTAGTGTCTCTACCAGTGCATTGGACCAGCAACTGGCAGCATGGTTCGGGCTGCAGAGGATCGTGGATGAGACACTGGCTGCTGCAGGCCATGACAACACTCTGACGGACACTCATATGTTGGAATCGCAGATGTTGCCGATCCTCAAGTGGTTCGACACTCGTATGCTGCAGTGGAAGATGTCGATTCCGAAGGATATGTTCACGAGTACGTCTCCACGTCCGCGGTTGATGACATAACACCAGACACTCATTCTCTCTAGCTTGGATGGATCTTGAATACCACTACCTTTACCTTGCGATTCACGAACAAGCTGCGGGCGAGGGCTACCGCGACCCCGACGCAGCAACCCGCAGGTATTACACACTCCCCCCTCTCGAGGGCGACACGGAGCGACATAGGGCCAATGTGCCGATCAGCGCGGCGCGGGTCCAGATCATCACGAAATGGGTGCTCTCTGCCCAGCAACTCCTCGACGTCTTCCTGCAATGCGACATTCCGACCATGCGCAAGCTACCAAACATGACCTACACGCGGATGATCTTGGGGGTCTCCTCTCTTCTACGTATCTACCACATGACCCAGCTCGGCCCTCTGAGCGAGGTTATCACTCCGCAGATGATTAACGTCGACGAATACCTGGATCGTCTATCGCAGGCCCTATCGGAAGCCTGCGATAACCAGAAATTCCGCGTCCCGAGCAAATGGTACCACGTCGTGGCCGTCAAGAACCGCGAGTGGTACGAACAGCTCCAACGACGGCTGGCGGGCTATTCCTCCGAGAATCCCTCGTACCTGCGCGGGATCTTCCCGCCCCCGACCTCCACGACGGCAGGTGTGCCCGGCGCACAGCCGCCTGGGATGTTGCCCTCGCTGGTTCCCGGTGGTGCCCCGGCTTACATGGAGTCATGGTATGCGGACGACCCGGCTGGGAGGGCGGACGCCGTGAGGGAAATGCCGGCCGTCGGGGGCGCTGCGGCGCCGATGATGTATCTCTCCTCGATGCAGCCGGTCCCGGGCGCCGTTGAGGCCGGTGGGCACTTCGCGCCTCCTGCGGGCCACGCCGGGTGGCGCTTGGATGAACCGCTCCCGGATCTGTCGTTCCCGTATTGATGATGTATACATGTGTAATGAAGCGATGAGCCTACGCAGAATCCGTCCGCTGTACCTCACCCGCAGTTTAATCCCTAATCAAATGATGAACGTATCCGCATGGTGCTCGACTTGTAATGGGGCCTTTGTCTAGGAAAAGAAGAGAGAAGAAAGAAAGAAAGAAAAGAAAAGAGAAGGAAGAGAAAAAAAAAAACAAAAAAAAACAAATCCTTGGCCGCTCGTAGGCAGCATGAGACCGTAGCGTCCGTCTTGATCAACCTCCACGACCACAACATCATCAGCGCTGGATTTACCTTATAATGTATACGATCGAGCAAATCTCACCTGCAGAATCGCACCGAATAAGGGTCCTCGGGTATGAACCTGTTTTCGCCCTCCGACCTCCGACGCGGTGGAGAGGGCAGTGTGTGGACCCTTCGGTGCAAGGGGGGTTGCATAAGGCGAACTCCGTTGATTTGATCGAAATATCAGATTAGATTAGATTGATATAGCCGGGGGGGGTTCAACTTTGGCAGGAAATCATAAGGCAATGCCGTGTTGCTGGGTAGGCCGTAGGGTTGTACGCAGTCGACGAGTGAACAGAACGTATCCCACCCCTTGCGTTCCCCTGCGACGTGCGTGAGAGGGAAGAGAGTGTGTGGAAATGGTGAAGGAGCAAAAAGTAATGACAAGAGTGGGATTCGAACCCACGCCACTTACGTGACTAGGAATATTGCTCGGATAGAGCGAATATGTGTGATCAGGTTGCCTGACCCTAGCGCCTTAGACCGCTCGGCCATCTTGCCTATTTGATGAAAAGAGCTTATAGGCTTGGTTATATGTAGAGAGCACATTGGCCCGGCGCGTTCCAGAATCAGTTATGCGTGAGTTTGGAGTTGAGGTGCTAGGAGGTTGTGCTGAAGGTATCTGCTGAGTGGTGTAAATAGTACTGGGGCTTGCCGAACTGTTCTTTATAGTAAGTGTAAGTTATCCTTACGGGGTGTTGGGTGGTGGTGGACTAACATGGCGAATTGGTTTGTGATTATATATTGTTTCGGGCTGGATGCTCTGGTTACTGGAAGGCACATCCTCCCGGCTGACCAAACCACCACCCATGAAAACAGACAGCCACAACAAGTCAATACGCCCAACAAGAGCTGGAAAGCGAAGCCACTGTCTGTCAGGATCACGAAGCATGAACCACACCCCAGACGAAACCACAGAACATCACCAGCAATCATCTATATGTCCTGACCCCAACAACCATGACGACACAACCGCGAGATACATCGGATAGCCAGGGGGGAGGGGAGAAACCAACTACAAGGGCCGCGCCAGGCGAGTGCATATGAAAACAATGACAAGTAAGACTTGACAGATTCCCTGCCATTTCCAGCGAGAACAAACCCACTGCGTTTCCATGGTATCTGCACACCGGAGACCGATAGCCATACAAGGACACAAGCCACAAGCCACAAGCAGAAGCATGCATCACATACCACATACAAAAGAAGCACGGCCGGTGTGACATGCGAGGTACCACACAGGCCACGGAACACCGACCACGGCAAGACACCGACAATCAGACCCAACAGTATACCACCACACGCCAACAAGCACCAGCATGCTGGTATACACCGAGCGCATTGGGCTGCCAAGAGCCAACGTACCTCTCCGGTTAGACTAGTCTCAAGCACACTGAAAACCAAGCCGAGCCCTTGAGAGCCACGAACCCAAACGCAGCAGATGTGCATCAATACACCGGCAAATGGCTGCCTTCCCCACAGAGTTGCGATGACCATCACCCATTATACAAGGCTGTAAGCAGAGGCTCAGCCACACGATGTTGGATTCAATGGAACTGTTGCAACGGGCGAATACCACAACAAGGGTCCCAGAGACCTATTTATCTGACACCCTAAAGTTTAATAGCAGGGTACCATGCAAGAGCCAGAACGGTCTGGGATCAGCCAGCCTTACGAACCGAAAACACCTAATTACATGCCTTCTGTTTCCCGCCGTCCATACAGCCATCAACACTGCTAATCAGCATCCAAGGCAAGATGGCCGAGCGGTCTAAGGCGCTAGGGTCAGGCAACCTGATCACATATATTCGCTCGTCTGAGCAGTATTCCTAGTCACGCAAGTGGCGTGGGTTCGAATCCCACTCTTGTCATTCCTTTTTGCACCGACTCAGTCGGATATTTTTGCCCTACTCATCAACCCACATATCATCGCGTTGTTCTACTTCATTTTGCCACTGTCCTGCACCTGCATACGACTACCAGAGCAAAGTGTCGGCCATTCCCGCCTCGCCACGCCAGACACCCCACTGCGGTCCGATTTTGAGTTTGCCCCTTTTCTTTCCTGCCTGGTTTCTGGACGCAGACCATCTTACTCATCGGACGTGCATCCAAGCGAGATGAGTTGCATCGGTCGTGCATACGGCCATGACCTCATCGGGTCGTTGACAGTGACAGATCGAGTATGCGGTACACGCCCTCGGAGTTGCGCCGATGGTAGAGCGGGTGCGACTTAATATGATTTCCCGTAGTTCAATAGCGAATCCATCCGCCAACTGCCAGTCAATAGTGCTAGTATCCTCCTGGAGCCTGCTTATTCCGGCGAGAGGGAGGTGAATTGCATGAGACGTTATGCCTTCAACTGAGCCCACAGCCATGATCAGACCAAGTAAGCAAGCCTAGCCTGTGTTCGATGGCCTGCGTCCAAACATCAGAGTAGTAATCTAGAGCACTGTATACATGGCTGGGGAACATGGATGCCTACAAGATTGACTAATTCAACAACCGGGCAAGATGGCCGAGCGGTCTAAGGCGCTAGGGTCAGGCAACCTGATCACACATATTCGCTCCATCCGAGCAATATTCCTAGTCACGCAAGTGGCGTGGGTTCGAATCCCACTCTTGTCATCTCTTTTTGCTCATACTCCGTCCATCTCCGATGACATGAGAATGAGGTGCATTTCTTCTTTTGCTCAGGACGCCAACCTCCCCCTCTATGACCAGAACCTCCCTCTTACTACCGTGGTGCGTTGACGTATTGAGAATCGCTTTACCCGTCTGCCCCTCCCAGTCACACGTTTGCTGGCAACGGTGCTTACATGGACTGCGGGAAATGCTTCAATCGGGCGAACTGGCGCAGCCTCCATCGTACATGTGTTGCAGGATCGCGAAAATCCACTCTCAAACTCGCACCCAATAAGCCCACAGACACCACGCGTGTTGGCAACAGTGATCGCGCTGGCCGTTTATCGTCTGTGAGCATCAGAGGCCAGTTGGCCAACTCACGACGGCGGTGAAGCAAACAGACATCCCCCAAGTGACAGGTCAGTCGGTCGTTGCTCGCAGTGAGATTGACATGTACGGAGTCCTCTTACTCTGGAATAGAGTCTGTTCTATACAGATCAGAAGCGCTTGTATATGTGCCTGGGTCGCAAAGGACGTCCGAGATACCCCAGCCTGACATCGTGGCAGTGGGGGACTCAACCTAACCGAGAAGTCGAAACGTCCATAGACCCTGATAGTCGAGCGTTCATACTGCATAGTAGTTACGATGATGAGAATATTACCGGTAGACCGCAAATCCCTCCCGGGCTTCTCATAGACCACATCAAACACACCTGATCCTTAGGAGGCGTCTCAAAAATGAGCTGCATGTCTTACACTGGCATCGGGTACAGCATGAACTCAACCATGGTGACGTCTGGATGTTTGAATCATCGGACAGAAAAAGAAGTCGTTGGCGAAGTCGCCCTCAGATTGTGCTCAAGTTATGCACAACCCGGCCGACCATGTGGTCATGATAATGTCATGCCTCTCTATCTTTAGAAACAAAGCAATGCGGAGAAGACTCCAGACGGGTCAATACCAGGGAACATTATACGCGTAGATCGACACAGTGGACAGGCACTCTATCTCTCTCTCCCTCGGATCTCGATGGGGAGATCTTGAAGAAAGACTGGGTCTTGGAAAATGATGATGCTGAATGATATCGTCCTTTTCTTGTCTAGGCTTGTGATGCCTTTATGAACTCACAAGGTCTGGATGCTGCATTGCCCGAACCGGAATAAAGTTTACATGAGATGGGAAGAGACCGCTAACTGATCACTATTGGAACTAGCTCCAAAGGCTCATGCAGCTAGCCAGCGGCCACTGCGTATGACAGAATGCATCTCGTTTCAGGAGAGGCGAGTTTGACCCTGAGATAGTGAGATTAAGGGGCGTCGAGCTGAAGCCCTCGCGCAGCCTTACAAGGAGCCGTGCCGCACATACACACACACGCACACACACACACACACGGCACCGTGCTGAGCCTAGACCGGGGACTTTTATGGTTTCGAGTGACAGGTCCAGATCCCTTGGTTGGGCCTTTTGTCGATGGGAAAGCCAAGGTGAAGAGGAGAGACTTTCCCAAAATGTGACTGAGTATGTGGTTTCTATCCCGTGTAAGATGTAGAATGTCAGGCACCCTTAATCTTGATTCTTGAAGGAATTGTCCATTCACGCCCCGACCGTACCTGAGGGGGCGGCGGAGGGAATCCCCTGGGTTGCAGTGGGAAAGCACCAGTGGCGTTTTCTTGGGTGGGGCGGGGGACTCAGACTAAGAAACTAAGAAACTAAATAACACTAAGATAAGCCCTAAGTCTGGCCCTGATCAGGACGAGGAATTAGGGCCGGGTCGAGTAGAGGCTTGATTGGTGGAGGGGATGACCGTTGCCTGTTTGGGTGCTTTTGGGGGTTTTCCAGTTCAGTCCTTTTTCAGGACCGACTCGGGAGCACTGCAGGCAATCAAACCATTCAGCTTCAAGGTTCAGAGTTTCGTTTCCACTTGTTTTCTCAAGTTCGCTTTTCTCCCACCGCCACCACTTCTCAAGTGGGGGCCACCATATCTCCATGACTCTGTCCACTTCTGCATCGATCGGACGCGATCAATCTATTCTCTGATCATCAAGCCGGAGGAGATGGCTTCATTTGAAAATTGATGCAGCAAAGATAGAGGGAACAGGCAGAGTGACTAGCAATGGTCAACAATTGAGTTGCCAGTCCGACAGCAACAATGGGGTTCAAGAATGATCGACAGATTCCTCTCTCCCTCTTTCAACGCCCCCTCCAATTGCACAACCATGACTTCAGGGCCTCCCCTCTCTTAGTCTTCCACTCTACACATCGGGAAAAACTGAAACATGGTCCGCGTGGGTTTCCGTCTTTTTGCTGCAATTCTTATTTTTATTTTTACTTTTATTTTTATTCTCTTTCATTTTTTTTTCTGACTTGGGGGTTTTCTGACAAGTCGCACGCACTTGTTGACATTCCGCCTTTCTTATCTGTCGCCTGGCCTGGGGTCGGTCCTTTGTGTCGGTTTCAACCCCGTTCAAGTCTCACCTCTCGTTATTGATTTCTCCTCTTACTTTCTTTTCCCGACCGGCTCTGTCTTTTCACTCGTTCGCTCACTTTTCGGTCTCAGCCTGGGCAGTAATCACAATTAAACCACTCGCTTCGGAATTGTTGATTCCCTCGACAGACTGCCGATCGCTGGTCCAATCCACGCGGTCTCCTCAATTTACACCATCCGACCCACCATCAACTCCACACGAACCGGTGGACTCAGCACACTCGTTTTCTGCCATTGATCGTTGGTTTCTGCTTTGCCTCTGGTGGGAATCGCTTGGGATTCACCCCCCCCTCCCGCCAATTGCGCTTGCGCTTACGCACTGGGGCTGCCGGGCAGCTTCTGGACTCCTCACCCTAGTCGATCGTTCTTATATCGCCCTCCCCCCGTCCGCCCGCCCTGATGTCAGGAAGGCCTGGCATTACGGAGAAGCGGTTGTCCGCCAAACGCTTCCACCAGCTTCGCGACATGGCCCCCGACAATATGCTGAACCCTAATGATGTTACAATCGATATCCCGCTGCACTCGGTCTCCAGTCGCGGTCAAACAGGCGCTCGCAAGTCGAGCGTCAACGGACCCGATTCCCCAGGCCCTTACCAACCACCGGTCGATAACAGCGAAGAGAAGCAGGGACTCGTCGCACCAAACCCCGGTCTGCGCAGGCGAATCGACGAGTCCACTGGCCGTTCTATCGATGATCCCGAAGATGGTACCGTCACTCGTGTCGGCCGCTTCTACCAGGCGGTCCTCAACTACTCAATCGCTACCCGCTACCTGATCTACGTGATACCGCTCGCCTTGTTACTCGCCGTTCCGATTATTGTAGGAGCCACGGCCGCGCAGGACGCGACCATCGGCGGAGTGACTCTTCCCTGGTTCTTCTTCTGGTTTGAAATTGTCTGGATCAGTTTGTGGGCATGCAAGCTCGCAGCTCGGATCATCCCCTACGTCTTCCAAACATTGTGTGGATTTGTTAGCTCTGGAACCCGCAAGTATGCTCTTATCTTGCGAAAGCTCGAATTTCCCATCGCCACGGTCCTCTGGTGTGTGGTTTGCTTGGTGACATTTTTGCCAGTAAGAGACGCTCCTTTCGACAACTGGGCCTTACACAAGCTGACTGAGCCTTCGTCCAGGTCATGACGCAAAATCCCCACCAGAAGAAGATCAACGACACCTCGACCAAGTCATGGGAGAAGTCGATCAAGAACATCCTTTTCGCTCTTTTCGTCTGCAGTTTGATCTTCCTTGGCGAGAAGGCACTCGTGCATTTGATCTCCATCAGCTACCATCGGAAGCAGTTCGATGCCCGCATTAAAGAAGGGAAGCGGAATGTCTACCTTATCGGTCTCTTGTATGATGCGTCCCGTCAGATGTTTCCCATGCACTGCAAGGAATTCCGAGAGGAGGACGCCGCCATTGCGGACTTCCTGCTACTAAACCCCGCGAGCAAGACACGCATACCGACCAGCGGCTCAGCTCCTCTCCGTCTCATTCGCGGAGTTGGTCAGAACGTTCAGAAAATTGGCCATAATGTGCAGAGAATCGGTGGCAAGGTCAAGGGTGCCTTTGGTGATGTCGCCCAAGAACTTACTGGCAAGCAAGTTTTCAACAACACCTCCACGCGCTCGATCGTGACAGGGGCATTGGAGCACCGCAGAACCTCGGAAGCCCTCGCGCGCAGAATCTGGATGTCATTCGTGGTCGAGGGTCGGGATGCCTTGTATTTCGAAGATATTTGTGAGGTGCTCGGCACGGGGTTGGAAGTGGAGGCGGATGAATGCATGAAAATGCTCGACCGCGACGGTAACGGCGATATCAGCTTGGATGAGATGATCCTGGCGGTTGGAGAAGTCCAGCGCAACAAGAAGGCTCTGAACCACAGTTTGCATGACATTGACCAGGCCACCCGAGTCTTGGACAATCTCTTGATGACCGTGGCATTCATCGTGGGCGTTCTGGTCTTTGTCTCGTTCGTGACGACTGGATTTGGCACGGTCATTGCAGCAGGTGCCACTTCTTTGCTCTCCCTCTCTTTCGTCTTCTCCACTACGGCCCAGGAGGTGCTGGGCTCGTGTATCTTCCTCTTCGTCAAGCACCCCTTCGACGTGGGTGACCGTGTGGAAATTAGTGACAAGCCCTTCTTCGTCGAGCGCATCTCCCTCCTCTTCACCGTGTTTCGCAACGTCAACGACCACCGTATCACGCAGATTCCCAACTCGGTTCTTAACGCCTTGTGGGTCGACAACTTCACCCGTGCCAACGCCATGCACGAGGTCCTGAAGGTTCCCATCGATTTTGACACGACGTTCCAGAACATCCAGCGCCTCCGCGAGGAGTTGGAGGGATTCGTGCGCGACAAGGACAACTCACGTGACTTCCAGCCCGACATCACCATCGATGTGAGCGGCGTCGGTGACATGGATAAGTTGGAGTTGAGCGTGTATATCCGGCACAAGTCCAACTGGTCGAACGAAGCAGTCCGCGCGACACGTCGCTCGAAGTTCATGTGTGCATTGATCGCCGCGGTACGCCGGGTGCCTATCCGCAAGCCAGGATCCGGTGGTGGCGACGATGAGGAGAAGCCCGAGGACAAGCTGGAGGACACCCCTGAAATCATTGTCGAGGATGTGGTCAAGCGCGCCAGACGCGACTCCGCCTCGTCCGCCGAGCCTGTTCGACGCCTTCCCCCGGATTCCAGCTTCGCCACCACCGAGTCGCGCTCTACCGGCTTTGACATGGGCCAGTCGCCGGGCTCCATCCAACGTCGTGGAGTTGGCGCATCTATCAGCTCCTACAGCGAGGGACTCAGTGCCGAGCACGCCGACCGCCCCTACCCGAGCTCCCGTGATGGCCAGGAAGTCGACACGTATCAAACCCCAGCCGGGTCGCCGGGCCAGGAGCGCACGCGGAGCGTCAACTACGGCTCAATGACGCGTGAGCAGTCGACGGGCCGGCGCAAGGAGGGCACCGCTAACATCATCTCGACCGCTACGGGTGGTGTGCCGGTCCTGTCTGAGCCAGTGCCTCCTCGGCGGCAACAAGAGCAACAACAACAACAGCAGCAGCAGCAGCCCGTGCGGTTAGTCTCTGAGCAGAATCAGCAAGCCCAGACCCAACAAGCCGGTGCAGCAGCAGCAGCTGTGAACGGGGCTTCGGTCGCACGCCAGCCGGAATATTACAGCTACCAGGGCCAGTACTACAATCCCGCCGAGGAGTCGTACGACCCCAACCAACCCTTTGAGCTCCCGTCGATGGCGGAGCCGTCGGCTGATGGTCAACGCGAGTACTCGTCACACACACTGGCTTCGTCGCGGACGGCCTATTCAGGCGAGTCGGCAGAGGAGCACCAGCCTCGGGCATACCCCCCGCGGCGGAACCCGTATGAGAGCCAGTAAGAATGAAGAAATAAGAACAACCAAACAAAAGAGATACCAAAAGACGCAAGCAAACTAGAATAAAGTGTGATCACGAGTGACGATCCAATTCGATTCCACCATCGGGGAAAGGGAATGGCGTGAATTCTGTATTATTATCAAAGATCTATTCCCCAAGAAGCAAAAGACTGACTTTAGCTGATATGTTATGTGGATTTGCCAAGAACCGATGTAGTTTACGCAGGTAGATAGTATGATAATACCATCTGAAGAGATATTGTAACCTTCACCCGATTTCTTCTTTTAGCTCCCCATCCGTGAGTCTATTGTACAGTCCATAATACATACAGCCCCCCAAACTCCGAGAACACGAGAAGAGGAGACACCTTTCAGTGCCGAAAACAAGGAACAACGAACCTATTTCGTCTCCTTCCAAGGGTACGAGACCTCATCGTCCTTGCGGACCCAGATCTTGGACTTGCGCTTGTTGACCACGTGCTCGACGAAGGCCTCGCGGGTGTACTGGGCCTTGTACTTGCGGATCCACCGGGGATCCCAGAGCTCGCTGGCGATGCCCAGATCCTTGCAGCAGCGCACCAGGGCGTTGGAGCGGCACCCCTCCGTGGCCGTGGGGATTCCGTCCGGCGAGAAGTAATCCTGTTCGCCGCGGGCGACGGAAACGAGACTTGTCATCGAGCAATCATCAGCATCCGCGTCGGCATTCACCTCCACTCAATCCACGACTCCAAGGGGGAGGAAAGAACAACTCACCGCCCATGACACACCAACGCATACTCCCGCGTCACCATCTTGGGGGTCACGATGCTCTCGCTCCGCGGCACGAGCCCCCACCCGCCCGGTCCGAACGCCCGGTTCAGGATCCGGCGGTATTTGATCTCCGGCAGGTACAGGATCCCGTCCGGCTTGATCTCCACTTCCTCAGGGTCGGTCGGGGCCAGGAGGATGTCGGCGGCTTCTTTGGGGAAGGGCTCCGCGGACAGGCCGTGGAAGGAGCGCGTCCAGTCGATTCGGTCTTCCGTTGACTGGTGCGGCGAGTCGGTGGGGGTGGGGAGCGGGGAGGGCGGCTGGTCGTGTAGCCCCGAGGTTGTTAGGTTGGGGGTGATTTTTTGGGGCGGGTTTGGGGGGGTTTGTTGGGGGGCATTTGGGGAGGTGGTGGTGGTGTTGTTCTCGGGTGGGGAGGAGGACTTTGTGCTGCTGCTGCTGCTGCTGCTGCTGTTGTTGTTGTTGAAGGTAGAATTGTTGGGTCTCGTGCGTGCTGCTGATGGTTGGGTTGCTTGGTGGTGGCGGGTTGTGGTGAAGGTGCGCGCGATGTTGAAGGTGGTGGGTGTGGGGAGACGCGTTAGGGATGTGGGTTTTGTGGGCGCCGTCATGCGCAGAGTACGCGCGAGGGTTGGGAGGGACATTGCGGGTGATGAGAGGGGATTTGGGATTTGGAGTAGAGAGATGAGTGAGTGCGGAGGTGAAGAAGCTGAGCTGCGGAAAGGCAATCTCGGGACATAGTCACGTGATGATAATGTGGTGTGGAGTGGGAATACGCTGGATTTGTGCTGAGGAAAGCTGAAGGAGTTGCGATTTGGCTATAGATCACTTTAATTGGAAGACTTTAGAATACACTGCGGGAATCGTCGTCGGCCAAGCCATCCCTAGCTCTAAGCATCCTGCGTCTGCGTGCGCTGGTCGTTGCCCTGCTGTTTCCAGCATTCGCGGAAGGCTTCCATCTAAGGTCGAGTTAGCGGCCACACATCGAGAATTCGATTGTTGGGAGCGAGGGTTTGAGGTCGCGTAGGGTGAGTGATGGTCAAGATAATGTTGGACAGGATCTCAAAGAGCTCATCTAGGCTCCGCCCAATGTGAGGGTATATGGCCTCCGCAGCCGGACTCAACGCACCTCCTTCTGGCAACTGCGCCAGTCCTTCTTCTGATAGACGCAATCGTTCAAGGTCATCTGCTCGTCTGTATCATGACTTAGTAAATCCTTGTTGATAGAGTGCCAGGTCAATGGCTGTGGGTGACTCTTCTTGACTCACCCGCACAGCCGGTTCTGTTGATCCGCTTCTCCCTGTCGGATTCGCCGTCAGTCCGAGTCAACTCTCTCTCCCTCTCTCACTCTCTCTCTTCTTCTCCTTCTCCTCCTTCTTCACAACTCACCACTCGTCTGGCTCATCGTCGTCCTCTGCCGCGTTCTCAACCGGGGGATTCTGTCTCTCTTCCTTGTTCGTCATTGTTTGTTCTGTAGCTGTCCTTCGACCGGAGAGTTGCAGTTGCGAAGAGAAACTTCCGAGACCCGAAAGTTGCACGGCTGAACCGTTCCTCCGCCATGGCGACGACAACCCCCAACCTGACCGGGAAAAAGGTCAACGTTCTTGTCTACTCCGGTACGTGTCTTCTTCGCTCGCTTCATATGTCTACAAAAACTAATGGCTTCCTCTCCTAGGAAATGGCACCACCGTTGAGTCCGTTCGCCACTGCCTTTACTCCCTCCGCCGCCTACTAGCCCCTCACTACGCCGTTATCCCCGTCACCGCCGACATGCTCCTCCACGAACCCTGGACCCTGACATGTGCATGTCTCGTCTTCCCCGGCGGTGCCGATATGGGCTACTGTCGTGCTCTCAACGGTGCCGGAAACCGTCGCATCGAACAATTCGTCAAGCGTGGGGGCGCCTACTTCGGTTTCTGTGCGGGGGGTTACTACGGCTGCCGCCGGTGTGAGTTCGAGGTCGGCGATAAAACCCTGCAGGTGATCGGCGAGCGCGAGCTGGCCTTTTTTCCCGGCACCTGTCGCGGGGGTGCCTTCCCCGGATTTGTCTATCACAGTGAGGCCGGCGCCCGCGCCGCCGAGGTGAAGGTGGCCAAGGACGCTCTGCGGGCGGGCGTGGTTCCGGAGCAGTTCCGGTGCTACTACAATGGTGGGGGTGTGTTCGTTGATGCAGCGCAGTATGCCGATCGAGGTGTCGAGGTGCTGGCCAGCTATACCGAGAAGGTCAATGTTGACCCCGGTGAGGGTGGCGCCGCGGCCGTGGTCTACTGTCGCGTGGGTGAAGGTGCCGCCATCCTCACAAGTCCCCATCCAGAGTTAGTAGCGCCGAATCATGTTCTTTCAACGGATGGTTAGATTGGGTCATGAAACTAACACTGCCTTTTCTTCTACGTAGGTTTGCAGCGGTCAACCTGGATAAGAAGAACGGAGGTGCGGAGTATGCGAAAGTCGTCGATGCTCTGGCGGCCGATGATACCGGTCGCACCGACTTTTTGAAAGCCTGCCTACTTAAGCTGGGTCTGCAAGTGAGCCAAACGACGACGACGGTGCCTTCGCTCTCCTCGCTGCACCTGTCAGCTCAGGAGCCTACGGATACGGCCAACCTTGTGGCCTTGTGGGATGAGCATATCACCAAGGATGGTGATAAGGAAGTTCTTAAGGATGAGAATGATACATTCCGCATCGAGCGCCCCGGAACTTGGAACCTGGGTGAGTTGGAGGCCTCGCTTCCCGCCTTGTCGGAGACGCCGACGGCGACCCCGACGGAAGGTATTGTGGATTACAACGCGATCGTCAAGCGACTGGTGATACATGACGATGTGCCATCCTCCAAGCTGACACCCTACTTCAACCACCATGCTTTTTATTCGCACCTGCGCCAGTACCAGGGACAATCCCGAGAGGGTGCCTTTGAATTCGGCTCCAACCTGGTATACGGGGAAGTAGTCACCAGTACGAATACGATTTTGGAAAAGTAAGTTTGAGTTTGAGATCGACCCTGTGACAGCTCACATGACTGACCGGTCAGAAACCCGAAATTGTTGCGCACACTGCCCACCGGCTTCACCGCTACGGCCACCACCCAGGTCGCTGGGCGGGGTCGGGGCTCCAATGTTTGGGTCTCGCCTGCAGGGGCTTTGATTTTCTCGACGGTGTTGCGACACCCGATGGAGAAGATTCAATCGGCCCCAGTGGTGTTCATTCAATACTTGGCCGCGATGGCCGTGGTGCAGGGTATCAAGCGGTACGACGAAGGCTACGACGCCATGCCGGTCAAGATGAAGTGGCCCAACGACGTGTGTATGTACCCATCTCTCCTATCGGGTTTTTGTTATTGTCATCATTGCTGATAACCTGCAGATGCGCTTGACCCGGAGCACCCCGAGAAACAACAATACTCGAAGATTTGCGGAATCCTGGTAAATTCTCACTATTGCGCCAACGAGTACATCTCGGTGGTAGGCATTGGGGTCAACGCGACCAACGCATCCCCCACCACGTCGCTGACGGCATTGGCGAAACGATTCTTGGGCCCGAAAGCGGCCCCCATCACGCTGGAGAAGCTGCTGGCACGGATTCTGACGACATTTGAGGAATTGTACGGACGGTTTCTGCGGACGGGCTTCGATCGAGAGTTCGAGGATCAGTACTATGCGGACTGGCTGCACATGCACCAAGTTGTCACCCTGGAGGAGGCCGGAGGAGCGCGGGCTCGCATCCAGGGCATCACTCGAGATTATGGACTGTTGTTGGCGCAGGAGCTGGGCTGGGATGACCGACCGACGGGTCGCGTGTGGCAGCTACAGAGCGACAGCAACAGCTTCGATTTCTTCCGGGGGTTAGTGCGGCGAAAGGTTTAGTTGTGGTAGCTGTGATTGTGGTGTTGACGATATGATGACGCGTGATGATGATGTTGACGACACGGTTCCATAGAGCGTGTGGTAGTTACAGTAGATACTATTTACATTAGACAGTACATACGCACTGACAACATTTGACACTCACCAAGTATACACAGTACATTTACTTTTTATAGGTAATGTCCGAGATTCATAACATTCTCGGTCTTCACCGAGTGGCGAGGCCCCAACAATCGCTTCAACTGGATCTCTCCTGAATCCAGTTCCAAAAAGTGCGATACCGATCGACGGAATGAGCCGTGGATGAGTTCGCCCAAGCAGGCAACGTCTCCGTCATCGCAGTCAAAGAGCATAATCTCCGAAGTTGGATTGGCCGGCTTCCCGACGGAGAACTAGTCCGGAAAGAGAAAGGGTTTTGTGCCTCAGGGCTGAGGTTTGAATACTGTGGTGAGTCAGCAGGGCTCTCCACTGCAGGCTCACCCTTTCCTTTCCTGTTCCTCGATCAGCAGCTAATCGTCAACATCATCGTGTATCATGTGGCTTCCACCTCCTTGCATCATTTCCTCACGTCGCTTCTTCCCAATCCTTGCTGCGCATGACTCCAAGATCTTCTTCTTAATCAGCACGAGTGCATCAGTAACGTCAGCAACAGCAATACAAGCAGCATAGGGAGTAGTCTAATCTCCGCTGTCCAGAGACAAGACTCGCTCGATGTCTGATTCCGGCGGAGCAATGTGGAGCACTGCAAACAGCCACCAACGGAGCCACCCCGTTCTTTGGCCCGCTCAGAATGGCTGACACGTCTGCATCACTGCATTTCATCTTTTTGTCAAGCCCTCAATGGTCAGACTTGGGCCCCCATCAGCAGATACAATAGATGAGCGACTACTGCTTACAGCCTCTGCTCCGGCCGTTTGTTTTAGCTCTGCGCCCACCCGCCGATCCGCCGACGCCACATGAGCCTAGGACTTCGCCGTCGGCTTGAGACGGGTGGGAGCCCCCTCGTTCGTGCGCATTATATCATGCCAGTCCTGCCTTGTACACTCTGAAGTTGCACATCCTGTTCCTCGGGCCTACCATCGACCCCACTCCATCTGCACGACTAATCATCTAAATCTTGTAACCCTACTTGTGATGTCCGCAAGTCTCGACCGACTTGTCGCCTAGGCCTCGGTTCATTCTTTCTTTCTGGCATTCACCCCGCGTGCCAGCCCCCCGATCGCGGGCAAGACGTATCTTTTTATGGACCCTCGCACCAATTGACATTCGATATATATCAGCATCATCTCCCATGCTGGACTGATTCCTCTGCTCGCCAATTTTTCCCACGCCTCCCTCCGTTTGCAATAACCCCATCGGTGACTGACTGACCACCGATCGCCCATTATGTCTGTCGTCCTTACGATAACGGCTGTCGCCGCCATTCTTTATGTCCTCTGGACACTACTACTTCGCTGGCAACATGCCCAGAACGCTCGCCGCTGGAATTGTGGTTCCATCCCACATTACCCTGGAGACTGGCTCGGAACCAATACTCTCAAGGAAGCCCTTCGCTATGACAAGGACCGCAACCTGCCTTATTTGTCGCGTCACCGTATCGAGAAAATGTCTGCCAGCCAGAACCGCTACACCACCACTTTCCAGTTCCGCCAGCTGGGACAAGATATTATCTTGACATGTGAACCCAAGAATGTCCAGGCCGTCCTTGCTCACCAATTCAAGGATTTTGAGCTTGGCACTCCCCGCCGCAACGCTTTTCACTCGCTCTTGGGCAATGGAATCGTATGTCCACTGACTTCACCGAACGTTTCTATTTGAGACTAATGTAGACCCACCATTGTTTAGTTCACTGCCGATGGCGAATATTGGACCCGCTCCCGCGGACTTCTGCGGCCCCAGTTCACCCGCGACCAGATCAGTGATCTGGATCTGGAGGAGCGGCACGTACAGCAGGCTATGCGCCTCATGCCCGTGGATGCTACTGGCTGGACCGAACCCACCGATATCCAGACTATCTTTTTCCGGTTGACCCTCGACTCGGCTACGGAGTTTCTCTTCGGTGAAAGCGTTGAGAGCCAGGCTGCTGCTCTTCGTAGTGGCAGCAAGACTCAGGATGACTTTGCTACTCAGTTCGATCGCGGCCAATGGTATGCGGCACAGCGCGCCCGTTTCGAGAAGATCTACTGGATCGTCAACAACAAGGAGAGCCGCGAAGTTGAGAACTATGTTCACGCCTACGTCGATCGCTTCGTGGATGCTGCTCTCAACATGGATGCCGAGAAGAAGCCTTCTCACTACGTCTTCCTCCATGCCCTTGTCGAGATGACCCGGGATCCCGTCGAACTACGTTCTCAGCTGCTCAACATCCTCCTCGCCGGACGTGACACCACTGCTTCCCTCCTCAGCTGGTGCGTGCTTCTTCTTGCTCGTCACCCCGAGCAGTACGCCCGCCTCCGCGCCGCCGTCGTCGAAGAGTTCGGCTCCTACGCTTCCCCCAAGGAAATCACCTTTGCCGGCCTCAAGGGCTGCAAGCCCCTCCAGAACGTCCTCAACGAAACCCTCCGCCTCTACTCAATCGTCCCTGGTAACCGTCGTATCGCCGTCAAGAACACCACCATCCCCACCGGCGGTGGTCCCAACGGCACAGATCCCGTGTATGTCAAGAAGGGCCAGGCCGTGTTCTACAGCACCTTTGTGATGCACCGCCGGCCTGATCTCTGGGGCGCTGATGCGGATGAGTTCCGTCCGGAGCGCTGGGAATCCCGCAAGCCCGGCTGGGAATACCTTCCCTTCAACGGTGGCCCCCGCATCTGCATTGGCCAGCAGTTCGCCTTGACGGAAGCCGGCTACGTGATGGTGCGCTTGCTGCAACGGTTCGACAAGCTGGAGGGCGTTGGCAAGACGGCCGAGGGCGAGATTGCCATGGCGGTGAGCCTGACCAATGCTCCCGGGGACAACGTGACGGTCCGGTTGCACGAGGGGAACTAAGTGTATGAAATGAGGTAGTTGTATTGGGGTTTCTTTGTGAGATTAGCGATTTTCTTAACGATCTGGTTCTATCAAAATACATAGACTTTCTTCTTGTGATATTAGCACGAACCTTAATAGACTCCCGAGTCCCGTGTAACCCTAGATCTAGTCTCCACTCTCCAGTGGCCATGTAGCACTTGGTTTCGGGTATTGACAGTGGATGGGAGCTCTTTGCAGGCTGCGGGATGATCCAGTGTTGCACATTGCAATTACACCAGGCCTACAAACGGGCCGAGGCGCATGAACGTGTGTACAAGGTCTCGGAGACCTGCAGAGGAATCCGCTGCACGGTGCGCAGATTGCCGTTGCGGGCTCAGCCGCTGGATATAGTGCTTCCACGGTGTAGAGGTGCCAGTGATATGTCCACTTTGCTGCTTTCATCGAAAGGGATGCAATCGGCACTCGGCCTTGAGGCCGTTAGCGGAAATTATGCCTTGTAGCCTAGGTACCTGGTACTTTGTCCAGCATGTGACTGGTAGTCCAGGACTGGGTACTAGGTACAGTATATGGGCGGTGAGTGGGCAGCCATAGTCACACTGGATGAAAAGAAAAAGAAGATGGAATGGATCTTCTGTAAGTAGACATGTAGCTGTACATACCACTCGAGCCACGCGCACAGTAACCAATCGGGAATGTGTATAGTATAACTTATTACTGCCTATGGATAATAGTCCTCCCAAGCAACAGGTCGCCAAAAAGAGGCAGCCCCTTCACCGCCCACTATACCCCACCCCCACCCCCCGCCCCACGAGAAAAAAAGGTAATGCCGGCAGAAAAACGAAATCCGACGGCCCAATGCCGCCATCGCGGGATTTTCCGTTCTGCCACACCCACACCCTCAACTTTTTCTGGTTGCACAACCTTTCGAGTTCCATACCTTTTCTAAACCTCTCCAAACAGACCTAAAGAGCCAAACAAAAATGCCCATCCTCACCACATTTCCCCTACCCGCCTCCCCGGCCGCCCTTCAAATCCCCGAGGGGTCCTCCTCCGCCGCCCCGTTCTTCCTGGCGTTCGTGACCTCGCCCGACCCGGCCACAGGACAGTCATGGTGCCCGGACGTGCGCGCCGCGTGGCCGGTCCTCGACGCCGCCTTCTCCGCCGCCGAGGCCCCGCGCCTGGCTGTTGTGGAGGTTGGGCAGAAGCCCGAGTATGTTGTTCCCCCTTGCGTGTAATTTCTTTTTTTACTTGGACAGTGGGGTGGGTGTTGTGCCAGACACATTTCCCCTTGTCTGTTGTTTAATGTATTTTGTTTGCTGGGTGGTGGTGGTGCAAGACGGCTAACGCGATGTGCTATTCACTCGCATTTTCTCACGGGTAGATGGAAGGATCTGGAGAATGTCTACCGCACGACGTGGAAGGTCCCGTGCATCCCGACGGTGATTCGGTATGAGGTTGTAGAGGGGAGGACGGTCGAGACGGGCCGGTTGGCGGAGGGGGAGATTCTGGAGAAGGGGCGGTTGGAGGGGTTGATGAGCGGGAATTGAGGGGTGGAGACTGTTTTTTATGAGGTTATGAGGGAGGGAGGGAGGGAGGGGGGCTTGGGGAAGGGGTTTGAGGGATTGGGATTTGTTTTTTTATGTTATGCGATGAGGTGTGCTGATATGAGGGAAGAATGATACTCATGTTTTTATGGCACTTTCGGGTGGAGGTAGGATACTAGGTAGGGAGCTTGCAGAGCTGCGGCTGAGGTGGGTTGGTGGAAGGTGGTTTCTTGTCGTGGTGGTCCGTGGAGGAGGTGGGAAGGTGAAGCTTGGATTGTGGTGCAGGAAGCTTGAGTGGACTTTCTTTCCCCCTCTGTTTTGTTCAGTCTTGTTTTTTTCATGCTCATCTCTTTTCAACTATATGACTTCTACAAGCTCTCTGCAGTGTGGAACTTGGAGGAGGTGGATTCCTGGATCAGCGGTTCTGAATAGGTTCCTTACCAACAATATAGACTTGCAGCGGATCATAGGAAATGGTGGTAAATGCAAGGGGGGTGGCCGTCGCAAATGAAGTACCTGATCTTGAGCTCTAGTCTGACCACCGTGGGCTCAAGTGGTTTGTTATAGGTTGTAGGGAGTCAGGTAGTGAGTATAGAATTTGCCTACAAAGATGGTAGATATGATTCGATGCAGCCACATCTTGAAGAGTAAGACACATTTGATTTGACGGCAATCCTGTGAGCAGATGCAGTGGTGAAATCCATGAGAAGGGAGCACAATGTACGCGGCTTACTGCTTGTCTGACCATCTGCAACCTAGCCCGACGTCATGCCATTCAAACAGAGTCAGTCTGAGATCGTACAGATGTAGGTGTAGGTGAAAGGCCTTTTACAGTTTGGGGAAGTCATGCAACCCTCTCGTTGGCAGTAGTTTATTCCTTGTGACAGCGGATCTCCAGGCGTTGCCTCAATCTCCAAAGGCTCTCGGAGCTTGAGCATGACCCTGCTGCAATTCGGGTTGATTGTAGCGTGTATCTGAGAACCCATGCTCCCGGCGATGAATCTGACGCAGCTTATGCATGCTGATACTGTGCCAAAGACCTCTTCGAACAACTGAGAACCCGTGACTGAGCAGATCGCCGAGACATCTTCTGTCAGTCTCCCACATCCCAAATGTCTCCATGTTAGCCACTGTCAATACCCCATCATTTCCCAGGTTGAGCCATAGATCGCGGGGTCCGACAAAAGCAAACATCTGGAACGGCGCCCTCCCGTCACACCTTTTCAGCGCAAGGATGAGCCTCTTCACTCACCCTATGGGATGCTGACTCTGCATATACGAAGGGAGAGTCTCTCGGAGATTTGATTGATGTGATGCATGAAAACGAGGGATGTCGATTTGCCAGAGAAACTAAAACCAAAGATTGTGGTAGTGGGACCTGACTACGGAGAATTAGGGCTGCTGCCCCCCTTGTCCTGGGGATATAAATGTGATGTGCAACGTCTGCATGGTAGATTCTAATGCCATTATAGGATATTGGGGTTGTTGTTACGTTGAAGGATATGTAGGCTGAGGCATTACATGCATGTTCTGGGGATGCTTTACGTGGTTTGTGTAAGAGATACCTGATGTCGATGCCACTGGGTAGCCTTTGCGATGTGAGGGATTCGTTTGGCTAATTATGAGATCGAATATAAAAGGTATGATGTCGATCACGATGTTCTTGCGGAAGGATCTCACCCCCAAGAGCGTTTCTTCTCACACCATCGCAGTAACCCGAAGAACACCTCTCAAATCCATCAAACATGGAGAACCAATCTACAATGACCGAGCAAGCCGACCAATGTATGCTGGCGACGGAGGCAGGCGAAGTGCGCTCATCCACACCGATGGCCGTTGAATCAGAGGACACCGAGGCCGAGGAGTTCCTCCTGGATGATGAAACGGAGGCGGCCGAGGTGCGCGCGGGCATGGCTCCCTTGCCTCACTCAACCAAGACTATGGATGCAACCCTACCCGAAGAACTAGACTAACTAGGCTGTTGCTTGTGTCTAGGCTTCGTCGTGGCAATCACCGAAGAGAAAACCAAACCCGACGAACCCCGCACAATCGTCGCCACGCAGCTTCCAAACGTCTACTCATTGCCCGATGATGTGGAGGTGAGCGCGGAGGCGTATCCCAAGATCCACTGGTCGTACGGACCTGTCAAGGTGAGCATTCAGTTGCAACAGTCACGTATCTTGATCTCTGCCGATGGCAAAAGCGCAGGAAACGAGGTGTGGAAAAAAGAATTCTAACAGCAAGGTGCAGGTGCTCGGGTACGTGAATCCCAAGAAGTTCGCGATCCGGGTCCAAGTGTCCGTCTTCGGGGCCAAGCTGTTGAATCTCACCGGGGATCTGCGACGTGGGATCTGCGCCAAGATCAATATCAAGTTTGCAAAAGGGTCGATCTGTTTCTTCCTCAAGAATGGAAAAGGTGAGCCTCCTATCTGGTGGTTGTGCTGCCACCGTTGAAGCTCCTGGCTGATGGGATTCTGTGTGTATAGAGGTGTGGGTCAAGTTGGACCTGAAGGCTACAGTTGGTGGGCACTATAAGAAGGAGGCGAAGCTGTTGACTCTTTGATTGAGATTCTTGATGAGTTATTTCGGTCCGTGGTCTGAGGCTTCTTGTTTGGAGTGGGAAGCAGGCATTGCGTCAGCTCTAGGGCTTGCGTGTGATGATTATGGATTGTTGTTGGATGACATAGTTACCGTTGCGAAATTGATGGAAGAAGACTGAGATATGTCTTGTTTGATTGGGATAGGTTACTACCAACTTGCACAAACAATCAAACTTGCTAAGTTCAGAGGAACAACTATTTACCCTAAATCTTGTTCTTAAAACTCTTTCGCATATCTGGGGATGGGGGCCGATTTAGGGCTACAGTGGCACGGACGTGGTTTGAGCTGAGGATGCGCCACGAACCCTCGGGGTGTCCAGCCGCAGCTGAAAAAGAAGACTTCAAGAGGATGACTGCCAATCAACCCACAAAGAACAGTTCAGCTGAAGTGCAAAGGGGTCATCAGCCACTGACACGGAGAACAAAAGACGGTCATTTCAGCCGAGCAGGAAATTTGTAGCGACGGACGGGCAACACGTGAATGTACTGTACATCAATGATAAACCCAGCCGATTCCCCTACTACTTGGTCTCCTGAAGGGAGGAGAAAGTGAATAGCTCTTTTAGAGATCTCTAATGATTAGTTAATCTTCACCATTCAAAGAAAGAGCGAGCAAAATGCACCGCCCCCTCACCCCAAACCCCAAACCCCAACCCGCGCGGAAGCGCCTCATCATCTGCTGCGACGGCACCTGGCAATCCGCCGTCGACGGCCAAGAGAGCATCCCGTCAAACGTGACCCGGCTCTGTCGCGCCATCGACAGCGTGGGGATCGACCCCGTGGACCACCAGCCCTGGCAGCAGATCGTCTGGTACGACTCCGGGGTTGGCACCAACACCACGGCGGCGGGTCCGCTCCGCAACTTCGTCGAGGGCGCCCTGGGAAAAGGGCTGGAGGGCAACATCGTCGAGGCCTACCATTTCTGCGCCCTGAACTGGAACCCGGGCGACCAGATCCTGTGCTTTGGGTTCTCGCGCGGGGCTTACACGGCGCGCGCCATCGCCGGCTTGATTTCGGATATCGGCATCTGCCCGCCGCATCAAATCGCCAATTTCCCGGCGCTGTGGAAGGTGTATAAGAAGACGCCGGCGGGGGAGCGGTTCTATGGCAGTGATGCGTATCATGAATTTTTCAGGGGGCGGCAACCATCCTTTGTCGGAGAAGAGGGGGAGGAGGATAGAGAGGAGGATGAGGGTTCTTGGGAGTCGGCCGCAGAATGGGCATCGACACCGGAATCACGGCAGGTGCAAGTAGTTGGGGTCTTCGATACCGTCGGCAATTTGGGCTTCCCCGAGCTGTTCGGCCATGAGCTCCCCGCGTGGCTGACCTGGACTGATAAGCCTGAATGGCATAATGTCGGTCTTTCGCCTAGTAAGCAATTCCCTCCAGCTATCATTGACTCCGAGTGAGACGATACTGAACTCAAGCCCCAGATATCAAGAACGCATTCCAAGCGCTGGCGCTGGACGAGCATCGACGACTGTTCCGCCCAGCCATGTTCTTCGTCCCGACGCCGAAAACTATCACGGAGAGCCGATCGCGAGAAATCAAGCGCCAGGCACGGGACGCCACCCGTCAGTGGCTAAAACTCGTAAGAAGCGGCACCGCCAGCATCGAGGAGCTACACGCAGCCCAGAAACGACGCAACGCGACTGCACGCGAGCTATTGAAGTGTGAGGACAGCCAGAAGGAGCCGTCCCAGCTGACGCAGGTCTGGTTCCCCGGGTTCCACATCCACATCGGGGGCGGATCCAGCCAGACCCTCAAGAACAAGGGCAACATGGAAGAGATGTCCCACATCGTCTTCGCGTGGATGCTGGACCAGATCCAGGGGTACGTCTCCCTCGACCGCGAGCTCCTCCAGCTCGAGGAAAAGACCCGGGAGGATCGTCTGCGGCGGATCAACGAGGCGCTGGAGGCGTACCAGAAGAAAGAGCGTCGCTGGAAGTCCGAATCTTGGGCCCAGTGGCTGTGGCGCACGGGGCGGGGTCTGGTTGCCGCCGTGCAACACCCACTCACCCCGTCGGGCGATGCTCCCCCGGCCTATCGCCAGATCCGTCAGTATGGCTGGGCCACCGCCGACTTACCTGACAGTTTCGACTTCACCTACCGCCTCAACGGGTCGCTGGCGCGCAGGCCGCGTCGCTATGTTCGGAATGCGCGCACGAATGAGATCCTCGGACATACTTGCGAGTACATTCATCCAACGGTGGGGTTTCGGCTGAAGCACGTGCCGGGGTATCGTCCGGCTGGCCTGCATGAGGGCCAGTATGCTCGTCTGCTGAGGGCTGACGGCCAGGGCTACGAGTATCGCTTTAGATACCCGGGTGAGAAGGATGAGGAGGTCTTGCCCGAGTGGGAGATGGCAAGAGATGAGCTCTCCTGGGAGCGGTGGGTTGTGAAGGGAAAGGAGGCGTTGGCGTATGTGGACAGCCTACTCTACTGACTTTGGTTAACCAGACCCGAACGAGTGGATGAACCTACTGGTACGAGTGATCACATCTTCTTGGGCGTCCGTGTTGAGCGGCTTGCTTTTATAGGTGTCTATTCGGGTGTTCAACACGAGTATATATCAACGTGCTGAGTACCCCGGGAAGATATCAAAAGGGAGAAGAATCACATTATAAATGGTACTAGCCCCAACCTCACCAAATCCAACCCTCATTCGTCCCACAGAAATTGCTATAATCGCAACCGCCACATATAAGTCTGGCCCTTCTCTTCTCCCCACCCTTCGTATTTTGTTGGAACATAGCACCGATTCATAAATAATGAGTATATATTTTAAAATGCGGTACAAACACTCACATACGACCACAGGGTGTGGAAAATAGGGCTTCCCGTCCGCTCAGCCGTACTCAAGCCACACGCCGGAAGGTTAGTAGTTGGGTGGGTGACCACCAGCGAATCCCTTCTGTTGTATGTTTTTGTTTCTCTTCCTTTTTCTACTTTCCATTTGTAACACCGTTTGCCCATGTTTCAAGCTGCCTCATTGCTTAATCTTCAATGAATGTTGGTCACAGAGCAACGCCAAGAGTGCCTTGCATATAAGAGCAGTATTGGAATCAGGATCTAGCTATACATGGCGTCTTTCTACTTAATCCGCTCGCATGACTTGGTGTCAGAACCTTTACTAATTTAATCCGCCTTTGCTTACAACTCAATGTCGAGAATACATTCCCCGACCCCGCGATGCTACTATCACTTTCTTCACGGGGCTTTATAACACCGACCTGTTTGGCGGAGACAATCCCTGTCGCCGGGCAAAAGACCTCTCCCCCCTCAGATAAAACAGGATGCAAGGGTATTAGGTACCAAGTGCGCGGCAGCAGAATATCTGCTTTGATTGAGGTCGAGATTCGAGTTGGCAAAGCTGGGATCTGCGGTGGATGGATTAGTGGTGGAGTCGATGGTTGCCGGCTCCGCAGTCGCCAAGTCTAACTGGAGGGGCCAGGCACGAAGATGCTGTGTTATCGAGGTTCCACCTAAGGTGGGATCCGGAAGTGGACCGGTGAGATCTACCTCAGTCGAGGGTGATCCACTGCCCGGTCATTAGGTTCTGACAATTAACTAGACTGCGGTTTCTGAGGATCTCTTCTGGGCTAGGGCTGCATGTATGGGTGGCCCCCACTGATTCCGTCCCGACCTTTCTTGAAGCGCTGGTCATTGCAGAGCTTGGATATGTGGCCACCACGGTAGCTATCGAGTTTTCAATCCTGCTATCGTACCGAAGGGTCTTTCAGATTCCCTATGTTATGCACGCTACAGCGAGAGTGGCCGTGGTTGTCTCCGCCTGGGCGCTCGCTAGTGTATGTCATAATCCTTTCATCGACTTGCGTGCTGATCAGCTAATCTTTTTTTCTTTTTTCTCGGGCCGCCAGGTTCTGATTGTCTGCCTCCAGTGCATCCCCTTGCAGGGTTACTGGGATAAATTTGTCCCCGCCAAATGTTGGGTCAATAGCCACCGGGATTATTATCTGGGCAAGTCTATCCCAGACACGGTCACAGATCTGTGTATGTTGGCTATTCCGCCAAAACCGATCTGGCAACTGCACACCAACCGAATACAGAAGGTCACGGTCATGCTTACATTGACTTGCATCGTGGGTGGACTGGACGTTGTTATTCCAGAGTGGTTACCGAATTTGATGAGGGGTTCTGGGGGAGAGGGGAAGGGGGGCGTTAAGCGCTGACTGCATCGCTAGTGTTACCGTCATCTCCATAATTCGGCCTGTGTGCCTGCTGAGCGTCGATCTGAGCTCGGAGGACATTACCTGGAACTTTGTACCGTACCTGATCTGGACGTGTGTCGAGTTGAACGTTGGCACAGTTGCTGGTAAGTCTACTGCCTCCATACATACCTTTCCCCCCCTCGCTCCTACGCTGTCTAAGCTCGGAGGATGATGTTCACAACCACCAGCGTGCCTCCCCTGCCTGCGACCCTTGTACACATATCTCCGAACCCAGATGGGGTTGCCGAGCGCTTTGTCCAGTTTCCAGGCGGGCAAGAGCAGATCGTGGCCCAGCAGCCGGTCGAAATCCGTCGGCAAGGGTCGATGACGACTGTTTACGGAGGAGGATGAACACTACGGGGACGGGGTGCCGATTCAAGCGGGGATTAATGTCCAACAAGACTATTTGGTGCAGACCAAGACCGCGTCCCACAATGGTGACGTGGAACCATCGTGCTAAGGAGTTTGGGGCGCGGTGTCGGGATAAGCACTAGCTAGAAGACTAGTCGGGTGTCGATCGGCAACCCTTTGTTACGGAGTGCCTGCCCGAGATTGGGGGCTGCTGCGAATGTATCGAGTCTACCCAGTTAATGTATTGCATGTGGTTATTTCTTTTTAAAAAGGGAAAGACTCCTTCACTTCTCTCCGACTGCCAAAATCCAAGGTTCTCAGAGCAACAGTAAATGGTATGACCATGATGACCCCTTTCCCCACCACCTATTTCTTGCGACGCGATCGATCCGAAGCAGTTCGGTAGGCCTACACCCACTCATCATATCTATTCTCTTTCCCCGCTATTTTCCTCTGCTAATTCCCACCAAACTTTTCAGCCTCGACGCCCAACACCTCCTGTGGCAGCTGCACACGAAATATCTCCTGCACCCAGAGATTCCCCGCAAAGATGGAATGGTGATAGCCGATATTGGAGCCGGAACGGGGTAAAGGGACCTTTCTTCGTCTTCCCCAAAGCCCAACCTCCTCAAAACTAAACAAAATCCAGAATCTGGGCCCTTGAACTTGCTCCCAACCTTCCCCCAGACGCTCGCATCGTCGCCTCCGACATTGCCGACACGCACTTCCCGGCCAAGGAGTATTGGCCCGCGAATGTGCGCTTCGAGCTGCTCGACTCGCTCAGCCCGACGATCCCGGAAGCCCTAATCGGCCAGTTCGACGTGGTGCATCTGCGCATGTGGGCCTTCATCATCCGCGACAACGATCCGAGTGCGTTGATCCGGCATGCTTCGAGATTGCTGAGTATGTTCATGTCACTTTGGATTCAGGCGAACAAGAAAAAGAAAAACAAGAAAGAAAATCATGCAGGAAAACAAAAACATCCAGAAGGAAGCAAAGAAGCTAACACGAAACGGCGAACAGAACCAGGTGGCTATCTCCAATGGGAAGACGCTCGATTCGGCAGTATCGTGCAGCGTGGTCTCCCGGCTCAGCGATTCCGGGAACTGATGAACCGGCAGACGGTGGTGACCGGGCATGATTTCCGGTGAGATTCTCTTCCGTTAAGTTTCATTAGATTGCTTCTCCGCCCTTATCTCGGCTCTCTGCATTGTCCCGGAAAACTATTTTCAAGAGATATTAGTTATCAAGACTGATATGGGAACCTTCTAGATGGCTCGATAACCTCGCCCACCACATCAAAACCACTGTCTTAGACGACAAGGCCGAGACATTGGAGGTGGTCGAGTGCCGGCAGCAAACCTCCTGGGCGACTCCACAGCTCATTCCCCTCGCCACGGATACCTTCATGTTGGCATTGGAGAATAGCAGTGCTGTGTTGGATAAGCTGCGGGCGGTGGCGCCCTCGGTGCCAAGTCAGGAGGAGTGGTTGGCCGGGCTGGCGGCGTTGCATGAGGATGTCATGCGGAAACAGCCCAGAGATGAAGAAGAAGAGAGAGGGGAGTTTCATTGGCTTCCGGTTTGTCTGTTGGGGCGCAAGATGCGGCACTGATCTCTAGGAGGTCATTACATTGTTTGTGGAGTGGCATCAAGAAGTGAGTATGAGTTCTGTGTGGGAGGCACAAGGCCAATTGAGCTCGAAAAAAGTTAGGAGGACGTCGACGGCATTGCATTATCGCGCGACGCGAGAAATGCGGCGCGAGAGGGCTGAGTACTACGACCACCTAGGACAAAGAGGTCTCTAGAGACAGGGGTCCAAGACTTTGGTTTGTGATTATCAATTGGTCTGAGAGTTATTATACTTATTCGACTCATCTACCAAAGTAAAGCTAGAGGCGGCTTTGACGCAGTATGTAAGAGTACAAAGAAGATATCAATTAAAGTCCCAAGAAAGGCTCGAAGGCAACCTACCTCCACAGACATAAGACAAAAGATTGTAAGAACCCAATGCGTCAAAGGTGTGGTTCGACATGCTAGTGCGCTTTGCCAATCTCTACTGCACATATCCAGATACCTCACAAATCACCCCCCGCAGTAGCACCTCCACCTTCATACTCAATCATCTTCTGAAGCGCCAACCGGGCCAGCTCCTGAGCATGTACGCCAACCCATACCTCATTTGCGGCGAATGCAAATTGATCCTTCCACTGCTGCCACCGCTGCATACTCCACATCTCCGGCCGTTCGACAATCTTCTCCCTCTTCTGACACTGTTGATAGACATACTGCCCCACTTCAGCACGAAGCAGCCACTGCACACCCGCAATGATCCAACCAGCAAGCCATCGGAACCCCTGATCCTGGCCAAACCCTTGACCCTCGGGATCATTTAGATCAGGGTACCAGGGGTGCAAAGGAAGGATGCCCTCCAACGAAGAGAGCCACCCGCAATCGATCAGATCCAGTGCCGTCATGCGCGCGATGGCAGACTGGAAGTTCCGCAGCCGGAGGTCTATCTCAGTAGGGGGCAGTCGCGTAGCCGCATAAAGGCGGTATAAGTAGGCTGAGAGACGGAGGTTAGCCAGGGGTTCTCACTTCAATCTCTAGCCAGGCAGAAAGATAGGGAATCGATCGGAGGGGGAACAGAAAAGAAGGAATACCCTGTGCTTCGTAATGAGCCACCATCTGCAGGAGTAACCAATGCCCCCCAATCGGCCACACTTCTAGAGTCGTGTACATGTTCTGCTCGACTTGATCGTCCGAGGGTGATGCTACCGAAGGTGATGCTATAGTGACAATCTCATGTCTTGGTAGATCACGCAGCGCCTCCAGAAAGGCGATCAGGCGGTCTTGGCCGACATGGCCGGGCGGGAAGGCCGAGCCTAGTCGGAAAACCCAGTGCATGAACATTTCGATATGTCCTCCGGGATTCGGACAGTGGATTCCCAGCTCTCTCTCATTGCTGTCAGCGGGTAATGGTAATTGGCCACGGATCTCGTCGGGCAGGTCTTCGGGCGAAAAATGATATGCCCGGTGCAGTTTGTATAACCGCTCCGAGTCGTGCGTGATGAAGGTGTCTATTTCTATTGCAGCCTGTTTGGGTGTGACTTCACCCTCAACAATTGCGACCAGTTTGTTCTTATAAAAGAGGTCTTCTTCATCATCGTGGTGCTCGAATATGTTGAAGTCAAGGACAGTGTCGAAACCGGGGTTCTCCGTGCTTTTTAATGCAGACATTGAGAGGGTGAAGTTGTCGCTTTGGCTTTGTCGAGAAGTATGAAATGGGGAAAAAGTAGATTGAGGATCCGAATTGAAGAGCCGCTGGAAGTGGGGTGATGGGGGTCATTGTCTGGTTGTGGCGTGGCTTCGACATGGTAAGCACTAGTGAATGACTTACAGCTTGCTTGGTGGTAGGGCTATCCTTCCCGGTCGGGTTCGTCAGCGGCCAAGCCCAATGAACAGGCCTAGGCGTGCACAGGCTTATAAGAAGCACGCTTCTATCCAACAATATCTTCAGATGAGTCAGAGCAAATGACAATGAGGTTGTCTAAATTCCCTAAGGAGGATCATTCGAGCTTTGCGTGGGATAACGCCCCCAAGCTTGGGGTCTTTTGCCCCAGATCGCCCCTGGCAGTCTCTGATCATTCTGCCCCCGTACAAGCATCAGAAATTACCTCAGCTTTTCAAGCAGACGAACTCTCCAATAGAAGCGCAGAAGTGTCTTACATGAAAGTCTAGTCTGTCTGATATATATGCCAAAACAGTTCCAGTAGGATATAATCTCTTCTCACGAAGCTAATTCCGGAACGCATAACAATCAGTCTGTGTTTTTATTGGCGAACTGAGCTGCTTGTGTTGGCAGTGCTAATGTAGGTACCAGAGACATCATGTCTCGCTTACTAGTTGCATTCGAGAAGGCAAGCATTGAGGGGTACAGTATAATCTCGCTCTGATGATGGTCAGTAGCTTTCTGCTACGGAGACAATGAGCTATAAAGCCGGCAGGATTCTTTCTGTGAACGACCTTCTGCCCTACACAACCGGACATGTCAACAGCCTTTCTTAATCATTCACTCCTTTACTACACCGATCTGTTTGTATGCACATTCACTCCTTTGCCTAAAATGCAAATCAAGAACATACTCGCGCTTTGTTTTCTTGCCGCCCCGGCACTGTCAGCTCACACCAGAGAGTATGGTGAGAATGGCTTTGTGGGAATCAAGAGGAACAACAAATGACGGGTCGATGCTAGAGAATACGAGGAAAGCACCGATGTCTTCAACATCTTGGGGGCACGTAGCGTAAATCCTGATGAAACTGTCCAGTACCCTGATTTCTTTCTTTACCTTCTCAGCTTCACACACCCCTCCGCAATGGCTGACGTGGAATTATGTTTATGATGGGGCACTATCACCTGCACTCCCAAGACCAACAAGAGTACGGTCAAAAGCTTCAAGATAGCCACCTCCACCGCCGAGGCTCAAGCCAAGTCCGGGGGCTTCAGTACGACCATCAAGAGCGGCTACCCGCACCAGTACCAGAACTTCAACGCCCTGACCTGGGGCGTCCAGGAGTGTGACGACCAGCCGAAGAACAGTGACAGCAAGCTGCTGGAGTACCCGGTCTACTGGACCGGAGCCTCGAGAAAGGCGTGGTCCAAAGCCATGGGGACCAATTGAGAGACCCCGATGCGAGTCGTGTACATGGAAGGGGGCAACGAGAAATTGATCTACTGCGGTGTGATGATACATGAGACAGTGAAATCGAGCCTCTCGGGCACGGATGGGTTTGTTGTGTGTTCGTGAGGGGGGTTCCCCCTCCCTGGGCTCTCCTCATCCTTGAAATTTGGGGTTGCTCTCTCGTTTTCTCTCTCTCCCCTGTTATAATACTTTTGTGTTTATGGTAGAAGAGTATTGCGTAAAGAAATTTCTAGAAGATAAAACTTGTGATATCCGGTGGTTGGTAGTATGAGGTCCACATGCTGTGGTTTGGAGTCAATCACCCATAATTGAGCTAGTCTCATTTTCCTGACCCCCAAAGAAGGAGCAATCTAGGTATGACTTCGGGACCTTTTAGCCTTTCGAGAAAAGTCCAACACCCATTATATATTGCAGCGACTTAAACAGAGCACGTACTTGAAAGAGAAAAGATACATAATGTAGAACCAGGGTGGAACAATGAAGGAAGATAGAATATATGTTGTGTCCTTCATGAATTATGAACAACATAGCACTGAAACACGAATAATAACTGACAAATGCACAGAGATTCCATTAGCATGGCCCTGTTGTTCTTATGGGAGGCTTACAAAATCACAAATTCATCATATAATCAACCATAACGCGAGTTAGAATGTTCGATAAGAATCGGAGATTAGCACGGATATCGGGTTTAACTGCGCTGGTAGCCACTAGCTCCCATACCTCCGCGCAGCCGACGCCCCGCAGAACCAGATTTGCCACTTGCTGTTCATTGGCCCTGTCATACACCTGCATGATGCTTAACTGAAAAAAGAAATAACCTTCTTCCTTAGGGCTCTTCCATGGATGGTGCATAGAACAGCCCTTTTTAGGTCGTGGTTGCAATATAACGCCGCTCGGCCAGGGTTGCATAAATACCCGCAGATGGCGCTGTCCATGAGTGTCGGCCCTCATGTTCAGACGCACACTCCCGAAACTGCGAAACTTGCCAGGACTTCTTGAATCAAACTACTTCACTTTCCCGAAAATGACCAAGACTCTCCCATTCGGCGACCAGCAGGTTCCAGTTCCCGGCTTCGGCGCCATGGGCCTCAACCACGGCATGGGAACAGATCTCGATGCCTCCCAGTCCGAGGCCGTTCTTCTGAAGGCTATCGAGCTCGGATGCACCTTCTGGGATACTGCGGTAAGTTTAGGGTGTGAAGAACTTCCAGGTTGTGTCTAATCACGGTGCACGGGGCAGGTTGCCTACAAGGCCGGTGAGAACGAGAAGCTGCTTGGGGACTTCATCAAGAAGCATAACGTTCGCGATAAGCTCTTTGGTGAGTCAAATCAAGTTTTCCTCTGTATTTCTTGATGCATCACAGTCTCACATCATAGTGTGGTGTAGTCGCCTCGAAATGTGGCTTCGAAGTCTTCGGACCTGAGCGCAAAGTCACCAACTCGGCCGCTCACATCAAGGAATACATTGAGGGCACCATCGAGAGACTGGGCTTCACACCGGATCTCTACTATCTTCACCGGATCGATCCCAGTACGTAGCAGACAACTACCCGACCGTGGAACCGTGCTGTTGGAATGTATGCTGACCGAGCCTTTGCCGTGGAAAGACACCCCTCTCGAGGAGTCCATCGGCGCCCTCGATGAACTCCGCCGGAGTGGCAAGACCAAGTACATCGGCCTGTCGGAATGCTCTGCTGCAACCTTGCGCAAGGCCCACGCCAGTTCGTCTACCCGCACTTAGCTGGATACCTTGATATCCCGGCGCTAATATTCTCGCTAGTCGCCAAGATCGATGCAGTGCAAGCCGAGTACTCTGCGTTTGAGACGGTGCACGAGACCAGTGGCCTGATCGACACGGCCAAGGAACTGGGGGTAGCCTTTGTGGCCTTCAGCCCGCTGGGACACGGCTGGCTCGTGGACGACTTCGACTACAAGTCTCCCGATGACTTTGCCGCGGATGATTTCCGACGCACCGGTACGCCCTCCCACACTGACTGCAAGTTCGCGAACAGAGACTGACTTCCTGAGGATAAAATCCAGTCCCGAAGTTCCAGGGCGAGAACTTCTACAAGAACAAAGCCATCGTCGATGAGATCAAGAAGCTGGCAACTCGGAAGGGCTGCTCGGTCGCGCAGATCGCGCTGGCGTGGGTGGCTGCGCAGGGGCTCATCACCATTCCGGGTACAACCAAACCCTCGCGTTTGGAGGAGAACTGGGGATCGCGCAATGTGGAATTGACACCTGCGGAGCTCTCCGAGATGAGAAGGCTGGTGGAAAACACCAAGCCGACTGGAGAGCGGTTCAACGAGCTTTTTGGATCGTTGTGCGGCCATTAAAGCTCAAGCACATCTGGCTGACGGCAGGTTGTTTCGTCTGGGGCTGGCCTGGCTGGAATTGTGTCCTGGAATTGAGCCTGAAACTTTTGGTCAATGATTTAGATAAGATGCTTTGGAGATATAACCTTGTGTTAGGAGCACAGCTACTGCGTAGGATGAATCTATTATTCTCATAAAGCTGACTTGCATGTCGTAGCGCATCTGCACAAGGAATTCAACAAATGTCTGGCTACCGCAGTAAATATGGCTCTGCGTGGGGGATGTAAAGAGAGAAAGATAATATTTCTCTGATAGTAGCAATATTACCGCTTTGCGGGTAGAATCGGCATTGGGCTTTGTGGTGTATTATACCTATGGCGAGACTGGGGACGCTAGATGAAGTTAACAACTTTGTTGACGGAATAATAGCGGAAGGATACCCTCAGTCTGGTAGCTCGCCCCGAAAAGCATACCCCTGGGCTCGCCTAATTCTGTTCATCTTTATTTACCATGAATCACATTCACGGCAGGTGTAAGAGATCATTAGGATGCATTTCGACTTGTTCGTGCTACGCTACTCGAAAACCGAAGGAGCTGCATGCACCAATCCTTGCTTATGACTTCCAATTCACAGGGCTAGAATGACGTATAGGCAGATAGAGTCTCTAACCTTATGTGACAGGAAAAAGCGCTTCCTCATTGCGACGCGCTCGCCAGGCGTTGGTCGAGTGAAAGATCTCCCAGCACCCCCGGAGAACCCATTCCCAGGAGCGGGAAAACGGCTCAGTGATCTCCCACCCACTTGGATCCCACGGATCGCTCCAAATGATGATCCCGGAATATTCGCCGTGCACGCTGCCAAGCCCCTTCATGTCAAGGCAGAGCTTAGTTTCGTCATATGACTCTCCCGCTAGAATCAGGTTGTCCCGCATCGCGGGGAGGGGAAGCAGGTCAAGCCACGGATGGTGGACTACGGTGCGCTGCACTAGAGTAGGTTGGAGACTGGCGGGGAGAGATTGTACCATCTCGTGCGGCCATGGTCCCGGTAAGTTGAAGAACGAGATGGCATCATCGTCCATGTGCTCTGAGGTCAGACCCAGGATCCTCATAGTCTGGAGTTGGCCTCTGGTAAAATTGAACTGTATCAGATGGAGCAACATGTCGGAACGTGGGTCTCCAGACGGATGCTGCTCGCGCGCCACCGCTTCTATGTGCTGCAGCACGCTCTCCGGGTGACTGATGTCCGGGTGGAGAACGTGGATGTTTTCGACTTTTCTCAGAGCAGCTAGAGCCGTACTTTCCTCATGATCTGACAGCGTACGTACAGCCTGTCCAGGGTAAGAGGCCAACGGTGGCGCCACGGGAGCGCAACCCAGCTCCGCAGCAGATGAGGGATCGGCACTGTCGCCGCTCCGACGAGTCGGCAGACACTGAGGGCCTTCCACTTTTTTGAGACCTGCACAGATACTCACTTGCTCAGTTACATGCATCTTGCAAAACCTTCTTCCCTCAAAGGTGGGGGTCGGGGCTTATGGGCGTTCTGCACGCACAAGGACTTACGTCGCGCTCGCTGATTCAACCGGTTTTGCAACCTCCTGCGCAATTTGAGGTCTGCGATACCCGACCAATCTTCCTCGGGCCATTCTTGAATTCGTGCGGTGATTCTCTGTACGCAGATTTTTCTATTGGCTGACGATGTCCCAGAGGAGTCATCTCCTCGCTGAATGGAAAACCCATGGGTGGTGCTGTGGGCCATCCTGCTACCGGTCAATATTGCCGATTGTCGCTGCGGACGTATATGCAATCGGATGACAAGAGAAGCTGTAATTATCGTGTATATGAAGAAGAACAGGAAGAAAGAGCACATAGAAGTGGGCGGGAATATACCTCTGTGGTGCAAGCGTAGAGCTAAAGTAGCGATAGCCTTCGCCTGCAATCTCAGTTCATTTGAAGTGGGGCCTTATCAGTCCTGAATTGTCTTAGTGGAATCCACTCTGTCATACACCTGCAGGAGATCTAACCACTTCTGGCGATAGCCTCTTATCTCTGAACAGGAATGATGTTATCAAGCTTGGAAAGTTCTGGGCGTGGCCCTCTGGACTACATCCACCCCTGAAGGCCGGAGAGGTAGCCTGGAGATATTGATTTTACTCAAGTACCGGCGACCGCCTACCTGTCCTGATTCGTATATGAGCACCGCCGGAGATAACGGACGTATCGGCTTGCGTAGATTTTGGTCGCGAGGTTGAATCCGTGGTACCCTGGACACTCGAAGTCTATGCCTAAAGTGGCTAGTTGATGCGGGTAAAACTCGGCTAGCCGGTGAGTTTTAATGTAAATTACTGCAGTTCAGGGTAGTCGAGAGAAGTGGACATTAGTTACACGATAAACCTTGAAGGTCTTTTAATCCAGTGACCATAGTCAAGAACGCATGTTCTTCCCTGAATCTGGTATTTATCACTCTGAGAGAGCACTATCATTGTCATTGAAGTACCGAAATCTGATTCCATCAACCTGTTTTTTTTTAAATTTTTTTTTTCGTGATCATCATCAAAACCTTCTACCTCTGAAAGACCGCCCCCGGTTCTAGAGTAGTCAGGTTTGATTCTACGTAGCTTGAGCTCCACCTACTTCACATGGATCAATAGCCCGCAGTATACTCGGTCAATCAATTGTACCTGACGGGTAGATGGGATGAAGATCACCTTGCACCTGCCGAAACAGGGTGTGAGTGAGTATAATGTCTTCTAGACAAACTATTGGCAACAATAGCAAATACATTCCAGCATGGGTGGCAACGGTGATGCGATAAGAAAATACACGCCAAGAAGATACATTTAAGCGCTAGGATTTGCTAGACATGCGTTGAATATGTTCCTGTCCCCCATGTTTTTCTTTCACCTTCTTCTCTATGGTGTATATTGGAGACCCGCAATGAAGCGTACCAACCTTCGACTCGATGACCGGCTATCTCGGGCGCGATGACACGGCGTCGATTCCACACTCAGGAGTGATCGCTCCCATCCATATCGCCTGGCAGATATAAATATCGAACCATGCACAGCTGAGGACGCATTTGTGCATATTTTCTGCTCCCATCTCGTTTTTCCTTTTACAAATATATATGTACCTCACTATTGCAACAAACTCAAGCCCAATGGCCCCTCAAGTTTGGTTAATCACTGGAGCATCCTCCGGCTTTGGGGCCCTCCTCGCTGAAGCGGCGCTGAAGGCCGGTCATCGAGTTATCGCCACGGCTCGCAATCCGACCAAAGCGGCCAAGGACTACCCCCAGGTCACAGCTTTGGGTGGAACATGGCTTCCCCTGGATGTGACTAGCAAGCAGACGACTTTGCAAGTGGCACAAGCGATCCAAGACCATGGCGGTAGAATTGATGTTGTGATCAATAATGCCGGGTACGGTCTCGTGGGTAGCATTGAGGATATTAGGTACGAGGGCACAAATTGCAATCCGATGGCATGTGTATGGGGCTAAGAGATTACAGCGAAGATGAGCTTGACGTTCAATTCCAGACCAATGTCTACGGTGTGGTCAGGGTCACCAAAGCCGTGCTCCCCTTGATGAGGGCGCAACGCCAGGGCACCATCGTCAACATTAGTAGCATTGCGGGTTTTACCGCCGGGCCATCCTCTGCGGCATATGCCATGACCAAGTTCGCTGTCGAAGGTACGTAAGTGGCCAGCTCGGTCTTGCTGCGAAAAGTCGGGGTGTCCTGCTAACCTCCTTTCAAATTTAGCCCTGTCTGAAGCCCTGTCTACCGAGCTCGACCCATTCAATATCCGTATCCTACTAGTGGAGCCGGGCGCTTTCCGGACCAACTTCATCGGATCACACAGGACCCCCGCTGCTGGGCTAAATGAGGGCTACAAGGACACACCTCTGGCAGCTGCCATGGGTAAATGGGAGACTTTTGCGGGAAAGCAGAGCGGAGATCCATCAAAGGCGGTCCAGCGGATCCTTGATGTGATTCAACTACAGGGCCAGGGGCAGGGTAAGGAGCATCTTCTTCGCCTGCCGCTGGGGACTGATTGCTTCCCGCGCATGGTGGAGAAGCTGGAGAGTGTGAAGCAAAACCTGGAGGAGATGAAGGAAATCGCTTTGAGTACTGATGTCGATGATGAATGAAGAGGCGGAATGTTTTCTGATCGGCCACGGAGTGTGTATTGTACACGGCAGAATGAAAATGCTTTTGCAATAATTGGAAGTATCCTGGATTTAGGATTATCGAGTGGGTTGCGAATCCGGGAAAAGATAATATTTTTTCTAAGTATGCTTGAATGCAACAAGAGTGCTAAGGTTTGAGCTTCCACAAACTCTAAGGTGCATGTCTTCGCTATGCGCGCCCGACACTCTTCGGGGGTGCTACGCCAAGTCTATTCATGCTACCAGCATAAACAGGAGCAACTTGGCGTTCTAACCGTAGCTATTTATACGTTTGGTTCTCAGAACAAACTTTCCTACCCTATAGTAATCTCATTTTGCTACACAATCCAAATGTCAACTATACCTGTCCCTAAAATCCCTCCCATTCGTAGTCAATACCGCCATAAACTTGAGCTTCTAAGATAATAGGAAATCTAGTGATAGCCCGCTGATTCTACCGGCTAGAGTAATATTTGCGAGACTCATAAGATGGATCATTTATCGAACTGCTCCGTATTTGTGTCTGTAGACAGGCCCCTCCTGGATCCCTACTGACGACTGTATTCGATTGATCTACACACTGCCTGTCTTTTCTTGGTACGGCGTGTCAACTTTGTTTCGATGCCGACATAATTCAGCCACTGAAAACTCCTGTCTCCAAGACTGAATAAGCAGTGGTAACGAGAGCCAGCCAACTCTCCATCAAGCTCAGCTTTAGCTAAGGCCTACGACCGCCTGGTTTCAACATTTCGTACAAAGCAAGCGCTTGCTTGAATTAGAGCCCAAATAGCTAGAAGCGATAGCAAGCTCCACTATGTTGACCGATTTTGGATGAATTTGGATTGACTTTGATTGCCTTGAATTCATATATCGCAGTATAACGTACTTGAGAAGCATGACGCAATTGAAAGCTGTGATATTGAAAGAAAGAATGACGGAATAAGCTTCGTGACAAGGGAAATCATGTGAGTTGGGAGAACGAAAGAAGTCTTCCTCGACTCCCTTCAATGTAAACCCCTCGTTTACCTAATCCGCGGCCGATACTCCAAGGCATCCTCGCCTCGCTCCCGTCCATCGTCTTGGTCACAATGCTGGAAGTGTGTCGTCAAGAAACCAGAAGAAGATAATCAGTTACATATGACATATGCACCCAGCCCTTCCTAAGCAGGAGTCTCATACGCGGGTGGAGCATGCCGCTCCCACTCCTCAAACTCCGACAGGGTCACCTCGTACCCGAGATGCCGCTTTAACAGCTCATGCGTCACATACCGCTCCGGGGTGTTGCCCTGCGCGTCGACGAACGCGACGTGCGGGTTGACCTCACTGATGCGCTGGAGCTCGTTGGCGTGGCGGTGGTGATGCGGACACCCGTCGGCCCCGATCAGGAAGATCGTCACGTGGACCCACGACAGGCTGAGCAGCTCCAGCTCGAACTCATCCATGTCGGTCGCCTCCCCGTCCAGCAGGAGCAGGAGCCGGAGGATCGGCATCTGGGGCCCGGCCTGCCATCCGTATACCGCGTGGTAGGTCGCGAACCCCGCGTGCCGCTGGAAATGGAGGTCCTTGACCTGCTGCCAGCCCGCCATGACGCGCGTGCCGCCCCCCACGGTGATCTGGCTCCACACCGAAGCGAAGTTCCGGTGGTTGATGTAGCCCATGTAGGCGGCTTTGTTGGCGAAGGTCACCAGCTGGTAGCCCTCGCGGTTCTGGTCATGGGTGGCGAGCGCGTCCGTGAAGCGGCGGATCACTGCTTTGGCGACATCTGGGTGGAGGGCAGATTAGGATAGGGAAAAACTTTTATATCATTACATGGATTGAGGAGGGGGGGAGGGCACATACCTTTGTTCTTGGGCTGCATTGTCCGCTCATAGCGGGTGACCATATATTGCTCGTAGGACGGTCGCACGGGGTCAAAGTCCATGGAACCCGACACGTCCAGGAGGATCATTGTATTGTCCGTCGGCAACTCAGGCGCATCGATAGCCCGCAATGGAGATGGCATCACCTGGCGCGAGTAGCCAACGGCTGAGGGGGTTTGCGTCTGACAGATATCGTCCAGCGCCTCGTAGACGGGCGGCAGGTCTACAGCAGTGGCCATGCGCGTTCCCGCCATCTCGAGCGCGGAGATCACGTCCGGTTTGAGCCATTGTCTCGGTTCAGACCCGTTAGTGGACTCATCCCGATGATTCAGGACCCAGTACAGCCGCTCCTCAGCCGTATTTTCGTACCCGCGCCAGGTGGGTGTAAGTCCACGCCATCCCTCGGCCGCTTCGATTCGAAACTTGAGTGGGTTGGAGTTCTGCTTTGCCCACGCAACCGGGATTGGCTCGAAGTAGCCGGCGCGCAGGAGGTGGAGATACTGCATCGGGCGGTGCACACGGAGGGCCGCAATGCGCTGCGTCAACCCTAGGTGTTCCTGGTATTCGGTGACAATGCGGCGGGATTCGGGGTCGGGCCATCGCCCCGCCTCCTCCGCCAATATTGTGTGGCGCAGCTCGCGATATTCTTCTCTCCGCTTCGCTTTCCTGGTAGATTCCCGCTCCTCAGACGACCGGAGGGACAATGACCTGCGCATCTGGGTCAAAATCGACGGTTTGAGCGAGTCGGATCGATGGTGCGCCGTGTCCGAGCCATCGCCGTCGTTGGCGGCCACCGGCTCATCCTCCACCTCCCAGATGTTCTCTGTCGGCTCGTACTGATTTGCAATCCTCTGCGCAGTAGCATTGAGGCTGGAGTTCAGACGAATGGTTTCCACCAGCCACCGGGCGTGGTATCGGGCTACCGGCTTCTGGCGTACGCGACCTACGGGGCCATACGGAGTGATGATTCGGGCGTAAGGGTTGTTGTTCCATATCTGCTGGGAGTAATAGCAGTCGTGGTAGTATTTCTCACCTGTTCCCCCTCTGGCATGTCAGTTGTTCGCCCGTCTCGACAACGACCACCCAGAAAAAGGGAACGTAGTGGGTTGGAGCCTCACCGGGATACATCACGGCTTCGGACCACATCTTCAGCACCGCCACGCGGTTCTGCTTGCGGGTCTTGTATTGGTGGATGTCGCAGGCGCACGTCAGCATGTGCTTTGCCTCATGCTCCGGTTCAATCTCGTCGTTGAAGATCTGATGGTCCCACTGAATCTGCTGCAGTCGGTTTTGCATCTCTTGCTATAGATGCAGAGAGACTTCTGAGTTAGGTGCGAACAACACAAAAAGAGGGCCGAGGGAACGAGGCTCTGCACACACCTCATCGCGCGCGCGGAGCTTCGCCGCCTCAATAACCGAATTGGTGTGCACGGCTCTGGCTTCGTTGCCTCCCATTGCGACGGCCGCTTGATAGGAAGGAAGAGGATCTGCATGACCGGGCTGGGCACTCTGATCCTGGCTCACGGAATTTGAGGTGTCGACCGGTGCGGCACCGTTGGCGTGTGTGAGAGAACCATCGTAGAATTGGGTGACGGCCTCTTCGAGGGTGTTTGCTCCCTATCAATGATAAATAAGGTGAATCGGAAAAAGGCAAGCGATCGAGTAGGGGAAAAGCTTACCTGTAAGTACAACAAAGCTTGTCCTTCGTTGGCCTGCGGGACGATCGTGAGGAACTTGGCGATATCTTCCCGCGTGGGAGTCATGGTGGGGCAAACAAGTGACAACGTGTCGGGAGTCGGCGAAGGAGCACGAGGCAGCGGCTACCCATTGAATTTAAACTCCGCCGGTGGACTGCTTTCAGTGATGACAAGGCAAGCTAGTGCGCTGGGTGTTCAACCCGAATTACCCGACTATTGAAAAGCTTAGCTCAGGCACTGTGGCTTAGGTGACTAGGTCGTTCGTTAGCATGCGAAGTGGAGCACACCCCATCAAGTCAGCCGATGGCAGTGCGAGTAATCAGTACCTAGTCTATCACGTGTCGGGTGTCTACATTAGTAGTGAGTCACCGGACTTTTCCCTGCGATAGTATGGAAGTGATTCTATGATAAGAATAGATTGGATGACTGGCCTGACAAGTTCACCCCAGCCACGCCCAGGATGATTGCGACAATTAGGGCAGAGCAACCGAACGATTCTCCATCCCTGGATTTCCCCACAGTCTGCCCCACACCCACTTGTGGATCCTTCGGCAACGATCATGGATATGTGTACATACTCGTAAAACCGGCAGATCTGAAATGAGTAATCAGGTCTCCACTGACAAACATACACGACCTGACAGTGGTTTGTTCATTTCGAGGCCTAGAATAAACTCCGCCGCGAATTTCCGGGGGTGTCAGCGGAATCGATCTTTGATTCCGACGACAACCGCTGCAACGTTCTCGAAAAATGGATCAGTGTGAATTACGGCTCGAAGTACAGATGGCGCGGTGACCCGTGGTCACGACATTACCGGTCACGGTGATAGTCGTCTATGTCTGGGATTTACCCTGGCTCCCTAGACGTTAGTTTCCTTTACCAAGTAAGCAACCAGGGCAGTCAATTTCATTCAGCTTGCTTGATATGATTAATCTACTACATGAATCAAATGTTTCAACATCACTGCAGAAGTCAAATCTCCAAAAAATGTATCCTCCCACAAGAAACAAAACAAAAAAAAAGGGGGAGGGGCAAGACCCGAAAAGGCGAGGGGTGACGAGGGCTCAGAGCGATGAGAATACCAGTAGGACGTAGTGGTGAAGGATCCAACAACACCCAACCCCATCCTTGAACAGACGTTTGAGGACTTCGAGTTTAGAAAGGCCCTGGCCTCTTTCTTCCGGATTCTGCTCTTCTTCCTTTTCTATCTGGTTGCACCCTTCGCTTTCGTGCTCCGTCTCCGTCGAGGCAGTCTGACCACCCACTGCTATGTCCACTGCAGACCCCCGCATGAGTCGTTCCACCACGGTAATGATCTCTTCAGTTGACAACGAATAGTCGTTGGCGTATGGCGGATGGCTGATATCGAGATGATCGATTCTCTCCGACTTACTCGGGGGGCCTGGCACTGGCACGTCAGGTTGATCTAACGACAGAATCACGATATGATGTGGTCGGTTGCAAATCTTATAAGATAGTGGTAAAATGTCTCCCGAGCTAGAACGTTCACCGGGGAACTTGGGCAAGCCTCTGATTATTGATAGTGCATGACCATAGCGATCTACTGCCAAGCAAATCACGTTCTGCGAGGATGGACTCCTTAGCAATCCTCCATGTGTTGAGAGCCGTGAAGGCTGGGGTTGAGGGGAAGCAGAGGACCAACTGGAAGTTTGATATGATTGTCCGCCCACTCCAAGTCCTCCTTCGGGTACATAGCCAGATCCCGGACGACCGGAAGCAGTGCCTCATTGAGCTCGTCTCGGTATCGCGCGTTTGAGGAAGAAGCTTAACTTCGCCTTCAGCAACTCTCGACTCAGCAATGCTCGGACACAGCGTCCGCACGAGCGCAGATGGTAATCACTACTAACATGCCGCCGTGTTTATATATGTTGATGTTTGGTTCGACAAGATCTGGGCGGAGTCTGCCCCTGACGGCTCGGTCCGAGCCTTGACAGGCAATACCCTCGCTCTCTCCGCGGCCAAATAGAGACTCACTGGCGGGTTACGATTGCTGACTATCATGAAGATATATCGTCCAAAGCCCTGAAATCGCGATGTTGAGATATCAAACACCTGGCATACGATAATTTTGAACACTCGCAGGACTGGTGTTGCGTGGTTGGAGCGATACCGGAGGTTTATCAAGCTGCCAAGGATGGGGCACGGCACGTGCACTACGGACCCAACTGCCCCGCTCTAGTTAAATTGACAGCTGCAAGGGAGTAATGATGAGCCATGCATGCTGCATCATTGTAGTTCGGCCTTCAAAGATCTGAAACCACGGATGGTATTGCAGTATAGCTATAGTCTGGTGTGGCAGTGAAAGGGGTCTTGCTTCGTCAGATTCCTCTGTGACGTCTTCATTTACTGGCGCCCTATAATTGAAAAGGATCTGGGGAAGGAAAGTCAGTGGCGGTGTTCAGAAACAGAATAAGCGTTTGATTAACGTGGGGCAATTGAGTAAGTGAACACTTGGATAGAGAACACGGGCACCTGATAGGCACTACCGGACTAGACTCAACTCAATTAGTGAAGACCCAGTGCGATAATAGGTGCCAAAATAAGCTTCTGGTCAGGCCAAGCCTGAAAGGAACTGGCATTAAAACAAAGACCGAAGAGATAATCGTGACAATAACATTGAGTTGAAACGTTTGGCACCGCCTAGGGCATCTTCGGAGATGGGAGACAAAGAGAAGATCTTGCCGCGCAACGCGGAGGTAGGAGATTCTCTGCTATTTTGAGCCAGGCGCCGGTGACTATTTTCCGCTAATGCCCAACTTCCACACGGGCGCTCTTCTTTCCCCTGCCACCTATAGAGTACTATCATTGGGGAAATGGGTGTGAATGGCCGACAAAGGTTGTGTAATCGCATATTTCCACGCTTTCAGTGGTGCGCTCACCTCACGCATAGCACGTAATCTCTGGTTTGTGGCTGTGCAATCGGCCATCGGCGATGTCATCATAACAGGAAGACCAGCCCATTCTCAGCAAAATTCTACCCTCTCACCTTTCTCTTCAGCCACTGGGCTCGCTCGTGGGGAGACTCGTGGACTGGGTCTGGCTCCGGTTCCGCTCTATGTGTGTAGAGAGTTTGGAAAAGTTCTGGTAGCTTATCTCACGCTTTGCTCTGTAGTGCAGCAGATTGCTATGTGTAGAAGCGCGGAGCGGTGCAGCGTAGGGACTACAAAACACATCAACTTGGCTACTAGTGGTCGTCTTCCCATACTTTTACAGCTGGGCTTCGTATGCAATTTGGAAAGTGCTTCCTATTACACTCCAACATGACTTGAGGCTAGTCGTGATAATGAGAATGTCCTGGATGCACCAGTTTGGCAAGGTGTCGCTTGGGGCCACTGGATTGGTCTCCCTCTTTCCTTTGGCTTAAGGACTTGCTCCGCCTTACCCTCATTTCCTCCAAGCTACGACTTATCTCGTACTCTGCCAGAAGATCATTTTGTCGGTTTTTCACAGAGCACAGCTTTTCTGAAAAGGCGGTGCCGAGAACGTGCACCCGTTCTGAAGAGCATTTCGTTTTGTCTGTGTCGTGGACTCCTGCCTCTACTTTCCCCGCCTGTGCCTTCTTTTCCTTCACCAACGTCCAGTCACCCATCTTTCACTCTTCCTGATACTCCCCACTCATTTGTACTCTGTTCATCTTCTCTCTCTATTCGTCTTCTTTCCAACAAATCTACTCCGCCACAAGAGAACAGCTCTCTGCCTGAGCCTACGCTCTGCCTGATATACTTGATTACGCCAAAGTTCGATGGTTGGTTTCTCAACACCTTACGGTCGATCAGAATGTAATTCACTAGCTGGTCCTTCGCTTGACGTTCAGATCCGTTGTTCTAACCATTCTGATCCTAACAGTGAGTCCCCCGGCAGTAACCATGGTAAAAGGTCGCCGTCGCTGGCGACGACCTTGGGCTTTCTTCCGGTCGATTTTTCAATCCCTTCCCCATTGGGGTCCTCGAGCATCCGCAAACAAGCCTTTGGATCCACCTTCCTCCACACATGCTCCTACAAGCCATGGGCTGGGGATAGCTCTCCCTTCGACGGTGATTGAAAACATGGGTGAAGCAATTGTGGCTGCTGCGGGAGTGGATTCATCGGTCGCAAGCGGGACACCAAGCCCCACGGTCACCGTACACTACACCTGTGCTGAGAACAACGCCGTTCCTGCCTGTCGAATCGATCATACATCAAGTCAGTCAACACAAAAAGCCATGAGCGAGATTCAAGGTCCGCTCAGCGTGGGGAATGCACATCTTGAGAGCAGCGAGAGGAGTGAGAAAGAAATTATCATCCCACTACCACTCCCCTTGGAGCCAATTCCAGCCCAAGGCGGTCCTGAAGCCCCTGAAGTGTCCAGTGGTGATGATGATGATGATGATGATGACGATGACGACTTCTTCACTCCGACAGCAACAGTGGTAACGGCCGATCCCAACATCACGATCGAGGTTCTGGCCGCGCTGGATAGCCAGGCAAGAGCGAGTATTATGAAGAAGAGTATCCAAGAGCAAGCGAAGCTGATACTAGAGCCCTGCAACCTCGTGTTACTCCCCCTCGGATCCACACTGAACAACTACAAGATCTCTGTTCTTGGAATTGTGCGGGATGTTGACTGGTACTTTGCGGCAACGGCTCATACGTACACCACGGACTTTTATGTAGTGGACATTGAAGAGTTCGACGTGGTTATTGGCCAACCGACGATCAAACAATATGGACTTCTCAGAAAGCACACCGAGATTCCACGACGTGTTCTTCGGCGCCTTTGAGGGGTTATATACTTAGAAAGACGGAGAGGCGGCGGAGGGTGCACAGATAGAAGGGCACGCATGCAGCGCATATATCATATGTCCTATCCGCGTTGAGGTGCGGGCAGTGACACGTCTCATGCACTACGCCCATTTCCTCGCCCTGTCCTACTTCCATTGATGCAAGTCATTCTCTCCTCCTGAGGAGATTTCCTTCAGTTTTTATTCGTGCACTTTTCTGTGGTTGGTGTTTGGAACCATGGGGTTCGAAGAGAATAAAACATAGATGGCAAATGGCGGGGTGTGGGCATAATGTACTGATTCAGAATTGTTTTGAGACCCCGACCAGCTACTTCCGTACCCTTTGCTTTTCCTACTGTTTGTTATCCCAACTTTGAAGTTGTTCTTGATGTTTCCGACCGGCCCAGAATCGTTGCATGCCTAGCATGTATCCGGTGCTTTGTTTGCTTGCTTATTCTGATTTATCTAAAGTACAAGTTATGACTAGTCACTGTGACTCTACGATCTTCTTTCTAAAAGATAGTGACGCTTTCTGCAAATGTGTCTAACAGTGATAGGGTGGTTTAATGCTACCATTGTGCTTCAGCCTCGTGTAGCCTTTTCCCCTCCACCATGCAGCACTAGGCACCTGCGGCTCTTGGAAAATCGATGGTGGCGGTGAATGTTTATGATTGCCCAGGGCAATGGAGTTCTCTCTAGGTCGGACAGCAAATATAACAGGCAGTTTGTCCTGCCATCGAGCTGTCTTTTGAAGCAATTCTTGCCCCGGAACCCTCGCACTACCACGACAAATTGTCTATCTTGCAACCATCGCTGAAAGCTTTCAGACTGGTCACAGAGACTTTTCCCCCGCTATTCGAATGCAATCAAGCATTGTAGAAGTCCGGTGCGCAGCACCGGATGGAGTGCAACTACTGCTCCAAGCGGCCATATCAAGCGAGCTGGCGGTGAATATCCTGACCCCGCATGGACTTTCCCGCCTGCCGCCGGCATTTCCAATCCAGCAGCGCTCCGACCAGATCGCCGTGCAATCACCCACAGGCAGGCCATTCGCGGTCCGCGACTCAATCCGCTTGCACTTCTGGCTGCATCGAACCGCAGCCAGCAACGAGAGAGACTTTTACATTCCCGTCAATGAAGCTGCAGGGATTGTAGACCGGGAATATCCCACCAAGGTGCATATCATCATCGGAAGCGACTGTGATCTGACTTTACAGGCGTGGGACACGCGGAACCCATCGATGTGGCCGATAGCATTGGCTCCTCAGACCCAAGGTACGGCAGTGCACCCGCATTCCCCCCACGGACACCGTTGACCCTTTATATCCCAGCCGCAAAACTCACACAGGAGAAGATTCAGGAAGCGATCAAGAATAATGCAGAGGAGGAGAAAAGAGAGAATCAGAAGAAGTCTACAGTGGTTCTCAAAATTGCCTTGACCAACAAACACATCAAGACTGTTTTTAGACCCACTGCCAAGCTTCTAGCGTAATGATTCTATTGAGCGGCCCTCAATATAGTTACTAGGCCTTCTAAGATACTTTCTGTATAATACAGCTTACTTAAAAAGCATTAGTTATACCCGTCTTAAATTATCTAGTAGTCTCTTGAATAAGACCAGCATAAAGTGAGTCCTCAGCTCCACTCATCGGCTCAAATGGAGCTGGATAAATAATCATCCGAACATAGTACAGACCAGAACATACCCCGCTTTTGGGCATAATTTCAACCATCTGCACCCGATATCTCAGTGAGAAGCTACATCCATTGCTGAGAATATAAAAGTAGATCTGCAAATAGCCCCTAGAAGTGTTCATTTCCTAGAAAGTTTTCATATCTAGGATGGCCGAAAATAACCTCTTCAGCCGAGTCACCGTGCCGAGCCTCCTACAATCTCCACAAGAACAGGAAGAGTTTATACATCCTTGGGGTTCTACTTTCTCTGTCAACATTGATTCTCCACTGTTACGAACGTGGGATTATTATTCAGGTAGCCAACCCAACAACAGCGGCGAATGTTTAGCAAGACTGCCTCGTGGGCGATTAGACACCTCAGAAATCCGAAAGGATTATCTGACTATACACGCAGACCACAAGATATGGGAGCCGACCCCGTTCATATCATTTACCCAGTCGTCTCAAGAACTGCAAGATAATGCCAACTGGAGGATGAGCAAAAGAGGCAGTCAAACAATTACGGTTGTGAATGCGAATGTTCGTGTTGATAAAGGTCTTCCCGTTCTGAATATGGCGGACGAAATGCGTTATTATGGAGTCTCCGACCCCTACAACAGAAGGGATGAATATTACAGGAATCACTATATATGCTTATGGGAAATTACGGAAGAGGAGATTGTCGGCAATTGGGAATGGGATGAGCTACTCAGAAACGGTTGCTGGTATGAGCAAGTTATCTTGCCTGCATTCAAGGAGCATAATAACCGATACATGGCTAGTAAAGAGGCATTCAAACTGTCAGCGCTATGGGATGCTTTGTTCGATGTTTAGGAGCTATACATACTTTATGCTTCAAGGTATCTCGGCTGCAGTGAGACTGAAGAATTTGAAACTTGCTTGGGAGACGAAGCTTACTTCACTGATAAGATCCAAGATTTACAGCTACAGCACAATAGATGATGCGCTGAAACTGCTTGAAAAGACTGGAAAAAGACCAGACCTAGTACAAAGCAGCAATCAGATTTTCTGATACTATACTGTGATATGACTAGCTACTTATATTGATTGAACATCTGAACAACTTTGACTCTGATCCACAAACAATCGCCTTGTCTTCCAAATCCTGGATAGGTTCCTTCCATATATCAAATTGTTCACAACTCTTATATTATCTTACCTCTGTAAGAAAGTAATCTGGGATTGATCCGATGTATATGCCATGACATTTAGCCAGTGCCTTCCTCGAGACCAGACTTTTTGCGTTGAAAGCATTCTCCACGCAAAAGTCAATATCACTGGCAGTAACAGTCTTTGTTCAGTCCATTATCTTGGTCTCATTCACCCACTCGGCCACTAATAGTATTTACTTCATAAACTGATTGGAAGAATATGTCATGGATTGGTAAGAGGTCGTCACCGATAGTACTGAATAAGATAAGATAATGAGCGAGCATTAAATTCAACTTCTTTAGATTGGTGAATATTATAAAGAGTTATTCTGATAGCTAATTCACGCATCTATTTGAACTCTTCTAACATCAGATAAAAGAAATGAATTGGGATGACTATGCTAGACTCGCCGAAAAATTTGATTAGCAACAGTCTAGCTCCTGCACTGACTTGATAATATCCAGCTGCTGTTCGCCCATAAACAGCAGAGCCTAATTGATCCAATACTTCTCAGAATATCCGTAATATTGAAGATTAGAGGCAGCAAATTAGGGGTCAGGCTACGGACTTCGTATTTGCTGTTGATTTACTAGGGGTTATACCGTGATAAGAGGAGAAAGTGTTAAGGCCACAAGGCAGCTTTGCCAAAAACACAGGCGTTCCAGATTGTCTGATTTGTTCAACACGACTACTGTTCCAGAAGGATTTCTAGTACAATGCTTGACCATGCTAATCTTGCTGATTATAACCGGGCCACCGTGTATTATAAAAGTACCGCAGGCAAGACGGGTGTAATAAATTAAATACATGTTACATGACCCCCCCCCCCCGCGGCTTCAATACGGAGTGCTCAATAAAATTATAACACTAGCGTTTTGGCAGTGAGACCCGGAACTAAAAATTGTGTATATATTTGCCAAGCCAATTTCAAGATCTACTGTACTGGGCCGAAGCCAGCGGCTGCGAAGATCCGGACAAGGGGGCGGGGGAGAAAGGAGCCAACCCTCACAAGGTGCAGTGCAGTGACAGCATTCGTCTCATTACTCCTCTGGGTAGCCCGTGGGAGGAGCGTCACAATCGTCCTGCCTTGATTATGTCCCTGTCTTTGGTTTCGTTTTGCTTTTTGCTATTCGTGTTCCCCTTCTCTTTTCATTCTCGTCCTGTTTGTTTGATCTTCTCAGTACTGTACGTCTTGGGGACATTTTGACCAATTTACTCTCGGCTTCTGCACTAAAGCACTAAAGGACCATGGAATTAAGTCTCAGTTTTGCCCTTGCTTGGACCGCAACGCACTGGAGTCCATCGGGTTACCCATACGGGTTACAATATTTCCAACTGCAATTTACCGTGGGTGGCAAACGGCCCATGCGCAGCCTGTCAAATAACAATGTTGCATCTGACAAGTGCACGCCGTGTTCACTCGTATAAGCCAAATCCACCACTCACTACCCGCCCGCCCTTATTAGCGCGAGGCTGAGTGCATGGGCCGAAGATAGTACTGGGATGACTAGATGAATTTAGCTACAAGTCTACAAATTGCAAGCAGACTTCTGGGCGACATAAACGACTATATTGCACACGGGAGTAGTCTATCTGTGGCTGTCAGCTAGATGGCGTATTAGTTCTAAAATAGCTGGTGTATATTCGGCGACTATTCCTACACATACCTAGTACCCAGTAGGTTCTAGGATATGACCATACATCACACCACCCAGCCAATAAGCAGAAACATGCAAGTTGTCCTCTAAAGAGAAAAGTTCATCAGACGGCAAACCTCGATGCCTCTTATTCTCATTCTGTATGTCTACTATATATCCGTCAGACTGATTTCTACAGCCCTCTCTCCGCCCGCCTACTCTAGAAATCTTTAAAAAAAAAAGCCTTGTAGTTATTAATTAAGGCTCAAAATAAACTAACATGCCTAAAATCACTTCTTGTAAGTGGTTTTGTTTTTCTTCTATCTTAGATTGTAACACTATATCTCAAATTTTGAAGCGCTTGCTAGGCAGAGAACAATTATAACTTATACTGTTAATATACGTTATCAGGGCGTAAAACCGATACAGCCGCACGAGAAATAGACAAGATAACTCTATATATATCGAAACATCCTAGTTCTTTTTTCTACTAAAAAAAATACATTTGAACAAACATTAAGTAAGCTGACGGCGCGGAGGAATATTAGATATATTATATAGCAAGTAATCCATCGCAGCTATTATTCTGTTATAACTGTAATATAAATCTTTTAGTCCCGCTTGTTGCTTTATATCGCGGTTGATATTCTCGTAACCAGAATATAAGACCGTCTATAGAGCGGCGCTCCTCGGTGCAATAAAAGAAGCCCCAAGATATACAACGCGAGAGGTTACCGCCGGAGTATTCGAGTATTAGAACCAATTTATTGCCGGTGTATTAATATACACCGCGGCGGCAGAAACAAAAGCAACAGCAAACCCTGATAGAATAATTATTAGTACCACGATATCTACAAAATCCAGAAGCTGAATATTGCATAAAGCTATTAAACTACGCCCTTATATCCGACGACCGAATCCAATACTCGGAAACCGAACAACACGCACTTGCACAGTACGACTATATCTATACTATTATCGTCCAGTCTCCCGACGAGACAACCTGTCTTCGTCGCCAGATGGTACTCCCCTTTAACGTGGACGTGGACATCATGTGCGACAAGATATATCGCCGGCTTAATGCTCTAATCCAGCCCTACTACGAAGCCGCACTCACGGCGATTCCGGGCTATCCGGACCTCAAACCGGTAGAAACGGCGGAAGTAGAGTGGTCGTTTTGCGGCCAGCGCCAGACGCATCGCACGACGTTCCATATAGTCCGCGATCTCGATGTATTTTGTGTTGGAAAGGCCTACGACCCGCCACTTAAAGCTGAAAAGAATAGATTCGGCAGTGGCGAAGAGATTGCACGCCTCAGAAGTACGGTAATCAGGAATTTCGTTGAGTGGTCTGTTTTACTGGATAGAATAGGTAGTTCGGCTTCTTGTTCGTTTCAAATATTGTTTTTTTCCATTGTGGTATATATTAAGCTGGCCGGGTTTAAGAGGAGATATAGTAAGATCTAATTTAGCAATCCGCAGGCTAGTGAGAGAGAGGGCTGTGGACATGAATGGATGTTTTTGTTTCTGTGTGCGCTCTCTCGCGCTAGCACGCGAGAGTTCTAGCCTTCGCTACAGTTGCTTCTGCGAGGAGGATACAGGGGACTGAATGTGCCATCACTTGGCAGGCTGACAGTGCGGGCGAATCTGGAAATCATGATAGAAGGAGCGGGGGTGGTAGGGCTGGGCATTGATAGAACGACAATGTAGCGAGTCCTCCTCCCATTGAATTAGAATGAATGAGTCTTGTGGACCCATCTAACGAGTCGCTGTTGGCTCCTATTCAGGCCGTCCAACAATTCCATAGGCCATAGAGCAGAGTAAACACTCCCCCAAAAACAGTACGAACTGATCTGGCCTTGAACTCGGCCTTTGCATCACCAGAGCCTCATCGTAGTCATCGCAGTCTAGGCAGCTAGCCTTAGGCAGGGATCCGTCTGCAAAGATGTCGAAAAGCCAGTCACATGAGGAATAAAGTGCCTGCTCCGCCTCGTGCTGCCTGTATTTAACCAAGAGCTCTCCTTTAGAGAGCTGCCCAGTGAAAGCCGGCGCCTTTCAACATCGCTAATATTTCTGCATAGATACTCTGAGAGCAGTTAAAACATCCGAAGCAAACACAACCATTCAGCTACATAGAAGAGGCGAAAGCAAAAGAAAAAAAATGACTCGCCCGCCCCTCCCAACCCACCAAACCACCACCCCGGGATACGACAAACTCGCCACCCTGATGGCCCTGGACCCGGGGTCCAGCATCTTCCGGCGGTTTGCCAAGCTCAACGCCAAGAACCTTCTGTACCTCCAGGCGGAGCTGGTATACCTGCAGACGGAGCTGGACGAATGTGTCCAGAGAGACCACCGGTCCAGCTCGGACGAGAAGCGCGCCTACGCGTTCTCCGTGTGGCGGCTGCAGGAGTCGCTAGATCAACCCGAGGAGGAGTATCCGTCGCAGTGGCGGAAGGTCCTGGAGGCGCGGGCGCTGTTGAGGGAATACAGTATGATCCTGGTTCACTTGCCGTTTCCCGTCTGTCTATGTTCAAGATCGAAGGAGGGGGGAGCTGCTACTGGGGCTTTTGTTTAGCCCAAGACTCCTTGCTACTATAGCAATTGACAAAAGCTGAGTATGGAACAGATGAAGCCCTTCTCCAACAAGCGCAACTCCTCCGCTTGAGTGCCCCGGACCCTAGCGACCTTGAGGTCTTCAAGGATTGGCTCCTGCGCGAAGAAGCCAGTCACTACCAAAAATTTCGTCCTATGTACCAGTGGCATGAGAACGAGCCGGACCTGATCGCCCTGTGCAGTCGCCACGAGGGCGCCGATGCGTTCACGCGCTGGGTGTATCGATCCGTAATTCCCTGGTTCCATCGGCGCTGGGGCGTGAACGATCTAGTAAGTGACCCCTACCCCCCACTGGTACACCATTTCCCCTTATCGGAGAAATCACCGACCTGGCCACAAGAACAATGACACATCCCATGTTTCAACTGTTCCCCAAGCAGAAGCTTAAGGAGTCCCAAAACAGAATCGAAGAAACCACGCCACCGACGTCTGGTACTACAACAACCGCACCATCAAGAGCCGCACCTACGTGGCCAGCCTGCTGATTGCGGGGTTTCTGCCGGCCTCGTCCATGATTGTGCTGCACTTCCTGCGGGATACGGTTGCGCGACTGGTGACGATCTTCGTCTATAATATGGTGTTTGTCCTCGTTATGGGGCTGATGGTGAAGGCGAGAAAGGTGGATATCTTTGCGACGGCGACGGCGTAAGTTGCCTTCCTCATACCTCGGGATTCTATCATTTTTTGGAGGCTTGGGAGCCTTTAGGGTTTGGCTTAGGCAATTATTTCTCTTTTCTATTTTGTGGGTGGGTGGGAGAGTGATTTGCTGACCTTTTGTTCTGTGATAGATTTGCGGCGGTGCAGGTGGCCATGATTACGAATGGGAACGGGAGTGGAAATTAAATGCGACCATGTAGGAGTGTGTTCGGAAGAAACTCTGGCTCGATTGGTGGTTTTGTTTCAAGCTTGACTTTGTTGTTATAGGTATACTCGACTAGTGAATTCATGGTTTGGGAAAATTCTGATGCCAAATTGCTAGAGCCGTGCGCCAGACTGTCACATAATAAATAGTACCACAGCGAAATGAGCGCGGCCACTGCCACAAGACGGGCACGGCCCCTAGACGGAGCGCTGGACTTCACTAGCCACATTCCACCCGCCACACTCACCTCGTGGCATTGGTTGCCCATGTGACCACATTGTTAATCATTTTGATGTAGCGTCACCATTATATTATCACCATGTCGAAGCCGCAACCTCTTTTGCATTCGATACGATTTTCTCCTCCCCAGAGAACAGGGTAGAGGCTGCTCAGGCTGCTCATTTGTGTTCATAATTAGTCCACCCATTTCTAATATTGACGCCAATCAAGACTGCCATGCGATCATTTAAGCCTGCCTGTCATCAATGCACATATCGTCCTTGTCGTTTGACAAATCAAGGGGCTATGGGTGCCCCACTCTCGTACCCACCTTGAGACCCACCTGCGATGCACTGCGTTCACTCTTTGCCCCACGTCTATGTATGTGTAGAACATGCATGGCGGTTCCGGGTTTCTTCCCCATAATGCGGATTCGCCTACCTTCACGTTGACAGGTTTTACTCCTCATACTGTTAGAATAATCGATTCAACGAACAACCACCATCGATCAATACCACCATCAATCAATATACTCACAGAATGGACTGCCCTGCTGTCTAAAGCCCACGTGCAGCCAGGGCCTCGACCAGCCTAACAAAGAATCGCTGAACATGTGCTACTCCTAAAACCGAGTGATGCTCGCCCGGAACCTCATAGTACTCGCCCCCATCTCTCGAAAACTCCTCCCAAGCCGCCAGCCGCCGCAACCACTCCTCTTTACCCACATTCAAGAAGTCCAAGGGCTTGCAGTGAAAAACATCCATATGCGCCACCGTCCCGCCCGGCCGATACTCCCTGCCAATCTCCTGTAGGCTAAACGCCACGTCAATCCACCTCGAAAGACTCCTGTCATCCAGCCCCAACTCAACCATCCGCGTATGATCAACATGCGGAAGCACAATTTCTACAGCCTCCTCCCTCGTTGCACCTCTGACCGCATCCAGACACTGATGCAGCGCCTCGCGCGACAAAACCCCAAGGAAGAAGGCAATGTTCACCAGACATTCCGGCCACTGCACCTGGCGCAGGCGCGGACTCACATACGGCGGCCGGTTGAGACTCGCCAGGAACCGCACCTCACTGCCCTCGGCCTCGAGGGTCTTGGCCAGCTCGAAGGCGACCATCGCGCCGTACGAGTACCCGAGGATCGCGTAGGGGCCCTCGGGCTGGAGCTTCTTCATTGCGGCGTGGTAGGTTGTGACACACTCGTCCAGACTCGTGAAGAAGGGTTCCTCGCGATGGAAGCCGCGCGCTCGGAAGGCGTAGACTGGGCGGTCGCGGATGAGGTGGGCGAGGTTGAGAAAGACGAGGGCTTCGCCCGCGGCGGGGTGGATGAGCCAGAGCGGGGGCTTGGCGCCGTGCGGCTGCAGGGTCACCACCGGGTTATATTCGTGTGTGGTGGCTTTTTGGCAGGCTGTAGCGAGGTCCTGGACTGTGGGATGGGCCATGATAGTAGCCAAGGGAAGAGGTTCGTCTAACGGAAATTGATCTTGCAGTTGGCGTTGAATTTGGACGAGAATTGGGGAGGTGAGACCCAGCTTGAAGAGGTTGGCGGTGACACCCAGATTGTCGGGGTCGGTATCCGGGATGATGTTCGAAAGGATTCGGATGACGGTCTTCTCCGTTTCGGTTCTGGGAGGACAATACGTGGCTTGTCGATGGGCTTGGAGAAGCGCTGCGTCCAGCTCTTGCTCCCTCGTATACACCCCCGAGGCGATCTGGGATCGCAGCTTCGACCGGGATACCTTCCCCAGCGATGATCGCTCGAGGGCAGGTAGAGGGAGGACGCACGGCTTTGTGTTGGTCATGAGCGAGACCTTGTGGCTGATTGCCGTCAGCGTCTCATAACGCGCCCTCGCGTCGTGCGAGCTGTAGCTGTGCGCGTAGACAACATATACCTGCTCAGTGTCCACCCCCGGGCCGCGATGCGCAAAGCACACCACCTCACCCGGAATCATTCCGGGGAGTTGCGCTTCGTCCAGGCCGACCTCAAGTGCTAATGCATTATGCTTGACCCCGTTGATGGAGATCAGGTCATTTGTCCGCCCAGCGAGGTTGAGGTACCCGTTTGCATCCAGGAACCCCGTGTCTCCCGTCCGAAACCACCCGTCAGGCTGGAAGGCCTCCGCCGCCGCTTCGGGATCGTTGAAGTACCCTGCGAAGACAATAGGCCCCCTCACCTCCAGATCACCAACCTGCCCCGGTACGGCGGACGCAATCCTCATCTCGACCCCGGGGATGCACGAACCCAGGGACGCGAATTCGTATCCGTGCCGCTGATCATACCCCGGAAACCCTGGGTTGTAAATACACCCCGCGCAAGTCTCCGTCATGCCGAACCCCGGCACGATGCAGTTCTCCGCCGCCCCGCAGCGGGAAAGATACGCGCTCAACCGCGTACAGACACTGACCCCAGTCGCTTCGCCGCCGCTTACGATATACTGCAGGTGCTGGAGGTCGAAGAACGTGGCGCTTCCCACTGCGGTCGCATCTAGCGTGCGTGCCAGCATCGCCAGGAAGAAGTTCGGTGCGAACGTCCTTGCGACTTGGTGTTGCTCTAGGAGCTTCAAGAACCACAGCGGGGATTGAATCACGTCGCTCGGGGACACATGCACTTGATCGACGCCGGCAAGTAGCGCGTGGAAATGGATCTCGATCAAACTTCCGACGTGGTCTAGGCTGATCCAGTTGAGGAAGGCACTTTGTCTAGTCCGTAAGGGTAACGCAGCGCATTTACCCTTCAGGGAGCAGAGGATCTGCTGGTGCGTTAGACCCACGGCTTTGCATGGGCCCGTGCTGCCGGAGGTGAGCATTAGAATGGCGATGTCAGATGGGGCTTCGCTTGTTGGAGCCGGAAGTGCGGCCTCGGTCGGTGACTCGGAGTCGATATCTTGGAATTGTTCGATGGTCTCGAGTGGAATTGTGAGATCAGTTGGGAACTCGTCTATCAGGGTCTGTCTGGTGAGGCAAACTGGATCTTGCAATAATGTCTGCAAGTGGTGCAAGTGCTTCAGGCGAAGACCCTGATCTTGTGGGAAAGGGGTAGACATGACTGGTATGCAGTTGGCATAGATGAGGGACCAGAACCAGATGATTGTGTCGAGATGGTTGTTCGGACCCAGATGCAGTAGGACTATCTGGCCGGGCGCATAGCCGTTCCGTTGCCGAATCTTTGTGCTGTTGGTCGATGCATGACGGTGGAGCTCTCGGTAGGTAATCCGGGTCGCCTTCTCGCTGTCGCATACCCCATCGGGATAGGATACGATCCCTCGATCGCTGTGACTGTGTGCTGCATCTCTGAGAACTGAGAATAGTGACTGCATTGTAAGCGGAACCAGGGGAGCTATTACGAAGTATACGTTGTGTGGGCTATCGTTCGGTAAGAGGATGTGAACATCATGAGGCCATACCGGCACTCTCAACAAAGGTAATTATCTGGTTTCCTGTCATAACGAGTCTTTGATCGTGACAGTGATGGTGACGATGGAGTGTTCCCTTTCGGAAACGCAGCAGCATTCTTCCAAGCCCCAATCCAACTACCGGCGCATGCCTTATGTAACCTCGGCACTTCTCGAACAGTTCCTCCCCCACTCCTGTATGGATGGGTTACCATTCCATATGATGCTTAAACGTCATTTGGGAAAGCATCAATGATACAATTCATGGTAAAGGAGGAATTATCACATGCTTGGACTGGTGGGGCTTCGATGAAGCTGGCCGCAACGCACGTCATACTGTGGACGGAAACCCGCCGAGTGATTGCGTATATCTAGCCCTATCCTCAGGAGACAGTACCGTAACACACGCCCGCCTTAGAAACGCGCACTATCCTTCCACATCGCAAACCATGGATGCAGGAAAGCCCATCAGCAAGGGCTACTCAACGAGAGTCGAGGCAGATAGGATTTTTAACGGGTTGATCAATGACGCCGAGAGGCTGAATCTCCCTCGCGATGCACTCGGGAGCAAGGTGTTCTTCACCTCCTCGGCAGATGAAATCTATTACCCCACCCCATTCAAAGTGACAGAGACACTCGCCGCCCTGAAGGGTATCGAGGGGGCGATGGCGGCGGCTATCGCAGACCTGCGCTTCGGGGCAATGCCAGGTGGTAGGGAGATCCGCGTCAGCCTCGAGAGAGCGACGCTATTTGGGTTTCAGGCACTCCTTGCCAAAGTGGATGGTTATTCACAATCGGACCCCGAAATAAAAAGATATCTGAAAGGTATGCAATCCCACTGCACTTATTGACTGAAGGCTGAATTTGTAAGACACCGACATTCATTCTGCCCAGTCGAACCTTTACCGCCGACGGGCTGCCAACATGTATCGAACCAAGAATGAGGATGAGTACTTCTTCCTGCACGGCTCATTGAATCCTACCAAAACACTAAACATGATCGGTCTTCCGAGCCATCGGCCGGACCTGACGGAGTACCATGAGATTGTAGACCTCATTGGTACACAGGTGGGAGATTTCTCGGCCGCTGAGCTCGAAGATCTCAATCAAGAGTTTGGACAAGCTGGAGTGACAGTCTACACGCACGAGGAATTTTGTGCTACACCGCATGTACGTTCGTGGCCTATTCCTATAGACGATGCTAAACTCTAGTAACAGGGCAAAGCTAACGTCAACGAGCCCTGGTGGACAGTCTCCCGCATGCCGGGCGATGTTCCTCCTACCCCATTCCAGACAGGCAAATCCAATCGTGCGCTCGGTGGCATCAAGGTACTGGAACTCTGCTGCGTCATTGCTGGCCCCGTCATTGGTCGTATCCTCGCCGAGTATGGGGCAGACGTCCTGAAGATCACCTCCTTTTCCTCTGTCCCCGATGTGCCGTTCTTCCAAGTGGACGGCAATATGGGCAAACACTCCGTCGACCTCGATCTCAAGACTCCCATAGGACGGCAGAAGTTCGAAAAGCTTCTGGAAGGGGCAGACGTAGTGATTGATGGGTTCCGGCCTGGTGTTCTGGAAAAACTAGGCTATACTTCGTCCTCGTTGAGTGACATGGCAACCCGTCGCGGGAAGGGGATAGTCTACGTAGATGAGAATTGCTTCGGCCATATGGGCCGATGGGCTGGTCGGCCTGGGTGGCAGCAGATCGCCGATTGTGTTCGTTGTCCCTCCTCTTCACCGTGGGAGTCTGAAGTACTGACTGCGAATCACAGTTGACGGGATTTGCGTGGGAGTTTGGGAAGTTCCTAGGCCACCGCGAACCTATAGTGAGCCCTTGGCCGATCGCCGACTACGGCGCGGGGTGTATGGGCGCCATCACGGCCTTGATAGGGCTGTACAACCGCGCCCGATTCGGTGGGTCATATCATGGGAAGGTGTCGCTCATGCAATTCAATCTCCTCCTTTTTGCGGTCGGACAATACCCGGAAGAGATACAAGCGATGCTACGAGGAAGGGTATCACACGCATTCCGCAGCTTGCGTCATTGCGATGGCGTGGATCAGAGCACCAGGATTGCACTGGCGGACATGCAGCAACAATTCTCTGAGCTATTCAAGTCCCCAGAACGTTCCACGCCGAATAAGAACCTGACTGAGGTCTGGTACTCTCATTGTTTTCGCACGGATGTTGAGGTGGTGCGGTCCGTGGCTTGCGTTGAGGGGATCGAGAATTGTTTCGTGCGGGCGAGTCGCTGTAACGGAGCGGACTCCGACCCGTCATGGAGCGCTTTTCAATCGGTGGAGGACTTCCGGAAGGTGTGAGCTATAGGATTCGTCTGGTTCGATGGCGAGGGTTTTTGGGTGGGTGGCCCTAAATGCCGATCATGTCCACGGCTCAATGCATCCCTCGTTAGCTCATGAGAATCACATGTTCCCTCAAGCAAGTTGAATCCACGAATTATTATGCACCCGAGCCCTGATTTCCAACCCCAGAACCAAGACTCATTACATGACATGGAATTGAAGAAGCGGGCTGATACCCTGTTACGCCTTACTATCGTACATGCTCCAGCTTCACATCCAGGAAAGATCACCGTCACGTCACGTCAGTCCGGTCGGGAAGACAGCTTGGACTCCCATCTATCATTTTCTCATAGTGTTATCCTTGTATATTGCAGGTCGGTGCTGCCATTGAATTGTAGTCCCAGCTTGACTGCAGAATATCTTATAAGCCAGCTTGAACGCAATAATAACATAATTCTCTTCTGAACAAAGAGCAATCAGCTTGATAAGATGCCATCCCCAAATCTCAGTAGTCATTTTCCATTCTCAACTCCGAGTAATAATTGTCCGGAGCAAGACGTCTGGTCCTTTGTCAACAATGCAGCCTCCCCCTCCCCGGTGCAGCCAATTGTGAACCTGGGTCAAGGCTTCTTGTTAGCATTACCTCTCAAATTGTATTGGCATTTCTACTAATAAGCACAGTGGATACAACCTGCCACAATTCGCTATTGATGCAGCAAAAGATGCCCTAAACAGGGTTGATTGTAATCAATGCTCACCGAAAAAGGTAGCGTACTTTTGGCATGGCAAAGACAACCGCGCATCACTGGCTTACGCAACGTATTTGAACCCGAGGTTTAGGGCCGTCCGGTATTGAGACAAGCAATTGCACGTCTTTTCTCCAGCTCATGGAAGCAGCCCATCGATGCGGAAACAGAGGTTGTCATCACCTCTGGCGCTAGCGAGGGTAAGTGCTTAACGGTACTTTTGTCGACCGAGAAGCATCTCTAACATTCTATATCAGGCTTGCTTTGCTCATTCATGGCCTTCCTCAAGCCCGGCGACGAGGTTATTGTCTTTGAGCCGTTTTTCGATCAGTATACCGATTCCACCGGAAAACTATTTGATGAGGTGCGATTTACCAAAAATGCAGGTTTATCAGCGGGATTGAGCTTGCTGGCGGTGTGGTTCGACATGTGCCGCTTTGTCCTCCAGATCAGGATACAAACAGGTTGAAAGGTCCGTCTAACTGGACTATGGACTTTGATGCACTAAAAAGCGCTATCAATAACCGCACAAGAATGATGGTAGACATGCATACTGCCCCAAGTTTCAGTGCCGAAGGTCAAGGTAATACTAACACTATCAAACATCAACAGGTCCTAAACACTCCGTAAAAGCACACTGCTTCCGTTCACCCTCCTCCCGCACCTAACTAACGATGGCCAGCAGACACAATCCAACCGGCAAAGTCTTCACCCAGCCGGAGCTGCAACTGATTGGCACACTCTGCATCCAGCACAACATCATCATCCTGTCCGATGAGGTCTACAGCCAGTTATCCTACGCCCCCTTCACCAGTATGGCAAGCCTCGTGCCCACCCTCTACAGCCGTACGTTGACAGTTGGCTCCACCGGCAAATCTCTCCACGCCACCGGCTGGAAAATCGGGTATCTAGTGGGACCGCCACCCCTGACTAATGCAGTAGCCGCCATCCACACTAAGATCTGCTACAGCACGGCGTCCCCGCTCCAGGAAGCCGTCGCCATCGCCTACACCCGGGCAGCAGAACTGGGATTCTGGGAGGAAAGCCGTGATCAGATGCAGCGGAAGATCCGGTGTTTCTGCGAGGCCTGGGATGAGCTGGGGATTCCGGTTGCGTCTACCCCCTCATCCAGTCTCCCAGTTCGACTTTAGATTCTAAAGCTGAATCTGGCAATCTGGGTGAGTAGTATACACGCCCCGAAGGCGGATACTTTGTCCTCGCGGACTTGTCGTCGGTGCAGATTCCGGACACTGGCTCTTTCCCGCCGTGGATTGCCACTAGACGGCGCGACTTTCACCTGTGCTGGTTTCTGATCCGGGAGTTTGGGGTTGCCGCGATTCCACCGTCGGTGTTTTATAGTGAGGGGAATGCGCGTCTTGGGGCGAATTATCTCCGGTTCGCGGTTTGTAAGGAGGATGGGCTGCTTGAGTTGGCGAAGGAACGGCTCCGTGGACTCAAAAAATACATCCGTGCCCGAGTGGAAGTCTCGGTGAAGACATTTCGTGATGTCCCCGAAGGTGTGGGTTAAGTCCTTGTCTGAACTCTATTCTTGGAATAAGCCTATGGGGTAGAAGACAGAGAGAGTGAAAGGGCGAAAAAGGGAGACATGGATAGCCTTGATAACGAGCTAGTGAAGGCGTGGTCGACAGGGCCGAGGACTAATGCTTTATGCAGATCATTAGTCGGGAATTCTAGGGCTCAGCTTTATGTGCATAACTCTGTTGAGAAAAGACGGCGGTGGAGTAACAATGGCAGAATCAATCTGCCGCGCCTTCCAGACCTCGGAAGGCCAAGGCGGTCAACCACGCTTAACACATCTTGTGATGGAACTTCCCTTGGTCATTTCATTCACCATCGCACTCGTGATCTCAAAATTATCATGATGAGATCCCATAGAGATGGAAAGTGGATCGAACCTATCTATTCTCTCTGCTAGGTCATTCCTAGGAGAGGCGGATGAGCCCAGCAATGTCGTCGCCACCATCGCACCATCCGCAACGCCACCAGAGCCACAACCTGACACAGGAATACCAAATCAGGATACAGCAATGCCAGATGCCTCACAGAGACAGCTCAACCCCTCAAGCCCGATCAAAACGCGACTGCGCTCAGGGAAGCGCGTGGGCCGACCCCGCATCGAGGTCGGTGGCCCGGCAATCCTTTCGGAAGACCGGCGCACGCAGATTCGGCGCGCCCAGAAGACATACCGCCTCAAAAAAGAGGCGGTCTTCCGCCAAACCCTCGATCGCGTCACGGACTTGGAAGCGAAGCTTCGTAGGCTGTCAGACCAGGTCTCCAGCACTTGCGAGGCTGCTACTGAGGCGCGGCTGCAGTTGTCTCATCCGGATATCTATGCCCGCCTGACGCAAATGCGCGGGGTGTTGATCGAGCAGGATGCTTCTCACGGTTCAGCCTTTCAAACTGATTCCTCTCGCATGCAAGTTACGCCAGAACCTGATGTGCTTTCCACCACATCACACCAGATATTGGCTTACCGTCTCGATCAGACTCAAAGCAACTGGGAGGTTCAGCAGGAGCCACTAAATCCGCCGCGGAGACGGCAGCATTCATTACCCCGGCCCATCTCGACCATGGGTCACACCTACTCGTGCCAGGAAGGGCGCTTCGCCCGTAGACTGCAACGATACTGCCTCGAGCACGCATTCAACCTGTTTATCGATCCCCAGTCAAATCCCCAACAAGTGTACCGCGTATTCCGTCTCGTGCCCTGCATACAGGACAAAGCCAAGATGCAACCGCGATTTGAGCAATTGCTACGAGGTGGATCCGAGTCCCCACTTGAGGTTCCCGGCCTTCCATTTTATGGTGTAGGTGGAGCAGGTACGCATTATCCCGACAAAGATGAATTCGGCATTCCAATGCATCCGAAGAATATGAGGCTGCCACGTCGAGTGCTTGGAATCCTTCCAAGTAGCGGACGTGGGGATGAGTTGACATCAGTGGATGATCGCGCTCGATTGCTTGAGATCTGCGGGCTTGGGGGGCAGTGGTTCGATAGTCGGGACGTGGAAGGGTATCTTAAGCAGCATGGGGTGGATCTGCAGGGGTCGAGCTTGTTTCCCACGGTACGCATAGTAGATGAACCATCAGGGCGGATGCGCTCTGAGCATAGATCCTATGCGTTGGATTTGGAGAACTTTCTCTGGAGTAAGTTCCTTGCGGAATTGTGATTGACTTAGCTGATGTGGATAGGGCTTCTTCATGGATTTGTCATTCTCGGGCGCGCTCCCGGGTTCAGAATGATCGATGTCAACGCCGCTTTTCATGCCTCCTTACGATCCTTGGGCTCAGGAGTGTAATCGGGTCTGGGAGGAATAAAACTTCTACCGAGCGCTTCGGTGGACAATCTCATATTGTAGGCTTGCGGCATATCAAGCGTGGATACGATGAAGGCGACCTGTGCCGGTTCGGAGCGAGGGACTTTTGTTTCTGAATCCGAGTAGGATAGAAGTCAACAACTTTCTAAAATCCTATAACGAGAAGAGCACCAAACTGAAATCGCCAAGCATAAGCTCTTCACGGGAGTCATATGGGTCCTGGACCACGCTTGATTACAATATCACCCAGAGCATCACATGTCACTACGATGCCCTCAACAGTCATTTAAGAACCATTCTCCTATCTCTGCCACCAAATTAAGACCTTCACCAAACACAAGCACCATGGTAACCCTCCAAGAACAACTCGCCGTCAAAGCGCTCGGCCTCGACCGATTCATCTCGTGCCTGCCACCAACGCGCATGGGCGACCTCGCCGACTGGGCCTACGGCGGCAACATCCTCGCCATCGCCATCAGCGCAGCCTACGCCACCACTAAACCCGGCCACCATCTCTACTCACTCACCGGACACTTCGTCCGGCCCGCGAGCCCCTACCTCAAGCTTATCTGCCAAGTCGAACGCATTCGGGACACGCGGATCTTCCAAACCCGACATCTCCGCGTGTACCAGGAAAGCCTCACCGGCGAGCAGCTATGTCTTGTCGCAAGCGCCGACTTCCACATCGAGGAGACGCTCGAGATGGTGAATTACTCCACTCGTCCACATTCCACACACGCCGGTGCTGTTCCAGCTGCAATCGCCAGAGCACCAGAATCAGGCCTGTACAAATACCTCAACCGGTTTATGGAAGTATAGCCCCTTCCGGCCACAAACCGGAAGACTGAAGGGGATATCACTGGCATTATTTCGGCGGAACGCTTCCGCCTGCAGACGCCCCTTGGGAGCGAATCCGCTCAGCTCGCCGCGCTGGCGTTCTACATGGACCGCGGCCTCGCGTACATCCCGGCCAACCACACGGGCCGGAGTCTGCTGGATGCGAGTGCCTGCGCGACGTTGGATTTTGCGCTGCGGGTGATGACGCATCGAGTTGATGTGGGGGAGTGGATGGTCAGTGAGCAACAGACTTGTGCGGCGGGGGGTGCGCGTGCAGTTAGTGAGGGGAGGGTCTTTGATGATAAAGGCAGGTTGGTTGCTGTGATGACGCAAACCACGATTCTGAGGCCCAAAATGGGTGGGAAAGCGAAGGTTTGACTGAACTTGGATTTGTATGTTGGATGGGGAGTATGGGTCCTGGTGCTCTGGTTTGTGCGGGGTGTACACGAGAGTTATTCTGTGTGTTGAGGAGCAATCTACTGCCTTATTTCGGAATACGATAGATTTGTACGATTGGTTACCTGCGAAGGCGAAGACATTTCACTTTGCGGGCTGATTCAAGCTCACACACTTGGTCAGGCGCCGGGGTAATGCAAGAGTCTGAAATCTCGTGTTGGGATGGCTTCTTACGATGAGGGGACCTCGATTGGGGGCGGGGTGAAGTACATTTCAATGCTTGGTTCAGTAAAAGACCGTTGTGCCTTAAAGGAGATAAGATTCCAAGAATGAGGAAGTATACAAGTGTCATGAAGAACTTGATCCACTATTCACCTTCGTAGCATATTCAAATGCATGCTGGGCAGTACTCGGTTCGATTATAATATCCTCGGGGAAGCCTCAATATACATACTGTTTGCCGCGCGAAAAGGTACAGAAGCGTAGTATTGGGCCGTAGATACTTCCTGAAGTAACATCCGTATGTTTGCAATCGATACCATGCAATCTGGACAAAACTTGCATTTCTGAGCACACAGGCAATGGATGCACAAGGCAGGACAACACAAATTGAGGAACATCCGAGGTCAGTCCAGATTACATTATCAACAGTTTCATCGATATAATCATGCGATGAGCTCTTCAGAAATAAGGAGCAGGACAATCAAATAGGTACAGTACCTTACCATTTGTTTTGGGACGATCGATACATCGCGCCCGAGCTTCACTGCACTCCTTAGCAGGCAGAGCCCGATTATCCAACATGCTCAACCCCAACCCCAGCCCCTCTCCCCCCCAGCTGCGCCCCTTGTTCATCATACTATTCTGCCTGTGGCTCACAACAACCATACACTACGCCCACAATTACCTGCGCGCAGAAGATTATCCGCCAGTCCCCGGAATCTACACCTCCGCGCGGGCGTATCGCATCGGCATCACCATCTCTTATCCTTTTTACACCTTTTGTGGCATCCGCGGCTACCATCTGTATAAGCCCGGAAACCTACAGACGGCTCTTATCTACCTCGCAAGTTATGCGTCGCTAGGGATCCGCACACCAGCCCATTTCTTTGGCGGCGTGCCCCAGATCCCATGGTTCTGGTTCCTCACCAATTTTACCGACTTCTTTGCTGGGCTGGCGTTGGCGGTTTTCTGTTACAAGACATATGTCTCGAACACAAGGTTCTGATGAAAAGTGATGTGAATGTGCTTGGTTCGGTTTTATATGTGGGCCGCTCCAAGTGTGTATGGATGTCCGTTTTGCTGACTTGGCAACTGGTCAAGAAGCTACACCGTACATCTTGACTCACTCACAGCACTATTCTATGCGTTGATCTAATGGATGTTGAATGCTAAAAAAAACTTAACCTCAGATCCTAAAGCCAACAAGGGCTGGACTGATGCTCCACATATTGGGAGGCTTGTTCTTGATAGCTTTTTAATAAAGTCAGCAGTCGAATGGTAGTTAGAGGGGCATCAAAATTGCGTCCCCAAAGTGGATCCTCCATCCCTAGAAATCGACCATTCTTTAGCGGTATGATAGGCCGCTTTGGTCAGCCAGCCTCGGCAGTTGGACCCGCAACCTCGGGCCGTGATTCCAAAAATAAGGTTATAGCACCTCCCAACTATAGTATAAATACGACTGGAGACCCCCGCTACGTTGCGTTGTGCAGAATCCTTCTAGCGCCCGACCATAACCACCATAATGTCCCCAGTATCCTCACCACCTACCACGCCGACTCAAGCGCGCACTCTCGCCGAGCATATCTCTGTGGAACAGATCGGCCCCAATGTCTTCCAATCGCGCTACAAGCCCGAAAAGATGGGCAACGCCGCCAATATCGCCTACGGCGGGTGCGCCCTGGGCGTCGCCGTCAACGCAGCCTGCCAGACCGTCCCTTCCCAGTATCTCCTCTACTCGGTAACAGGACAATTCCTTGCCCCCGTATCAACCGAACGGACACTCACCTGCTCCGTCCGCCGCCTCCGAGATACCCGGACATTTGCCACGCGACAGGTAGAGATCACGCAGGCGCAGACCGACAAGACCACCAGACTATGCATGATCATCCTCGCAGACTTCCAGAAGGAGGGCGAGCGAGCCATGCTCAGCTACTCCACCCCGCCGGACCGGACATACTCCCCGCCAGAGGCCTGCCGTACCCCGCAGGAGATCGGCACCGACATGGTCAAGCGCGGGGTCCTCACCGAGGAGGCCTTCTCGCAGTATACCACGCTCTTCAGCCTCATCGCCCGCTTCTTCGAGACGCGACAGACGCCCGAAGGCGTGTCAGGGCAGAACTTCAACGGGATGGCCAAGGCCCACCCCACCGGCCAGGACGCTTTGCCCCTGACGGCCCGAACCTCGGCGGACTGGCTCCGCGTCCGCCACCCGATGCACCGCCGCTCGGAGGAGTACGCGGGCCTGGCGTTCGTGCTGGATGCGTTCCTGAGCTTTCTCCCGCTCGCGCATAGTGGGATGTTTCTGGATGATGCGGGCGCCTGCGCGTCGTTGGACTTCTCGATGCGGGTGTTCGCGGCGGAGTGGGGGTTGGAGAACTGGCATCTGCGCGAGTTGAAGACGGTGGCTGGCGCGGATGGGCGGACGTATACGGAGGCCAGGATGTGGGATCGGGGCGGGCGGTTGGTCGCGAATATGACGCAGCAGTGTATCTTGAGGCCGAAGAGGGAGCTTAAGGCGGTACTTTGAGGGGTGAGTGCATTTTTGCTGCCGGGCTCATGGGACGATAGGATGTAGGGGAAAGGCGGACAGTTGGATGAACATAGAAGATAGAGGTGTTGGATCTCCTATCCAAGAGCTGCAGATACAGAGATTGGACATAAACCACAGGCCTGAATCATTATGTTTATACCTTCTGCTGACGTGATGGATATCTGTAGATAGTCAGGCTGTTCTTTAGGCCATGTCAATTGACATCGTGGGCTTATACTAGGGTTGGATCTATCAACCCTGCCGATTTACCACCACCGCGGTATCCTAAATCAAACACATGATTTTCAAGAACGATGTAGCTGACTTACTCTACTAAAAGCAAGTCGTCCTGATTGAGTTTCTATTCGGCCATCGTCTCCACCTATATCGTCTTTCTTGCCACCATGTCCGACACAATACAATCCGTGCAGAACAATCTCAATTAAAACCTCCCGCCTTGGCTTGCGAGAACGGACAAGTCGCCACGGCCCTCGACTTGATCACCTCGATATCAGGTCTCATCTCCTCCGCGCCTCGTTCCTTCTGAGGATCGGGACCAATCGTCATAAGATCGTATCCCTGAGGATGGTAGCGGTCCCCCCGCGAACCCGGCACTTTCCCTCCGAGCATCCTCACAAGCAACGCACCTGATCCCCAGGTTGACCATAGAGTCGGTTCCATATACCACGGCTGTAGGGTCTGTCTGCCGAAGTGATATCGATTCGTCCTCGGATCGGCCGTTTCATGCACGGGTTTGACAGCGGAGAAGCGCGGGAGGGCGAAGCATTGGAGGAAGGCTTTGCGTGTTTGGCGGATACAGGACAGCACGAAGACAAGAATGGGGCCGGGCTTCTCGAGGCTAACCGGATGTCAGCATTGGCTTTTGTTGAAGAGATGAAGAACTAGAAAGCATGCACCCAGGCGGTCATAACCGCCCGCCACATCATCCTTGCATGATTCCGCCGCTCAATCGGAGGCCGAATTACTCACCAAAGACTCGTTCGCATGACCTCATCCAGGTCCGCAGCCAACATCTTCCGCACCGTCTTCGTGACAAAGCCAGGGAGCCCAGCCAGCGCCGCATCGACATACACCCGCACGTATTGATCGTTCGTCGCGACGGGCCGGGCCACTGCCTCTTCGTAGCGGATCGTCCAGTCGCGTAGCTCCATTGCGAAGTGCAGCCCATCGCGCCAGCCCTCGTGCGAGGAAGCAAGGGGCTCAAAGGGAATCCCCATGTCCTCGCCCAGGTTCTTGTGGAAGACACCCAGGGCACATTTCTCGACGTCCGTCAGCTTGCGCCATTCATCTCGGTCGATCACGTTGAGGATCTCTGCGAGTCCGTCACCGAGGGTATGTAGGAGGTCTGGGTCCGTGATCTTGTTGGCTTTGCGGTAACGGGCGTGTCTGGAGATATGAGGGGTTAGTGAATAGACTCTAATCGGAGAAAGGGGCATAGAATCTCAGTACTTACAGATAGTTCATTCTCGCGACCGCAGTGCTATAGCGATTTGAGTCGCGAGGCTGTGACTGAGCTTCTCGGAGGAGGATCTCCGTGTCCACGGCACGTTTGCCCGAATTGCGCTTGTTGTTCTGGCCCGTCACGGCGAAGAGCTTGGACATTGTTGGGATGCCACCCGCCTGCGAAAGGTCGAAGCCGCTGAATTCAGTTGCATGTATACACTGCTTGATATAATGGCTTGCTGGGCAAGTAGAGGTTGGGGGTTGCTAGGGGCAAGGATTGCCGTACCTTGAGCAGAGCGATCTTGCGCGCCTTGTTGAAAGCGTATGGGAATTCGAACTCCTGCAGTTGGCTGATGATAGCATGCGCCTCTTCACTTGTCATACTGGACAGTTTCCTCTGACCATGGGCAAAGGGGGCATCGATCGTTTTCACGCGACGGTATCGTAAAAGTCGGACCACCGCGATATAGCCAGCTAGGCTGAAGACAATTGCCCAAGGGTGCTGGACCCAGAGGCCTTGGAAGAGGTCCAGCGCGTGTGGCATGTTGATTCTTCACACTGTGACTGCAAAGTCTACGCCACAGTATTGGAATGCCAGTTCTTGAATAAGCTGCAAATTTTCCCGGTCGCTTCGTAGTTAGGTAGCCTTTCAATGGGCAGGGCTTGAAGACGGTTATGCCGGAAACCAGTTGCGTTCAGGTGGAAGGTATTTATAAGCAATTAACAAGTCTATCAGCCATAGCAAGAAGTTGGCACTTGGCATGTTGATTATTCTAACCACAGTGGCACACATTACTCAACAGGTAAAAATGTTCAAAAGTTGAAATTTTGTTGGGTTCGGAGTGTTGAGGCGTGATCGCCGTGATATTGTAATCTGACCTCAAGACCCACCGAGATAGCCGAGGTAGCTTATCCGAACCACATTCACCGGTCAGAGAAGAAGAAAGAACAGAGGGGACTAAAGTCTCAACAATTAATTCAAGTCCACAACATAAGGAAATTCCGTGAGAGTATGTTTAGGGGCATGACATGAATGGTACTTCTGTACTAATCTGTCGTCTCACATGGTCTAGAGTCTACAAAGTCTTTCATCACATTCGAGCAATGCGCTTTCAAGGATTTTATTGGTATATGAAATGAACAGTAACGTCATATGTTTTCGGCAAATGATGATCATACATAAGAATAACGCGGGATTACCCAAGTTCTTTATGATGTGATGCCGATGGAAAGTTTCCCACAAATAGGGCTTGGTAGGCAAGGTGGTCACCAGTGAGGAACTGCAAATTTGATTGAGTATCCACTGAACCCGACACACTCGATTAAACAGCTACAGCACGGAAATTATCTCATCTTCTCTCACAGATTAAGAGACAGATCAAAAACAATCTTGCCCCTCGCATGCCCCTCATCCAACCTTTTGAATGCCTCCTGATACTGCTCCAACGGCCAAACACTGTCCACCATCCCGCGACACTTTCCGAGCTCCACTAGCTTCGTGATCTCCTCGAGATGCCTCCTCACCGGCTCCATAACAAAAAATACGCTCCGCACCGCTGACCCCTCCCAGCCGTCAGGTTTGACCTGCTCCGGCGGCTGAAAGATACTCAGCACGACCCCTCCATCCTTGACCGCCCACCACGCATCCGCCAGCGACTGCCGCCCGATACAGTCGACCACCACATCCACCTTCCGCCGGGGCTGCTCCTCCGCCCACGCCCGCAGGCCCGTCCGCCGATAATCCAGCACCTCCACGGCGCCAAACGAGCGCACCAGCTCCACATTTGCTGCGCCACACGTCCCCACCACCTCCGCCCCCAGCAACGTCGCCAGCTGCGTGACCCAGATCCCCACTCCACCCGACGCAGCCGTCACCAGCACCCGCTTCCCCTTCCACGCCTGCTCCGCAGCGGCAAGATCCACCTCCCCAGCGCCGGCCACCCCCGCATGGATGAACAAGATCTGCCATGCCGTCTCCGCCGACACGGGGATCGCCGCGGCGGCCACGGCGCTCAGGCCCTTGGGCGCGTGCGCCATCTCATCGGTAACGCAGACAGTAAAATCGCGCGCGTTCCCCGGGCGCAAGTAGTTGGTTCGCGCGTAGATATCGTCACCTGGTTGGAAAGGCGAGTCTTTGGGTCCGGCCACGACGGTCCCGGCGACGTCCGGGCAAGGGATTAATTCTCGAGGATTGGGCGGGGGAAAGTTCTTGGGCCAGAGGAGCTCCCCCGCGCAGGGGGCACAGGCTTTGACTTGGATGAGGTGCTCGCCCTTTGCAGGGTCGATGGTCGGCACGGGGGCGGTGGTTAGGGTTAGGGTTTTGGCGTTTGCGTCGGGCTGGACGATCGTCCGCATCGTGGTTGGGGTCGACATGTTTAGGCGAGTATGTGGCTCGACTCTTCAGTAAATATTTCCTCGGGAAGGTTTATTTTGTTGATGATGGTGATACTGATCTTAGAGGATGGTCTGGATGGGTGTGGAGAGCCAACAGCTTTATAGCATTGTCGTACCACTGCATGGTTGCTTATGTCTTGGCGAGGAGGGAACGGTTCGCCGGGTTCGCCGGGTTCCCGAATAGCCTATCCGTCTGACAGCCATGACGCCCTCTACTGTCTGCGCTCGTGTTGGGGTCGCAAATCATATCCTCGCAGTCTTTTGAGGGGCACAGAGCTTCTCGTATCGCATATTAGAGCAGCTGGGAGTGAAGGTCTAATTGTGCCGCACAAAGAATGGAAAGAAACCACGATACGGTCGGTCGGCTCCACAGTACATGTTAGAGAATAGGTGATACGAGGGTGGAACACTTGAAAGTGGGGTTTGTAGATCCGTTCTAGGATATGAATACGTCACTGGTTGAATCCCTATTTGACAGTACAAATGAACTGTAATATCTGCTTGCAGCCCACTTGCCTTTGGTTATATCCTGGTTAGGAAATGGACCTCATCAATGAGAGCTTGGAATTGGGTTTCTGGGTCACCTAAAATACTATGGGCAAATTTAGTTCCTGGGAGCGGAGGCGAACGTCAAAACAAGCTACATATATCTTATACCAGGCTCACGCCGCACGGCGATTTGCTCAACTGAAAGGTAAAGATAGAAATATTTCTGCGCGTAAACTACAGAAAGTAAGTTCCATCGAGTGGTGGACTCAGATTCAACGACAACAGATGATCACAGCGAACAGGCGTGACATTGGAGTGACATTGGAGTGACAATAGGATTCTAGATTGATGAGTAAGGAATTGTTACATGAGATGGAGATAAACAGCACAGCAAACTGAAAGACAAATATAGAACCAGCCTCCCTGAAGCCCCTCCCATCTCAAGCATGAACCTCAACCACCTGAAGTTCCTCAACCGTGAGCACTGGGGTGAACTTGCGGAATACAAGAGTCAGTCACTCCGTGCCGGGAAGATCGGGACACGCCCTCGGGTTGGGCTTAGCCGCCGCCTAGTCACCGTCCTTGCGAGCCTGTTCACAAATGTTTCCAGTGGTGTCGGCCCTCTCTCCACGCCTCTTTGATCTCCTTCTCGATGATTTTGAGCTCGGCGTCCAGGAAAGCCAGATTCGCATGCAGCTCCTTGATCTGGTGCTCGTCCTCGGCATAAATATTGTTTCTGTATTTTTGTCAAGGTATATGAGCACGGATAATTTACGTCCGTAATACAAATTGGGGCACTACTGCATGTTGGGAACAAAGGCTAATATCTGGCATGTACAATGCCTTGAGTGAATTAGAAATGTAAGCCAGATAGATGGAATTCAGAGAACCAAGAAACAAAATAAACAAGAAGGTAAGCTATGAGACCCGCCTGACAGTTGTCACCACTCTGCCTGTAGCTACAGAGATTGGATAGGAGATGGTAAAACGTTGTTTTGTGGTTGAAAGATTATGACCACTATAAAGATTTCCAAAGAACTAATCAAACACTAGAATGGATTATCAAGTCAGATAAAGGCCGCCTGACATACACAAGATGCACTTCCGTTGTTCATCATAGGTGAATGAAGCCCCAACAAAGTACTTGGCAACACAAGGTTCACATGCTGCAACGAAGGGAAAAGGTATCCAAGTTTGAAGTACTAGACTGATAATGGTTGAGCTCTTATCCTGAATCAAGGAGGATTGACAAAGAAAGAAGGGCTAATCAGTTGATGAAGCACACACGACATTGTACATAAATGGAATGAGATCATACCATATATAAGCACGCGAATACCAACAATTGTTGTTGTGCCACACCCTTGACATCTTACAACGCTTGAGTTACGCAGCGCGCGATACATTCATGACTCGTCGAACCTTTTAGCTCTGCACCATGTCTCGCAACGACGATACTGCCTCTGAAAGCGAATGGCAAGACTGCTGCTCAGTTGTTGAAGAGGATATAGACGACAACCTACCCGGATGGGACGAGCTACCAGAATGGCTGCAGGTAAAACCGGGACGTCAAATTACCCAAGAACAAAGACCAGGTCCGAGGATTTGGAAATCGTTCCTCCCCTGGCGGTGGAATTTCCAGAGACAGCGCCTACCAGCCCCGGACTAGAGCAGAGGATATCTTTCCTTCTCCACCAGGCTGGAATACGCTGTGTGCTCTGCGGGGAGACGGCGATGAGCATGATCGGTGTGCCGATAGCGGCCCATCATTCTGCCTGGTCCATACCATACGCCGACCTTGCCCGGGCTTCAAAAGTGCTTCGTGAGGGCGGTTTGCCCGGATGTCCGGCGGACGGACAGCGAGAATGGGAGATGAGGCAGTGTGCTTTACTGGAAGAACCGAGGGAGGGAAAACTCACCTCAAACAAGTACCCCTCCCCGGCGTATCACTTTCATACCGATCATCTCTACCCCCGTCATCGGAAGGATCCCAACCAAAGCCGCGGGGTTCTTCTGTACCCAAAGAAACTGCTCATTTCCGACCACTACCTGGATCCCCCACCCGGGCCCGCTTCCTACCCCCACGATCTGGGTCGTTGGTATGCCGAGGAGGGGCGGCGTAATAGGAACCGAGGCGCCAGAATGTACCTAACCACCGACGACTCCGACCTCCCGGAAATGAGGCTCGGCAGCTTGAACTATCGGGGTCGACAGTCTCCTAACCAATACCCTGTCTACATGCTTGCACCTCACCATCAAGTTGAAAACCTAGCACGGTTGGTTATCCGCGATCGGATCTCGGTAGTACGCGATTGGTGGCTCCAGCAGCTCCTCTTGTGCATGAGATCTCTGCTTGTTGATGATGACGAGGAAGAGGAGAGGGTAGACTCGGGGCTTGCTTTGCCTTTGTGTCACATTGAGTCGACTCCGATCCGAAACTGGCTGGAGGAAATATTGTACGTGAACGAATTGTGTAACGGATTTGACGAACAAGGTCGTTGGAATATGATTGGCTTGAGCAGGGTTTGTCTAGCGATCGAGGGCAGAACCAAGTACCTCATGCGCTTGGGCGGGAGAGGATATGTCTGATTTGTCCGATGGTGGCATTTGCGATAGTGACATTTGCGATAGTGACATTTGCGATAGTGACATTTGCGATAGTGACATTTGCGATAGTGACATTTGCGATAGTGACACTCCCGATAGTGACATTTCCGACAGTAACATATCTGGTAGTGATATCTAGGTTAGTGGAGTGAGTTATTGTTACTGAGCGCAGATGAACTTGTGTTTCATCGTATCAGGCAAAGAATAATAAATGCAGTAAGCTGAATTCGAAACTATTGTCCTTAGAAACGGTCTTAGTAAATAATCGCATACTAGCGAGTGAATGTGTCAAGACCTGGATAATGGATGAACTCAGGCTATGTTAGGCTATTTGAGGGAGGAATTATTAATATGCGTGGCGGGAGGCGAGCAGCCAGTAACTGACTATGAACAGTACAGAAAGATATAACGGTCACTCTACAAAAGCATATTCTGCCAGCAGAACAACAAATATAACATATGTATGAACCCTAATAACCTTAAATAACAGAACTAATACATATATTCTCTCATGAATTTTCCAGGGAACAGTGCAGAGCGGCCATTGCATGTTGCCGTACCGCCTGGCTCTTGAAGGATTCAGGGCCGCCCACAGAATGGGCACGTCATCTGAATGGTGATCGGCTATATTTCGGAACCCAATAGACCTCTTCCATCGACGTGTGCGTTGGGCGAAGCGCAAACTCGCCTCCGGAGTATAAAGCACCATATGCTCTGGCAACAAGAAAAGTTACGCCGACAGTAGCTTCAGGCCCACGTCAAAAACCAACAAGATGTGCTTCACGGATCTACTTCCTCGCCTTGCGGCTGTCTACTTGATCATAATCCTTTCCTACTTTGTCCCTCGATGACTGATGAAGCTCGAGACGTGGGTGTTTGAGCTTAACTCGGCGAGCAATGCTACAGCTGCGATGACGAACATTTTTGAGCGGTTGATGGCGGAATCACAAGTGCGATAACATCTAGATCATTATGATAAGGGGAAGTCTTCCGTTTATTTTGTTGACGGAGCAGAAATGCTGAAGTAGCTCAACTTGCATCTTACCGAGAGCGATCCCTATTCAAAAGAGTCTCCCATTACCAGTGTTCTGGGAAAACCTTTGAAAAATACAAAAGGTTTTACACAATGACGCTTCCGGAAGCATAGAGCTAGATTGTCAACGTTACGAGTCCTGCATTTTCCTGGTCCATCCATTGTAAGGATTTTGGCATGGGCAAATAGACCGCCTTTGCGTTGCGCGTGGTGCGGTGGCTCGGGAATGCGATGAACGGGGTTGGATCAAGGCAAAAGCCTTCTGTCAAAAGCAGGAGGCGCGTGAAATCTAGAGCCCTCAACAGTGCTATAGATACTCTTACACCGCATACCGTGTGCAGGCAGTGGGAAGTGCCAGACTATTACAAAGAGAGAGTGGCTTAAGATAAACTACGCATTCATCTCTTCGGTATAGACACGGTAAGTCTGGCTTGCTCAGAGACCTTATCCCATTATCCCTTAGAGCCTGCTAGTACCACGCACAGAGTTCCACTCTTACAAAGAGAAGCACGATGGTAGATTGCACAGGGTCTATGTCTCCGAGCTCCTGCATGCAGCGTCTCATTCCACCGCCTGTTCGGCAAGTCGTCTCTCGAGACAAATGGTGGCCAACGATAAATTAACTAAGGCATGACGGGCCACCACGCGCACGATTGCAAGATATGTCAAGCTTGAGGCATCAATAATTGCCTCTGGCTGTAGAGCTTAGGAAATATCTCATCCTGTAGATATCACAGAGCAGTCGTGATGAGGTGCCGGAGACACAAGACGCAGAGAAGGTATTATGCCTGTCAGCTGGGGAGCTTTACATCTTTGTTCACCGTGAATCCTTTGTGTATAAACTGTATTGTTACCTTTCCCCTCCTCAGACATTTTGTGATCGTGTCTGTGAATCCATGGCGCGTCATTCGCCTTAGTGAAGTCGTATGACCGAGTTGGGTACCTTATCAATATTGGCTGCATGAGAACCTGCTTCTTTCGAAAGGAGAGAAAGATTTGGCGGCGTGATGTCTCTTGGTTTGTGCTCGAGTTCATCTGGGCAGAGCTTTGGCTTGTCGCGAATATGAATGAGAAAATTGTTAGATCCTTGAGGACTTGCAATATTAGTTGAAAGTTTTAGTAAGGAAGAACGGATGACTCTTGTTAGAACATTTCACATGGTTGAATAATTAAAACCATAGTGTCGAAAGTCTGACAGCCCGCCGTGGGATTTCTTCCTGGGCTGGAGCATAATGAACAGGAAACCGATACACCCCAAGTAGGGTTATTGACTGTCTGGAGAGCTTGGGCCCCCAAGCTCAGGAGGCCGCAATGCTGTCTAGACTCGAGAACTTGAAACATCTAAATTCTAGGCCACGTAGCTGGCTGGATTGTTCTTGTTGTTGGGTTTGAAACAAGTCCTAGATAAGCTAACGGGCGGGAGCATTGAGCGCGGAAGGGAAAACAAGACGCGCGTGCAACAGGCACCTCTGCCCTGGAATTCCTTATTCTTTCAGCGCAGAAAGTGCTGACGAAACTTCTAAGAACGGCCAATTTTGCGCAAGGATATCCAGTTTTCGGCAATCAAATCCGAGCAAACCAACCGCACCGAGCGATTTTGCGGATGTCGGGTTTACTCCACCTCGGCGCGGCAAATCCGTCCGCTTTTGGCCTTAGCGCCTGGCTGTAACCCTACCTAAACCGGGGCGAGAGATGGAGCCGGGCGGCAGGGGCCGCGTCATAGTCATGAGTTGATCGAATCTAATCTGTCTATTAGGTATAGTAGGTATCACATTGCTCTTTCTCCTTTTCCTCGAGCGAGCCTTATAAAAGTTGCCAATGGCCGCAGGATCATTTGGCTCAGAAGTGTCCATCTAGCTCATCAAGGAATTGCTTCTTCTCTGCATTCATCATGCGTCCATCTATCGCCCTAGCTTCGTCCCTGGCAGCAACCGCCACTGCGGCCCAGCTGCCAGTGCGCACCGTCTTCCAATTCGCCTCCAACGACACCTGGCTCGAGAACCTGGCCACCCGCTCCAACGGCGTTGTCCTAGCTACGGAGATCGGCCCTCCCGCGAGCCTGCTAGCGGTCAATCCCCAGACGAACCCCCCTCAGACAAAGGTGATCCACACCTTCGACTCCGTGCTAGGTCTGTCGGGGATCGCCGAGGGCGCCCACGACGTCTTCTACATCGCCGGCGCCAACACGACCTCCGACAACATCAGCGACCCGCCCAAGAACGCCACGCACGTGTGGAAGGTCGACTTCACCCAGAACAGCAACAGCCCCAGGATCTCGCTGCTGTGCCGCCCCACCGCGCCCACGGGCTTCAACGGCCTGGCCGCCTTCAACGAGACCATCCTCCTGGCGACTGCCAGCTACCAGGACGCGATCTTCGCCATCGACACGACGACCGGCGCCACCTGGAAGGCCATCTCCCAGGAGTCGTTGATGTCGTCCATCAACGGCATCAAGGTCGCGGAGGACTTTGTGTACTGGACGGCTGGCGGGGCCCTGTACCGCGCGGAGCTGTTCTCCAACGTCACGGCTGGAACCGGCCAATTGATCTACCAAGGGAGTCAGTTTGATGACTTCGCCATCGCGCCCGCTGGGTTCGCGCTCAATGCTACCTATGGCAGTGAGTATCGGTTTGCTTACCTGGCCACTGCGACGGAGAATACCATTCAGCAGGTGATTTTTACGAAGGACGGGGTGGCCGTGGGCAGTGAGATTATCGCGGGTGCTGAGGACTCGACGGAGGTCGCGGAGCCGACGGGGGTGTTCTTTGGGCGTGGAGAGGGAGAGGAGAACACTATCTTTGTCACGACGGGCGGGGCTAGCGCGGTCAATATCGATGTCGATGGTGTGGAGACGGCGGTTGGGGCTCAGCTGCTTGAGATTCAGCTGAAGTGAGTGGGCCTGCAAGGGTTGGGCTACTATGTACCCTCCAAACACTATTCTACATCTTGTGTAATAGCTCGCTAGGCCTGAAGATGAGCATTAATCAAGAGAACTTCCAGGAGTCCAGACCGACATTACTCGCGATTTGGGTAAGCAGTGATCTGAAGATTCGCTTGCGTGCAATAACCTGTTTCCTTTTCTGCAAGGGGCTGTGGAACCACGGGGCTGTACCCGCAATGCACGTGCGCGAGGGTTGCAAGAATTGTTCCAAAGGAGAGGGAACTGGAATATCAAATGGAGGTAGGATGAAATATCCAGAGCAATACTGGTAAAAAAAAAAAAAAAAGGAGCCCCGGTATTAGGCTTGTTGCATCTAGGCAAAAGATATCCCGATAGCAGCTCGACAAATCCTATAGTATAACCAAGAGAACAGCCGCCTTCCCCCTCATCTCACAGCGAGTCCCTCTCACCAGCCAACCCGTCCGTCAAGCTTAAAATACCCCGGTGTCTGCGTCTGGAAAAAGCCCTCCGGATCGTAGGTGCTAGCCACCTTGCGCAGGCGATCAAGATTCTTGGGGCCATAGCTCTCCAGCACGTTCTGGAACTCACTTGCATACGGCATGTACAGATACTCGACGTTGAGGGCGCGCTCCCTCGCATAATGCTTGACGCGGGTGAACAGATTCTGATTGGCCTGCAGGATCTTCAGGTCGTCACCCGCCTGCTGCCATCGGAAGGCCGGGTTCAGGATTATGAGCGGCTGGTCACCGCCGGCGATGGGGAGGGCATTGCCTCCTTTCCTGGTCATGGCGTGGAGAGTGTTGTTGGCAAAGACCTGCATGATGCAGCGGGCCTCGAGACCGTCGAGCGGGCCGAGGGCGGCGGTCTCCTCTTCGAAAACCTGGTGGATGAAGTGCGCGAGCGGCCCGTCGAGGAGGTACGTGGCGGTCCAATATGTCTGGCGCAGTCCGTCGGGCTGGCCACGGTAATTGGACTCTGCCAGCTGCGACTGGCGCGTGACGGCGATGGTGTCGGATGTGTAGGGCACCTGGGTCAGATTCGTGTTGGAGAGCATATTGCTCGGCTCGGGGTTGACATTGAAGAGATCGACCGTCGCGGTGTACTCGCCGTCTCGGTAGTAGAGGGTGGTGATCTGGGAGGCCGAGGGCTGGTAAGGGGAGAGGAATCCCGACTCGACATAGAAATCAATGAGACTGGGAATCCATTGCTTCGTATAGTTTCGTGTGCCGCCCCACATCAAGTCGTGAGGGATCGCGTACATATCGAAGTGAGTGACGATTGCGAAATTGCTGCCTCCCCCTCTCAGTGCCCAGTAGAGGTCGGGCTGGGATTCTCGGTTGACGTCGAGGATAGAACCATTTCCGAGGACAGCCTATATGTTGGCGACGAAAGGATTAGATTCACTCTCAACGACAGGCTTGATAAGTCATCTGGTTCCTTTTTCTATTGTTCTTCTTGGATAGGAAAATACCCGATAGTTTGCCACGTTATCACAGGCGAGGCCATACAAGCCAGAGAAAAAAGTGATTCCACCTATTTTGTTCGCTCAATCAGAAGGCATTGCTTGCAGATGCGGTGAGGAGGATGAGAGCGACGCACCTCCAAGAGTAAATCCTCCGACTCCCACGGACCCTGTCCGGCCGCCGGGAACGGTCAAGTTGACTTTTTCCAGCTCGTTGTACACATTCAACCAGCGGGTCCCTGCGCCAACCAGCACGGTCTTCCTGTCCGATGACACAATAACCTGGTCAAAGTGTCGGAGAACAATGGTAATGCCCTTGGCCGTGTTGGATGCCCCGGCAAATGATGCATGGCCTCCGCCTTTGACGGCAATGGGACAAAGTGGGTGTTCTCTCGCACGGGCCACGGCGTACGATAGCTGAGCTTCATCGAAGGGTCGATAGAAACAGGCAGGGCTCAGCTCGGATTGTTGACGGGAGAAATAATCATTCTGTTCGGCCGCGAATTCATCCTCTCCCGGCCACGCAGTGGTATTTGATATGTGCCGGCGAGGTTTTGACACTATCTCTGTCTGAGAACCTGTCTGTGACCCACCAAGCTCATCCAATCCCAATCCAGCATAGGACGTACCAAAGAGAAACATTCACTTGTGGCATCCTGGAGCCGGGTTATATTCTGCTCTCTTTCTGTTGCCAGACGAGCTGGGTGCCACTCAGAGGTTCTTGCGGTAAATGGTGGTTTCAGGCAGCTTGCTAATACAGCAATGCCAACAATCCAAGACAGCTCATGACACAACCTCATTTGGTCTGATTTGCGTATCAATGAGGTATTGCGAGATATCAGGTCAACTGACTACGTGGACACGGTCTCGTTATTCCCGCAAGATGCATCTCCATTTTATATATTCGTCCGCTCTGAACATGGGTTTATCCAGAGCTCTGAGGCAACGGCGGTGAGTGGAAGATACTACCCAATGACTCAAAGGCAAGCGATCAGTTGGGTTCACTGAATAGATCGATTCAGCTAAGGCTGAAGAAAAAAGAAGAAAAGGGTTGTGGCGTGAATCTTTTGACCCGCCGAGCCCCTTGCATTGCTATCTAGAGTGTAACAAAGGGTCGGGACCTTGTCGCGAACCAGGCTCGTTGTAGTCACATTCCTGCGGTTATGCGCCTATAAAACCAGGAAACCTTTAAATCCCTTGCTTTAGATCTCTCTAGAGATTCAGTTTAAGTTCAGAGTATCCTTCCTTGACCTTGATCCGGGGCCTTCTGAACGCAACGGTGGGATAGGGAAAATACCTCATTCTCACACCCTGGTCGTCGAAGGTCATCTAAACCGGCAGCATTGAAGTAAGGATTAGACACAACTCTGCCAGAACCCTGCTATTTTCCAGCAGACCTATCTTATTGGATTCAAGGTTCAAGATAGAAAATGCATTCTTGCCTCAAATCGCTGACCGTTTTCGTTACATGATAAGGGCGACTTCTCCTGCGGCTGCTAGCTCACACCACTTCCTCACGATTCTACGATCGAGATCTCTTTGATTGATTCCTGAGCTCAGTTATTCCATAAGATGAGAATGAGGTTCATGCTACTAGCCCTGGGGACATTGGTCGTCAGTGGCGTGGCCCAAGCAAGAACCGCAACGTCTGCCAGCGGATCTCCTCCGCGAGATCCCCCTATCGTCAATCCCACACGAGCGCCATACCAGGACCCGAACCTGGAGACCGTTCTTCGAGTGGAGGATCTCCTCTCTCGGATGCCAATGAGGGAGAAGATGGCTCAGCTCATGCAAGGTCATCTCGACGACACTCCTACCTTCGCCCCGAGAAGGATTAGGACTAATAATTTGCATAGGAGAACTGGACCGTTTTGTTGATTTTGATACCGGTTATGTCAATGAGACAGCCATGAAGGATCACATGTTCTATCATTCCAGCATGCTGCGGGGCTCGTAAGCGTCCGAATATCCCGCGTTCATTGTCGTTTCTCCTCATGCTGAGCGAAATACTGCCCCCCTCAGTCAGCTATCCACGCTCTACACTTGACTTGGCCTACCGTGGGGCCCAGGCGCTGCAGGGCTGGATCATGAACGACACAAGTCTGTCTCTTCCAGCGATCGTGCAATGCGAAGGTACCCCTCGTTGCCCCTTGTCCCGTGTCTCTGTCTGATGAGTTGGCTTGATTGTAGGGCTTCATGGACTGGGACTTCCGAATACTACTATATTCACGTCTCCCATTGGACTGGGGGCATCCTGGAACATTGAGGTACTACTACCCCATTCAGAGCTTCCTACATCTCATCAGACTTTAGTTGACAGCTGAACCGCATAGTTAATGGAGCGGGTCGCTGAAACAATTGGTAAAGAGGCCCGCGCCTTGGGCATCACGCAAGTCTTTGCGCCCTCATTGGACCTTGCCCGAGACCCAAGACATGGAAGAGTAGGTTTGCTTCATGCAACAACAATATTGTCTACGCTGCTGAATCTGAGCTACCCAGGTTGAAGAATCATATTCGGAAGACCCATACCTAGCCGGAGAAATTGGAGCGGCGTTTGTGCGCGGTCTCTGGAAGTCCAAGGTTGCCTCCACTATCAAGCATCTGGCAGGCTATGGGAATCCAGAGCAGGGAATTTACAACGGGCCCGTCCATGGCGGGCCGCGGGAGCTCCATACCACGTATCTCCCACCGTTCCAGCGGGCGTTGCAGGAGACCGGTGCTTTCGCCGTCATGAGCTCATATAATTCGTACTCATATCCCCTTTCCTTGTCTTCCCTTCCCACTGGCGGGGTGCTGTTCCGATGAAGAGAATATTCTGATACCCATGATGACAGATACGACGGTATCCCGTCCGTCAGTAACCGGTACCTACTCACGGAGGTGCTGCGCGAGCAATGGGACTTCCAATACTTCACCACCTCGGACTACGGGGGGCCGGATCGACTCTGTGAGACTTTCAAGATGTGCCACAGCGACCCCGTAGACAAGGAAGCAGTGACCATGATGGTCCTGCCAGCTGGTGGGGACACTGAAGGCGGGGGCTCATTGTGGGCAAATCCCCTCCTGCCATCCCCAACGATGTGAGGGCGTCGCGTTCCTGATGTGCATGGACAGCAATTTCGACGTGGTGCCCGACCTCGTTTCAAACGGGACTTTGTCTCCCTCCATTGTCGATGAAGCAGTGCGACGTGTGCTAAGGGCGAAGTTCGACATGGGTCTCTTTGAAGATCCTTTCCCCGCAGCACCGCCGTCGGATTGGCGCGCGCTCATCCGCACGCCCGAGGCGCTCGATCTCGCCACGGAGATGGACCGCGAGTCGATTGTACTTCTACACAACCCGGGAGACATCCTGCCTCTGGCCCAGAAGTCGCAGAAACTGGCAGTCATTGGGCCTTTCGCCGACACCCTGAATGTAAGTCGTTCCCATCCCGATCGCGCCTACCTCCGCTCCACAGAGCTGATACCCACCCCTTCCCCCTCGTAGTACGGAGACTACATCGCGTACCGACCGGGCGGCGTCACACCCAGGCAAGGAATCCAGAACCTGGCCACTAAGTACGGAGGCGAGATTGTGTACGCTCTGGGATGTGAAGCCTGGAGCAACGACGAGTCTCTCATCGGCGAAGCCGTGCAGCAAGCGCAGGCCGCCGACGTGGCCGTTGTTGTCGTGGGCACCTGGACCCAGGACCTCGAGGGCCAGGAAAAGGGCTTGAACGCCACGACCGGCGAAGGCTACGACACGAATGACCTGCGGCTGGTGGGCGCCCAACGCGCCCTGGTCCAACAGATCATCGACACGGGGAAGCCGACCGTCGTGGTTTTCTCTTCCGGCAAGCCCATCACCGAGCCCTGGCTCTCCTCCAACACGACCGCCACCGCTCTCATTCAGCAATTCTACCCCTCGCCGAACGGCGGCGTCGCGCTGGCGGATGTGCTGTTCGGGAACCATAACCCCAGCGGACGCCTGCCCGTCAGCTTTCCACGCGACGTGGGCAGTCTCCCCGTGGCCTACGACTGCCTGGACTCCGGGCGCGAGATCCGATCCCCCGGCGCGCGCCATGCCAATGGGAGTCTCGAGTTTGGCCACGACTATGTGCTCGATACGCCGGATGTGTGGTTCGGGTTCGGGCATGGGGAGAGTTACTCGACATTCGAGTATAGTGATATTCAGGTTGTCCCAAAGGCTCCGCGGGCGTCAGACAATGTGACGGTCGCAGTGAATGTGAGAAACACGAGTGATCGGGACGGGAAAGAGGTCGTGCAGTTATATGTGGTTGATTCGCTTTCTTCGGTCGTCACGCCGAACAAGCAGCTCAAGGGGTTTCAGAAGGTCTTTATCCGGGCTGGTGAGACTGCTACAATCAGCTTAGAGGTTCGTGTTAGCAGTCTCGGACTGTGGGACGCGGGGATGCGATACGTGGTCGAGCCCGGTGAGTTCATTGCACACGTCGGTCGCAGCTCGACGGATTTGAGGGGGAATGTGTCTTTCTTCGTGGTCTGAGATAGTTTTCGAAGCGGGGTGCCTCTAAATTTGTCTTTCAATGAATCTTTAGTATTGCAATTGCAGCCGTATCGGTGAGGAGATCGACAGAACTCCGTGCTTATTTGATTCATGCCAAGCCCGTAAGTAGCCGGTATATTCTCTATATGTATTAACAAACAAAGCCCCCTTTCCCGCTCTCTCAACCATAATAGTCAGCACGAACTGCCAACGTGGGATATCCCTTCCCCAACTTATCCCAATCGTGTAATATTTAAACAGCCGAGCGTGATATCACCTTTGCCGCAAGATGATGAGGAATCAACCTCGGCCAAAACACGTCGGTCACTCCCTGGCTGCTCCGAATCGAGTCAGTCGTAAGGGCAGAGGTGGAACTTCCCAGACCATGCTGCTTCGCCACGAACTGATGTCGAAGTCCGGTTCTTCCAGCTGCCAGTCAAACGCCCACAGCATCCTGGCCAGAACATGGGTCATCTCCATCTCGGCCAGCTGCCGGCCCGGGCAGCTCTGCCGACCCAGCAGGAACGGATGTACTGCACTTTTATCATCTAAGCTGTATTCCGAGCTATCGAGCCAACGTTCGGGATGGAACTCGTGTGGGCCCCGAAAGAACCGAGAGTATCTTCCGCTGCAGTATTGGGGGGCTCGAATGATTGTCTAATCTTGTAGTCAGTCGGGTTCAATAAGCACACTGTTACATATTTCAACTTAAAAAGGCAGGGGGCTCACTGACACCTTGTGGAAGACAATAACGGTCGATGGTGACAAAGTCATCAAGCACCCTTCTCGGCCCTGAAGTGGGCTGGGCGGGACACAGCCGGAAGGCTTCCATGATGACCGCGTTTAGATAGGGCAGGTTCGTGACTTCAGGGTGGGCGATGTCCTCCTCCCGCGCAAACGCCGCCCGCACCTCCTCCCTCGCGCGATCCTCGCACTGTCTATGCACCGCCAGGAAGGCTGTGGCGGCCAAGACAGTAGAATGAACAGTCACACTACCGGCGACAGCCAGCACCATCAGGTTGGCGTTCATCTCCGTCGGGGAAAGGATCTTGCGCTGGCGCATGAGGCAGAACACGCTCTCCCCTGCATCTTTGCTATTGCGGCTACTGCTCTCACACTTCGCCTGTATGACCTGGCGGGGATAGTCGCGAAAGCGCTTGGGGATCATCGCCCAGATCAGCTTCTGCAGCAGAGGAGAAACGCCAACCAGGCGAAAGTAGGTCCCGAGGCTCATGAATTCCATCGCCGCGAGCCATGGATGCGTTCTCATGTCCTCCAAGCAGCCAAAAGGCTCCCTCCAAATCAAATCGCCGGCCAGGTCGAACGTTAGCCAGCTGTATAGCTTGGTCATATCCACTCGACCCTCACCACCGCCTCCCACCACGGCCGCGTCGAGTCGTTCCCGAAAGACCGACGCGTTGCGGCGAATGACCCCATCATGCGTCGACAAAGCCGGGCCAGTGACTGCTTGGTATATCGCTTTGCGGAACCGTCGGTGATCGGACTCATGCTCATAGTTGGCGATGTCTTGTTCGCCTTCGATGAATCGCGCGAAGCGTTGAGGGTCCCGCCCAATGGCCTCCGCGCCGTAGATCTGTTGCTGGGCCGTGTCGCTGATGAAAGAGACTTGGTTGGGGGCGGTTCGGACCACGGGGCCGTACTGCTCGTGGAGCTGGAGTAGGGTGACGTGGCTCATGCCACTGATCCAGCTGATGAGCCAGGGGATTGGAGTGATGCGGTGGAGGAGGGGACCCGGTATCTTTCTTAGTGGATGCCAGATGGCATTGTAGACCATTCTTGCGGTCGTATACACCACTAGCTGATGATGTGAATGAGACACTCCGTTCGAAAGTATCAAAAGGAGACTTACTAACCAGGATCACGGCCACGGGGCCAGCTGTTGTGAAGATTAGCATGTTTACTGCCGTTTCTGGATGTCGCTGCGGGAATAATGACTCCAGGTGACGCAGCTACCTGATGGTAATAGTAGGTCTGCTAGCCGTATTTATACTGTGGTTTTAAACGTAGAGTCGGACGTAGAGAGACCTTATGTCATAAAGCAGGAATTTTGGTAGAAAAATGTCCATGCATACTCTGCAACTATGCAAAGCGTGTTAGCAATTACAGCAGCGTACCAGGACCGGCAAGCCAGCCACATACAATCGACATGGGTGGTAGTGTACCAACGCCAGATGCCCGTACCGTGTTCGAAAGAACGGATGCATCCCTACGTTTGGGGTTGTCAGCCGCATTCTTTTTATTGGAATCACCCTATCAGAATTACGGCGTCGGGCCTTGTTTCGGATTTGAGGTTACTAGCTGACGTTGCTTGTAAGACACCATATCCGGCTGGGTTGTCTGGAAGTATAATCACTCTACGGAGTTCGCCTGCATTCTATCATGCCAACAGGGATTGTTTTCAGCAGTCAGGTTTCCGGGCCGTCAGATGAGCGTTTGATCCATGTAAAATAACATCATCCAATCCATCCTAGTTGCAAGATCCAGATTTCCATTGTTACATGTGATGAACAATGCTATCAGCTCAAGCTATCTAGTATCATGTGCGAACACGAGGTTTCCATGGACAAAGTGTACGTTTACAAGAATGTTCAAATTTAGAAGATTGGACGGGACGGGACTTCGAATCGAGTCTAAACATAAGTAGATGCGAGTGCTTCTTTTAAAAGAATGAAACAAAGAAAAAAAATTCTCTGCTGTTTTTTTTTTGACTTGGTACTGCAACTGAACTTGGGTCGCTTGGTACAAAAAGCCGACGGCAATTAAGGTGTAATGAGGATATAATTACATCGCCGTGTCATGGTCGAGTTTGTGGACTCGAGCGCGATGGAAAACAGAAGCCGAATCGGCACAGTCTAGAGAAGCACCTGATAATTGATCGCCATAGCATGCACCGGAAGACTAAGCAGAGAGGATAGAAACCATCGATTGGTGGTTCACCTTGAACAGCAGATGAATATAGGGGGTAGGTGCGGAGGGGCTGCAACCAGAAATTGAGCCTGGCGCTGGTCATATACCTAACACGGCGAGAAGACCTGTAATATCAGCTCGACTGGCCCAGTGGTTAAGGCGTCTGTCTTACATTGCCCTGCAATAAAAACACAGAAGGTCCTCGGTTCGATCCCGAGGTTGAGCACATGGTTTTTCTGCCGCATCCTTTTTTTGCCCCACATATGCACCTCCTGCCGCAATCCGTGCCCTAGGAGAAGGGCCCTACCGTTTCCTCATCCTCATCTCGATTATGTCGATGCTCAGTGGAACTCTCCAGCACATGTTGTCTGAAAGGTCCCGTGCAAGAACAAGCCGTACTCAATCCACCTTGTACCTCATCCCCTACACAGCAGGTGTAATTATGACTGAGCTCTCATTTTCATATAAGTTTTTTTTTCCTGCAAAAACACAGTTCCAGTATTACTCCGGATTCCATCAAAGACAAGAACGAGATACGACAGTTTCGAGATCTATATGAGCACCTACTGCAGCCGTGTAGCTGCTCACGAATGCGCAACATGGCCTAACCATTCCAGCGCTGCTGACCCAAGCGATCTAGGCCTTTCTCACCCAGACCTGCCCCAGAGCCGAGGAACAAAACCCCAATAACCCCGAAATTCTGCTGGACCCCTGCCCCTGCAAAGAAAATCGAGGTCTTACCTACGGCCGCGGGAGGTGAGCTTATCATAGAGCCCCGCACATCGTTTGTTTGCCTGCCGGATGATCTCGTCCCTGTATTCTTTAGCCAGGTCTCTGCTATTCCGATAAGCGTCCCGCCCTTCTCGATAGGATTCTGGACTGCTGATCAGCGAGTAGTGCCCGATCTGTGTCATCACATAGTCAGTGGGACGGTCGGGGCTCCGAGACCTGGTCGGGTGCGTCGTGTAGATCCTCAGTGTTCCAGCACGATAAGTCAACATGATAGTGTAGGCCTTGTCGTCATATCCGCTGTCGCCCACACCCCCGAATAGCCGGAGGGAATGCATGGCGCGCGCCCCCAGCGCACCATCATAGCACGCCTGGCGCGTGGCTGCCCGGCGCGTTCCATGATGGCCCTTGGCCTCGATGAAGATGTTCGGGGCCACTGGACGATTGCTCTGGTTTGACGGGCGAATCTGATTGTGCAGCTGCTCCTGGATGGCGGGCGCGAGCTGATTGGGTCGTGCGCCGTGGTAGAGATCAGGCTTCGCACTGGCGAGCGTGCCGTCGGTCAAGGGGGCCATGTTCCTGAATGGGTGCCCGCCCGCAACCTGGGACCGAGCCCGGTGCTTGCCCTCAAGAACTGCCAACACCTCTGTGATGACAGCCTGCTTGTCAGCAGCGTCGTGATTGAGCTCGAGGAAATCCTCGTACTCCTGATCGAGAGTCGTGCTTTCGGGTAATGCTGACGAGGGGCGAGGGGCCTGCATTCTTCTTCTAATTTGCGCAAGGTTCTTCGCTTTTGGTGGTCTGCTACCATCTGGATATCTGAATAATGGCATATAGATACCATTTTGGAGTAGATGATTCTCGAAATGCGGGTCATAGACTGTGGTGTTTCCAATCGAAGTCTGAGTGGATATCGTATTTGGGCGTCTTAAGTCTGAGCTGGTAGGAACTACAGAGTATTGAATAAAGTCGGGTGGTAGGGGATGCTGAGCGCAATATTATTTAGTATATACCTACTTTAGGTATAGGTATGAAGGTATACCGAGCAGATGAGCAACTTACATGCCTAAGATCCGATAGATCCGGACCTCCGCAGCGGGAAAGTCTTCTGATCTCTTGTAAACAAGTAGCGGGGCAACTACGCAAAAAGTCAGGGGCAAAGGTGTAGGATTTGGTAAAGAAAGTCCGGCTTGAGGATAGAGATAGAATTCGTCGGTTATTTTCTCTCAAAGCGCTCTTGGTCAACCACAGCTTGGTGAGTTTATCCCAGAACTGTGGAGGGGGGTGATAAACACGGCGCTTCCGTCTGGGATGCTGGCGCGAAGGAGACGACATATAGTGGATATTCATGGAAGAAGAGATAGAAGGAGGTGACGAGGTGATGTAGGGAGTAAAAAAAGCGGAACAATTGTTTTGAAAAGTTCTCTTATATGATATCCAAAACAAAGAGATCATGGGGAGAAAAGCATGGGTCGGCCTGCCCTTTTTTAGAACAAAGAGACTGGCATCTAACTCACACATAGTTTACGCTTACTGCTCACTCGGGAACAATACTGCCATCCTGACATCCATTCTTAACATCGTCAAGTGGTAATAGCAATTGAAAATGATTGTACACGAGAGCATCGCATCATGCGGCCAGGAATGTTGAAGTCCGGCGAGGTGGTAAACGAGCGAGGGGTGGGGAAAGCAGCGGGGCGCCGACAGATTTAGTTACTAACATGCTTCTGAGGCTGAGAGCACGAAATCGCAAGAGCTTAGAAGGCTAGTATGATAAAACAAAAATGGTCAGAGCTGGGTGGTGAATCTTTCAAACTGGGTGTGTTGTAGTGTAGTGTCACTACAGTAGGAAGGAATTTTGCTGCGACCTCGCCGGGCGGTCACGGCCCGGTGACAGGCTACCTGAGTCAAGTTGCATTTACTGCTATTCTGCCGGCAGTACGCCTACAGCACATCTTTGAAGGGCTTATATTATCGAAGCTGCCCTTCCGCTTAGGCCATTCGATGAGGAATGTTCTCATATATACATGGTTCTGGTCTCGATATAGGAAGGACCATCTGGTTCAATGACAAATGAATCGATGTGAGCGGGTCAAGCCGACCAGACTCCTCTCGGGATACGCCCCGAGATCGTCGCCCCTTATCTACGGTATTGGTCTCCACTCGGAATCCACTCGGTTCAGGCACGATGCGCTTTAGCTCCAATTCTGCCTAGCGACCTCCTAATAAATAAAGCTAACCACCCACAGGCCGCAAAATTGTAAAGCAAGAGGAAAAAAAAAAAAAAAAAAAAAAAAAAAGAAAATCAACAAGAAGAAATACATGAGACAAGAGGAAGAATAAGGTTGACTACAACCGCGATATGATCGTTTCCAGTGTCTTTCTGGCTCTGCTGTTGTGGCCCGTCTCTTTTGCGGCTGTGGCGCAGGAAATGTGCGAGAATGCGCCCCCAAACGAACCCATCGGTATCGACCTTGGCCACCATCTTGTCATAGCCTCCTACGCCAACTCCGCAGAAAGTTTCACGCTGCTAGGTGCAATCGATCACCAGGATTATCAGAGACAGATTCTCGAATTATCCATGAATCACTTTCGGCAATCAGGGCTAGCGGGGCCGGGGCCGAACTCCCGTGGTTCGACGCCGTTGGCGCTCATGAGCAGCGCCGTCTGGCAACTACTCGAGGTCATCGATGAGAGATTTGCCATTAGCAGCACTTCATATGTCGTCTGGACACGAGGTTCGATTCGTTCAATTTACGATGGTGTCTCCAAGACGATCCCCACCCCTATCAAGCGATGGATCAAGTCCACCCTCATCTCGTGCGGCCTCTTGAAGAAGAAGCTGTCTATATCCGACATCACCGAAACATTCACTGACGTCTTGACTAAACTCAAGACCACGGCTTTCGAAGCTCATAGCGTCAACGTGACCTGGGCCGTGGTCGGCGTGCCGGACTTCTTCAACGACACGCTGAAACACGCCGTTGTGCAAGCCGGGCAGCAGGTGGGAATTGTAATCCTCGAGGGGGCAGTTCCCCCGCGCTCCTTCTGCACACACTACCTGAATCCGGCGGTAGAAGAGGACGCTAGAGTGCTGGTTATCCACCAGGGACAATTCCATTGTGGCGTCCAGTTGTACGATGGGCCGCAAACCCGCCGCCGCCGCCAGTCAGGGTATCCATATCTTCCGTTGACTCCGTGGGCGAGTGAGCGGATTCAACGCCGGCTTGTGGATGAGCTTGTTAGCGGTGATGCACACTTTAGGACTCTGATTAAACAGGGAGGCGACCGGGGATTTTTGACACACGCGGTACAAAAGACGAGGTTGACGTTGATGGGGTATGACCCGGCAGTCGAGATGTTGCTAGGTCTGGAGGAGCCGCTGCGGAATGAGGCCAGCGGTAACGGAGATAATAACGAGGAGGAGAAAACGCTCGATGACCTTCCCCTCAATTTGGACTCCTGGTGGGCGCATGGGAGCTTGCCGGACCTGGTCCTCACACGTAATCAGGTCACGGGAGTTCAAGCTGAGTATGTAGAGTCTCTGGCAGGCAGTATTCATGCATACTTGCAAGCTACCAGAGGTATGCACCCCAAACCACGTACCCCAGAATCCACATCATGATGGGCCTAACAATGTGACTCAGAATCCCGCAGGAAGACAGGCGCAACGAAAACCAAGAGGGTGGACTACGCAATTGTATTGACGGACCACTTTGATGGCGAGCTTGTGCATCGCGCTATTCGGGAGGCTGTCGGCGATGGAGTTCCTATTCTTGGTTCGTTGAAGGAAATGACTATGGCGGCGGACGGTGCTGCGAGGTTGGCGTGGAAGCGGAGAGAAAATTTACTTCTGAGGCAGGACAGTGCAAGGGCTAGACATGACGAGCTTTGATGGTGGGGGTATAGAAGAGCTATGGCTGGTTAATGCTTTTGCACCAATCATGTATAGATGTATAGTACCTGCCACAACTGCTGTATGGCGCTGTATGTGGCAATATGAGCACCCTTGTCCACTGACCGGACGGTGCAAAACTCGGAGGCCTCCTTGATCGATCCATTGCATCGCCGTGTCACCATGTCTTCCAGTTTGCTTTAAGGGCCTGAGTATCGACCCATTCAAGTCTTCCATTACTTTGAGACAAATTGATAGAGGCTAGCCCCCAAAATACTCTTCATCAGCCAGTCTGCAACTTTTCCAAGCACATACGACCACAGGGTGTGGAAAATAGGGCTTCCCGTCCGCTCAGCCGTACTCAAGCCACACGCCGGGAGGTTAGTAGTTGGGTGGGTGACCACCAGCGAATCCCTTCTGTTGTATGTTTTTGGTGGTGCTCTGATCATCGCACCTGAAACTATTTTTCGTCCAGTCTTCCCTTTCTTTAGGTATCTTCTTCACCTTTCATAATCATCTCACAAACCACTCTCTCCCTACATTGCACCTCGGTGCTATCTTGAGCTGATATGACCTTTTCTTGTTATCTTAACAATAACTCGTCACAACCTCGTAAACCAGAAGCAGCCAGTCATGTCCTTTACACTTGAGAAACAGCAGCGGAAGGTTAAGAACTCTCTAATATTAGTACTATTTGTATTATCATCAGGAAGCTCTAAGCGATGTGATGTGCCTACGGGATGGGCGTAACTACACCACCCAGGTGGCTTCCCCTAATTGCCCATTTCGAAGCCAGCAATTACAAATTCCCGGGAAAGCTTCGTTGGGTAAGGATGCTGAAAGTGTGTGCTATCGTGAGTGGACCAGTCCCAAGACCCCTTCAAATCTCAGCGTGATGTCAAGATAAAGGCGCCTTCTCCGATTAGCAAGAGAAAATGAAAAAATGAAAGTAGTGTTCTCAGTTGAGACAGACTTTGTGGATCGGACTGCGAAACAGGGCTCCTTACAAGTTGTTTTCATCGGCAGTGTTGTTTTGATAATTAGGACTCTAACGGCAAAGTCGCTTGCGGTGAGATAGCGTTTCAAATCGCTTAGACTGCAGCTGACAATTCTAGTTGCTTGTCCAGAGCTATTTTCTAGCTGTATAGCTCTTTAGTATAGACTACGGTTGATAGGGCAGGTCAAAAATCCTGAGTGCGGCCTGTCCAAATAATGTCGAACATCAGGAAGGTAGTAGATGTCTGTCATTGATCTCTTCAGTCCACAATAAGATCTCTACAATGATGACATTTTCTTTCTCACTTCAAGACATGCTGTGAGGTATTGGCCCTTCTTGAAACTGCTGAGAATAGTCCTAAAAGAAAGTCGATTCAGTGGATTACTCTGTTCAGCAGTAACCTGATGTAAAATAAAATCCTCACACTTCTGAAGAGACCCTAGCAACATCTGTCAAACGATGTTTAATATAACGGAAGCAGCTTTAGAAGACAAGTATACATGTGAGGCTAGGTGACATCATATGACTTGCAGTGAGACTAACACTGAGCTGTCTAGGCATTTCGTTCTTATTTTCTTTTCGCCCACCAAAGGAGGAACTCATTATAAGCGTTTGTGTTTGAGAACCCGGGTACTTTCGCTCGTATTGCAACCTATTCAGGTTGTGTTGCATCGGTGGCCAAATTACTGACGTCGTTGCTAGATCTCAGAAGAGAAAAATGTAAATAAGTCCATTGTCTCACGTCAGGCATTGGTGACATACCACAACACGAGGCCTGAGACGCAGCCCTCTTGCACTTTCGGCGAGCCCGCGATTGCTAGCATACTAGTGCAACTAAACATCTAAGCTACCTCGCGACGACCAGGTCTGAACGCGGTGGAACCCGGGTCGCTTACACGTTGGGGTGAATTGTGGATATGTCAGATATAGGTTGGCCCGACCTTGGTGATCTTGTTTGACGAACAGCTGACGGAAGGATGCCATACAGGCGACAATATTTGCTATAAGATAGGTTTGTGAGTTTTGGTGCTAGTAGTCGAATAGATGGATATACAAAGAGGCAACGTACCAACCGTGGCTTCAATAAAGCTCCACATCCAAAGCCAAGATATATCCGGATTCTGGTCTCGACGGGCGACGACGGCCACTCAAACCACGGCCACAATGATGATAAACACGGCTACGGAGAGGATAGCCATAAGGATCATTTTGTGACGGAATGGGATTCGGACGTTCCATAATAGAGCAATCGGTAAACTGATGACTATTTTTCACGCACAGTACTCATTAGCTCCAATCTGAGATTAATATAATTTACTGTAAGCTTTATGGGGATTTTCTTACTGCAGACATCTGTTATCACATCCAGCACCAGATTGGTGATCAGCGCTCGAAACTCAAATTGCCCAGCTGCTTTTTGCGCACAGTGTTCTGTGAAGCAGAGACAAGGGCAAATTAGCATAAACTAAAATCACCACACTAAGAAGGGGAACATGCGCATTCAGCTTAAAGATTACCTAGAATGTATACTTGGCTGTTCACGAGACAGTTGTACTGGATGTCTCCCAGACACACCAAGTAAGTTCCCGCTACCAGGCCCACTACACACCAGAACCAAATAGACCAAGAGCGGTCCGTGCCGGCGATGCGACGGAAGAAGATCAGAAAAGAGGCCTTGTTGGACCAGAGACATGTGTAGAAGAGAATCAGGATAGCGCATTCGGCCCTAGCCAGTCGCGAGAGTCGGGCCATCACCTCCAGAGTTGGCTGGACCATACCGTCCTCCAGCGCAAAGATGTAATACATCGAATCTAACTGTGTTTCCCAGGTAATCGCTTGGGTCAACAATATTAGCCAGGCACTGATTATGAAGGCATCATCGAGCCAAAGGCGTCAAAGCGTCACGATACGCGCTAAGGTGCGAGTTGCGATGAAGAGGAACGAGATTGCGGTTGCTCCCCAAACAACACCCTACACGCGAATTTAGTGTAAGTGACGGCGACCAGCGGTGAAGATAATCACATAGATAGACGCATGCTCGTTACATGCAATGAATGCAGGACCCGACACTTTAGCACTGGTGTCATTTTGAAAGCTCGTCATGGCAGGCAAAGAGACTGATTAACACTGAAAAGTCAGTGTCATAAGAGCTTTTGTAGAATATCAGCGGATAAGCAAGCTTTGAGCGCAAGTGACTGGCAGGAATAGATTGGGGGACCGCTTCTTACTATCAGTGCCACGTAGGGAGAGCAGGTAGGTTTGGGGACAAAGGTGCGATGACTTCGATTTCAATTTATGCCCTCAAGTCCAGTTTCAACATAGAATCATACACGACCATCAGCTTATCGCAATTTCTCAAAGCACGAATACCAGCAAAGTGACTGTGATTACGTCCCTTCGACGCCTCGGCTTACATGGTAGTACACGGAGCATTGTTTTATCCCGTCGCGCTTGCAGGTTCGAGCACTATGCATGCAGCAGACTCGTTTTGGGCTGTGCATATAGCCTTGGCTGACCCAATGGTCGAAAATCACGCCGTCTCGCTCAACGCTTCGTAGTTCGCTTTGATCAGGACATCACAGAGAACAAGCTTTAGCTTCTCCTCACTCGAGTGGGCTTTTCCCATGTTCGTCCCTCTATGATGCCAGTCACATTGGGCGCTGATGTACGGTGGGCGCCTTTTCGTCATTCGGCTCAGTATCATAATCCGTGTGCTCAAGGTACCAGGGTTCTCAGCGCAGTACATAAATAAGAAGACTCGCAGCGTATTTTCAGATTATATCCATCAAGTTTCAGAGGGAAAATAGTAGACTCAAAGGCAACGAACATAATCAAGACCAAGATGCTTCTAGAATTCATGACCCTCGTGACTGACTTGGTCGAGTCAATCTGGGCTTTCAGCCCAGGCATCATTCAAGTGTCTATGATCATGTTTACAACAATACTAACCACCTGGACGATCTGGAGACTGTGGCGATTCACCATTCAGCCATTGCTTCGACCTCATGAACCAGTTGAGCTTCCATACTGGATCCCATGTCAGTGCTTAATCCCTGTATAATGGAGGGTACCAGGACTAACAGCTTGCAGACTTTGGTATTGCTCCCATGACTCCGTCCTCTTGCCTTGTGCTGAGATAAAGACGTATAGGGCATGCGGGTGCCTTCTTCAAAGATTCTCATCTGCTGATGAAGAGAGCCGTGTATGTGGCGATCTGAGGGCCATAACTAGATGCTCCCAGAACGCGGGTAACTAATTCACCGCCTAGGCAACAATTGCAGTCACGCGAGCCTTTTGCACTGACCCTCGCTGGCGACCGGTACTATGTGGCAACATCGCCAGCCGACATCCGCCCTTTTTTCGCCAATGCAAGTGCCCTGAGCCTGGATGGCTTTCTCAATCAGGTGTTGATCGGCTTCGGTTGTGTATCAGAGCGGCTTCATACCCTCTGGCAGCGCAACCAGCCCAGCCCCACAAACCCGAAAGGCAAGAGTCTGATCCATTTGACCGAAGATCTCTTTAAACAACATCTCCTTCCTGGACCGACCTTCAACAGCTTGTTGAGCCGGTATCGTGGGGCAATCGAAGAGTTGCTCCCCTGGAACCACTTGGAAGCAGTCTACCCCACACTGACTGGCAAGGAGACAGAGGCTATTTCTCTTTACGACCTGTGCTCTGATTTCATGATCAATGCCACACAGATGGTTCTGTTTGACCCTGATCTCTTTGCTATCGATCCTGAGATGACATTTGAATTGCGGGCCTTCACCGACGAGTTCTGGCAGCTCATATATAAATCAAAGTTCATTGACAGCACGCGAGTGCGTCAGATCCTGGCTCAATACACCAAGGCGTTCTCCACCTATCTACGGTTACCGCCTCAGACACGGAACCGTGAGGCATGCCTTATCCGAACGCTGCTCCAGACCTATTCTGAGCTGGGGATCCACGAAGAAGACCAGGCGGCCATGATGGTTATGATATATTGGGCGTAGGTAGAACTCCCTCGAAGAAACGTGCAATGTAGCATTAACCCAACGCTCTTTTCAGCGGAGACGCCAATGCATATAAAGCAGCATTTTGGATCCTGGCCTACATCGTACACGATCCTATATTGCGGGAGTTGATTCATAAGGAAACAGCTCCGGCAGTGGGCCCTGAGGGATAGCTAGACATGACTTATCTACGCCACAATTGCCCCCGGCTCTCGTCAGTCTATCATGAGGTACTCCGGCTAACCAAGCGCGATACGGTGCTTCGTCGGGTGGCTCAAGATATAGAGCTAGGCGGAAGGCTGCTCCGAAAAGGTAGCTTTGCAGTAATTCCCTCTTGTCAGTTGCACGACAGTTGCAAGACGTATGGACAGGATTCGCTGTCCTTCAATCCCGATCGCTTCCTCAAACAACCGTAGCTGACGCAAGACCCTGGCTATTTCCCGTATGGTGGAGGATTATACTACTGCCCGGGTAGACATTTCGCAATTCTGGAGATCTTCTCCTTTGTGGCTCTGGTACTGAACCGATTTGAGGTAAAATTGGCGTGGCCGGACCAAAACTTCCCCCAAAAGGACGAGAGTGTGCTTACATTCGGGATCTCACGGCCATTACCAGGTGATGATTTGTATGTATATTTAACGAGACCTGAAGACGTGGAGCACTAGTGAAGATTGGCATGTGTCAAATCGGAAAGGAAGTATGGAGATGAGATTTTGGAAGGGGTGGGCAGGATGTACGCGGTCGGCATGGGTGCACGAGTTAGGGCGAGACTGCCTGGCCTGTGGGATTCAATCGATTCGCTTTCCGGCTGTATTTCGCCCTTCCTAGTGCTCGCAAATTAAGTTAGTCGCCGTAAAGATCCCTGTTACAGTACATTAGCCGGTGCCTTAGATCGCTTAGTTTGATTCTAAGTCTTTTTTCAACTGTCGCCCACCTCTTTGTTCATGTTTTTCTCATCTCTTCCTTTGCTGCTCCTTACTTCTGGCTTTCTCCTAGACTTTTTACGCCAATACCCGCGTTGAATACTCCATACAACTGCGACTGCTTGCCCTGTCTGCTGGCATCTTTTCGCTTCCCTCCACTGTCGGTTTATTCCACAATGTTACTTCTTTTATGTGCCACTTTTCTGTTGGCCTGGACTCTCTACAGTCTTGGTGGTCTGGTCCAAAATATCGGCCGTGCCCGGAGGCTCGGAATTCCCTATCATGTCCTACCAGCCAGTCCTGTCAATCCGCTTTGGGTCGTCCTTGAACCAGTCATTTTCTTCATTCTGGATCGTCTCCCCTTTCAACTTGGCCGAGTTAGCTACTATGGTCGGCGTAGCTGGCAGTTTGCTGACCGGGCCCAGTCTCATCTTCGCATGGGTGATGCGTGGGCACTGGCAACCCCATCCGAAGTGTTTGTCTATGTTTGCGATCCCGAGGCCATCACTCAGATCATATCCCGTCGTGTGGACTTCATACGGCCAGTGGAGCTGTATAGTACGTCGTAGTCGTCCTTCAGTACCGTACAAAGGCATGATTCTGACATACACTCATACACTTCCAGAACTGCTTGATGTGTTTGGTCCCAACGTGGCAACTGTCAGTCTTTTCACTCGAGTCCTCACAAATTCCTCCTGCTTACCGCCATACATTGGCAGACTCTGGGTGCCGACTGGCAACGCCACCGCAAGATTGTGGCCGCACCGTTCAACGAGAGCTTGAATAGTTTTGTCTGGGACGAGGCCATCACACAGGCCCAGGCGATGCTCGCGTCAACTGGATCCTCGCCCGCTGGCGGGTTGGGAGCTGACATCCGCACCTTAGCGCTCAATGTCCTTGCAGCGACCGGCTTCAAGCGACCGCAATCCTTCCACAGCTCCCAGGAAGCACAAACCCTGGAATCCCGCTCCTACAGCGAATCTCTCAATCTCGTGATGAGGAACACCTTCTTAATCATGATTATTCCCCCCTGGGTTCTGAGGCTTCCGGTGTTCCCTAGCTGGTGTAGACGCGTCGGACAGGCCGTTGAAGACTTCAAGCAACATATGCTTACCATGGTCAATCTAGAGAAATCGCTGATCGAGCAGGGTCAGCCAGGCACTGGAACGCTTATGTCCTCCCTGATCCGCGAGTCCGAGGTCACCCGCCACAACAACCGCAAGCCCCTCACGATCCACGAAATTCTTGGGAATATCTATGTAATCAACTTCGCTGGCCACGACACCACCGCCAACACAATGACGTATCTAATGTTTCTCCTGGCCGCCTATCCGGACATCCAGGAGTGGATCGCAGAGGAAGTTCAGACGGTCATTCCCAAAACCGATCAGGGGAATGCGAGTTACAAGGAGGCGTATCCCAGGCTTAAGCGCTGCCTTGCTGTGCTGGTATGATCGCGGTCATGCTCCTGTGTTGCCGGATACTTTTTTCACTAACACGTTAAAAATTTCTTTTTCTTTTTGCGGAGTAACAGCTTGAGACCGTCCGCCTATACCCAGCCATTCAGGCCCTTCCCAAATGCGTCGCCCCTGCCGAAACCACCCTGCACCTCCCCGAGAGTAACCGCACCCTCGTGCTCCCTCATGGAGCCGTCATCTTACCCAGTCTCCTCGCAGTACAAACCCACCCCCGCTACTGGCCGGATGAGCCGCAAGCCTGGCATCCCCGACGATGGATCCAGACTTCGAACACAAATAGTAGCGCGGTGAGCACGGATTACCTTTGTCGCAACGCAACGGAGCAGCTCGCGCGTGAGGAGATCATCGAGCCGCGGGCGGGAACTTACATCCCCTGGTCCGCCGGCGTGCAAGTGTGCGCGGGCCAGAAGTTTGCGCAGGTCGAGACTGTGGCGGTCTTGGCTTCCCTCTTCCGCGAACATCGGCTCCGGGTCGTGCTGCAAGAGGGAGAGGATTTTGCGGCGGCGCAGAAGCGGCTTGTGGCCAAGACGTTGGATACGCATCAGCTGCTGGTGATTCAGATGCGGGATCCGGATAGTGTCAAGTTTGTTTGGGAGTATGTGGGGTCAAAAGTCAGTGGGAGCTTGTTGTAAATACGTTCAAGTATGAGGTGGTATTTGTATAGAATAAGTGAAGGGAGACAGCTGCTGAATTGTGTTTGACCACGTATAGTGCTTTTAGCATTGCCTGCGCAATATTGCCTGAATGGTGCTTTGATGAGCATGCCATATGTGGAGATGGCACCTCTGTCGCATGGTAGATATCATTGTATTTCTGTCGGGATACGTGACAGATTACTCTGTGACAGTTGACAGCTGGTTTGTGAAGCAGGAAGGAATTTTCTGGTTCAGATATAGGACAGCAGTAAATACAGAGCGACAGAGCGACATATCGATGGATGAATGAATAACTAATCGATAGTAACTAGTCAGCGGAAGGCTGCCGATCACTGCGGAAAGAACCTCGGAACTTGGAATCGGAAACTTTCCGGAACATGGAAGAAGTATCTGCCGACGTTGACCGCTTGCATCTGCCGCGCCACCTTGACTCAAATTGCAGGCGGAAAAGGTATTGTTCCGTTTGCGCCCGCCTCAAGAAAACCATCCCACCATCTTATCAGCCCACTTGCACATCGTTTGCCTTTCCCCTCTCACAAATCCCCATTCCCCGGCTCCGGCTCTGGCTCGTCAAGATGGATTCCGCAGCTCAGGCACGTTATGATCTTATCCGCGAGAACCTCGCTGAGGTTCTGAACCCCGAGATTCTCGAGGGTATCCTGGCCGAGGGCCGCCATCCCCGCATCTACTGGGGTGAGTCAGTCTAAACACCGCGCTGTATTACCTGCACCAACTAATGTTTTCCTGAAATCAGGAACGGCCACCACTGGCAGGCCCCACGTCGGCTACTTCCTCGCTGCCCTCAAGATCGCCCAATTGCTTCGTGCTCAATGCGACGTCGTCGTCCTGCTCGCCGACATCCACGGTTTCCTCGACAACCTGAAGGCGCCGCTGGAGCTGGTGGACAACCGCGCCCAGTACTACCGCAAGGTTATCACCGCCATCCTTGAGTCCGTCGGCGTGTCGACCGAGAAGCTCGAGTTCGTGCTCGGCAGCTCCTACCAGAAGTCCCCCGAATATGTCATGGATGTCTACCGCCTGTCGAGTTTGATCTCCGAGTCGGATGCCAAGAAGGCCGGTGCGGAGGTCGTCAAGCAGACCGACAATGCCCCCCTGAGTGGTCTGCTCTACCCCGTGCTCCAGGTTCTGGATGAGGAGCACCTGAAGGTGGACTGCCAGCTGGGTGGCATGGACCAGCGCAAACTCTTTGCCGCTGCCGTGGAGTGGCTGCCCAAGCTTGGTTACCGCAAGGTATGTCCGCCTCCAATCGTCTGTCCAGGGATTGGTAGAAGGCTAATCGCTTTCACCTAGCGCGCACATCTCATCAATCCCATGATCAGCGGATTGAAGGGTGCCAAGATGAGTTCCAGTATCGAAGGTAATATCCATTATCACACGACCACGCGGAAGCCCTAGACTGACACCTACGTCGCTTAAACAGACAGCAAGATCGATCTCCTCGACTCAGCCGACAGCATCACCAAGAAGATCAAGAAGGCCGAGTCCGCGCCCAAGGTCGTCGAAGGTAACGGTGTCATCGCCCTCGTGGAGTACGTCCTCCTGCCCGCCGCCGATCTCAAGGGCAAGAAGGAGTTCCGCGTTGAGCGCAAGGACCAGGAGCCCCTGATCTACACCGACATCAAGCAGCTCGAGGAGGATTACAAGAACGATGTTGTATGTTTTTCTTTGCCTACCTCGCCCCTTTTTAGCCTTCTGTTTGCACCTTCATTACTAACCCTAACCCTCTGCAGTTGACGCCACAGATGCTCAAGCCCGCCGTCGCGGACGGTCTCATCAGCCTCATGGCCCCCATCCAGGCGGCCTACCAAGCCTCTACCGAGTGGCAAGAGATCACCGCCAAGGCCTACCCGCCTCCTGTCGTCGAGAAGAAGCAGAAGAAGGTCAAGAACAAGGGCACTCGCCACCCCGGTGCTGCCGCTGAGCCGGAGAAGCCGGCCACGGAGTAGAGGTTTCGAAGAGGAAGCTTTAGCGTACGATATACAAAAAGCACGTACAGTTCATCTAGAACTTTAGCGATAGACCACTTTTCATGACAAATGACTCTGGAAGTTTTTGATATCTTTTTTCCGGGGAGGGGTACAAGCTGTTGAGCGTGGCCAAGGATAGCCTTGGATGGAGCCAGCGGACTGGCGTCTGAGTTTCATCACATCAAAATGACAGGATCAACGTGTGTGTATGTAGTACTCAAGTACTACCTAGTAGGTAAGTAGGTGTAACTATACCCGCGGGCTTAAGCATGCCTTTGCAATGTCCAGCAATTTAACCTATCAGGAGTGAGTGGTGCCAACTGCATAGCGTGGTCAAAGTGGAGCCGGTGTCGCACGGCAGAAAAGGCTCTAACTCGATTTAGTCTACGCTTATTCCGACCACGGACGGATCGCCCGCGGCGGTCTTGCCATATGCCCAACTTATCGATTCCGGACGAATGCACAATTGTCCTCAGTACTCATGCAATGTGATTGTTCATATCCTGAACGCTCTTCGCGGGAACGTTTGCAGAGAGGGCATGGAACTCTCCTTGCAATGACACGGTTACAAAAAATTCAAATCCGTGGGTCTACTAAGGAAAGTCCGACCGATATATATCTTAAGCACTCCGGAAGTCCTATGCTTGCCGCGTCTTGAGCAGAGTGTCCTAATCCAAAGAACATAATGCGAACGCAGTGAACAGCATGCTTAGATCCCATGCGGCTTACCCTCAAAATCCTCCTTGATCAGATCCGCAGCCTTCTCCGCGACGGCAAACACAGTCGCCTGGATATTCCCGCGCGGCACCAACGGGAAGATACTGGTATCGACGACACCAATGTTCGTGGTACCGTACACGCGCAAGCGGGGATCGACCACGCCCCCGTCCTCAGGCGGCATCATGGCGCACGTCCCTGCCAGATGGAATGTAGAGAGCAGCAGCTATTTCGTCACTTTTTTGGCCTGCTCCAGATCGGTGAGTGGCTCGGGGCTATGTAGCCGGACGCCGTTCTCCTTGAGCACCGCAGCCATCGACGGCGTCGCGGCCAACTTCTCCATCCACATCGCGTGGCGGGCATGTAGCTCAAGATCAACGGGGTGGCGGAGGATCCCATGGTCAAGAGCCGGGTGATCCCTGGGGTTAGCGGAGCGGATATGCACCGACCCCCGCGACAGCGGATAGCATAGCGTCGAGACGAGCGTAATGAAGTTCCCCGGGTGGGCGGGCGACATGAGGGCCTTGATGCTTTTGACTCCTTGACGTGGGTCGAGCTGGAAGGGCAAGAGCGTGTACTGCGAGGTGGGCTCATCTGGGTCTTCGAGGAGTTGTTGTAGGACCTGCGCCTGTTTCGGGCCCAGTCCAGAAGATTCGCCGATCGTGCGCAGAAGACTGGCTCGCTCCGCGCGTGGCAGATCGACGCACGGCATGTTAGCACAGATGTATGGCACCATGGCTAGTGGACCGGAGCCGTCCTGCTGATACGCGGCCATGGCAGCGGCAGCGGCATTTGGGTCATGCGCCATCTCATCGGAGGATACTCCGTCTGCTACCTCGTACCCGAAGCTGAAAATCCCGTGGTCTTGCAGGTTCTCACCCACTCCGGGAATTTCGATGGTCGGATTGATGCCGTGGGCGCGGAGCAATGAACCGTTTCCGATGCCGGAGAGTTCAAGGAGTTGCGGTGTCTGGACAGCGCCTGCAGCCAGAATCACCTCGTTGTTGACCCTGATGTGATACGTCTGTTTGCCGTGAGATACTTTGACGGCCATAGCCCGGACGGTCCTAGTTGACCGGTCTTGCTCAAGGACTAGCCGATCCACATGGACCCCTGTCACGACCCTCAGATTCGGTCTTCGCTGCACAGGTCCCGACAGGTAAGCTGCGCCAGCATGGCTGCGGGTGTCTGTAGCCGGATCCACCGCACCAGCTGCCAAAAATGACCCGACTCCTATGCCCTGGATGGGATCTGCGCTTGCAGGATATCCCAGCTCGCGGAAGCCCTGCCAGCAGGCTGCATGGACGGGTATATACTGGTTTGCGAAAGAGACTTGCAGGGGCCCGTCTTGGCCGTGCGCTTCGGGATCATATTGCATGCCCGGGAAATAGTCACGCAGGGAATCCGAGGGCCCGCAAGCAGTTTTTCAAATCTGCGCAGGTATGGTGCGAAATCATCCCAACCCCAACCAGGATTGCCCAGCTGCTCCCAGGTGTTTATCCCAGCCTGCGACGGGTAGACTACTAATCCCTGGTTGATGACAGAGGACCCTCCGAGTGTGCGGCCCTTGGTGCTAAAGAGGCAATGGTCATGTAGTTGCTCCGGGGGCAGGGTTGGTAGATCCCAGTCGAAGTCTTGGTCTGCGTATGTTGTCGGTCCCAGGGCTGGGATCTGGGTGCGAGGATCGTCGAGTCGGTTGGTGCCAGCTTCGAGAATCAGGACGCGAACGTCGGATCGCTCGGTCAGCCGGTTGGCAACGACCAGACCGGCAGTGCCTCCACCGACGATGATGAAGTCGAAGATGGCATTTCTAAGCCCTTCGGTCGAGTCAGTGTTGTAGTTAGACATGGCGGTGAAGTTAGGAGGAGTGAAGAAAAGTGGCCGAGACGTCTCCGTGTTGATTGAAAGCGAATTTTACCTCTGGATGAGACCCTGTTTTTATTAAAGGTCAACAAAACTCAAGAGTGCACTATACAATAAGGCTGCCGCAGCGTGACAGCCAATGTACGCATGAGATGAGCTTTAGTCTGCCGATCAAAATGTGACTGAGGTAGGATGCAACAGGGTAAAAAGCAAAAATATCGTGATTGCCAGGTAGATTGGACGTTGCGGGTGGCCAGGAGGGTGCAGGCACCGGGGCCTCTATAGCCCGCCGAAAGCTTCCTGGCCTCAGGCTTGTCATGCCCACTAGTTATCATTCTGTGGGTCGGAACTTCTCACTTCTCTCATCTTGTCACCTTCAACCTCACCTCACTTCTCTCAACGACCAGCTCAACACAGCCCTTTCCTGAACAGTCGCCACTTTTTCTTGGCTGCGTCTCGCTTGCTTTTCTCTTCTTTCCCTTTTCCTCCTTTCCATTGATTCATATTTGCTTTTCACGTTTGCTACTGCGCTTCTGCTACTCTCTCATCGTTTCACCGTCGCCATGGCATCGACAAGACCTCAAGTGTCCCAAGTCGCTTTGCCGGGTTTCAATCGCCCTCTTGCTTATCTGGTCGGTGTTCAATTCTCTCTAATTTGAACAGGCTTTGCTAACCTATGTTTCAGGCTGGAAATCCTTTCCCGAATGCTGTAGAACCTATTCCACTGATTATGATCGGGTGAGCCTATGTGTTGGGAAGGCATATGAAGCCACGAAGCAAAGTTCTGATACAAGGTGAAGGGGCCAGAGAACGTCATGGGAGTTAGCCATGCTGCAGATAATGGAAAGAATCACGGACAAGCCGAGATGGTTCAAAAAGGCCGGTGCCTATCTGCATCGCCAGCAGGGGAGTACTGATTGATTTCAGATCTTCAACAAGCACATAGCTGCAAGGTGGCGACGTGAGATCACGGAGCAAGACATCCCCGCAATGATTCCCCTTACTACCGAGATGATTGACTGGATCATTGAAGAGCTTCAGTACAAGGCTGAGTTCTTTCTGTGCCAAGAGATGGTCAAGGTCTTCGATGAGGGTATCATGAAATCCGACTCTATCGTTCCCGAAGATCTTCGCCTAGCCCTTCTCGCGGCCGTGCGTCCACTTGAAGACTTTCCAGCCAACAAGAAAGATTACCACCCCTCGTCGGACCGAAAAATCGTCAATTTAGTACATCCGTCCCTGTTTCCGCTGGTTTATGGCCGCACGCGGATTTTGAGGAATAGTGTAAACAACCTCCCCAACTTCCTGGAACATACTGGAAGAGGTGAGATCCTACCTGTTCCGGATGAGAGCGGAACCCATGCGCGCCGGCCAGATCACTCTCCTTACCGAACCGAGGACTACAGCCGTCGATTTCAATGGCTTCCCTGCAATGTTAAGATCTACCCTGACGGCCACTGCCGCATTGCCTCCTACATCAACAATCTCCGCCCCGACATCCATTGCACGCTTTACGATGTCATTGAAAAAATCATTACCTGTGCAGTACCCTTGTGGAATGAGACTCTGACACCCTTGATCGATGACGCGTACCAAAACTTCAACCGGATCGATTATAGCGGGCCTGATATGTCTCCGCCTGAGCCAGAGGAACATACAGAGTCCGAAGTCGACCCTGAAAATGAAGAGCCCATGCCCGACGACTGGCCTAATGATTTGCGCCAATGGAGAGTTTCGCACCGACTCCCTCCTCCCAAGATCGGAGAGTTTGAACCATTTCCCCCGGTTGAGATTGAGGTGGACATGAAAACTATGTTTCAGCAACATGGGTTGCAGGTTATCGTCAAGTTAACCAATATTGAGTTAACCCCGGAGAAGCCATCATACGCGGGTGGGTCCTGGCATATTGCAGGGAGAATGGTATGTGACCTTTTTTTTACCACATTATATCTCTCGTCACCCGGATTTATCCAATGAAACTAATTCGGCATCATTCGTCACTCCGGTTTGGTAGAACGAACATATCTGTGCAACCGCGGTTTATTACTACTCGAACCATAATATCACTCCCGGCAGAATCTCCTTCCGCCAGCGGCTCAACTTGGACGATGTTGTGGAGTTTTCAGAATACGAAGGTTGCCCCTGTGAATGGGTTCCAGGCGCTTTCGGTACCGGAAATTTGGGTGGACCTCTCACTCAAGTCCTCGGTAGCGTGGAGTGCCGACAGGGTCGTCTTCTCACATTCCCAAATATTGTCCAGCATCGAGTGATGCCTTTCGCACTAGCCGATCCGACAAGATCGGGCCATCGCAAGATTCTAACCTTATTTCTGGTGGATCCCAATCTCCAGATCATTTCGACCGCCAACGTGCCTCCGCAGCAAGCGGACTGGTTCGAGGAGACTGCCCGTGCGCGTCATGAAGTTCTTGCCAGATGGCTGCCTACAGAGCTGCAGGATATGATCCAGGAATATCTGGGCGGTGATGATCTGATCGGTGAAAAGGAGGCCGAGGATCTTCGAGTGGAACTAATGGAGGAGCAATTGGCAGTGTCCAAAGACCAAGGATGGCTTTTCGACCACCACAACATGCCTCCAGTCTGCAGTCACTGACCTGGTACATCTTTGCTGTTGATTGTCCGATCCGCTTAATTGTCAAGTTCTTGTATGAGTACGTGTTTGCCAGGGACCGGTGCCGTGAGACATGTCCTTTGTACCTATTATCTCACTTATTTCTTTTTCTCGTTCTCAGAAAAGCTTAGTACCATCGAGTAACAACCATCGGTGAATTTCCTTTCATGACCTATTACCTCCTTTCCTCGTCAAGCAACATCCTCATAGATAATATGCCCCATCGACCACCACCATCTGCCCACTCACAAACCCCGCTCCGCCCTCCAACAAAAACCCCACCACACTGGCAATCTCCTCCGGCGCCGCCAACCGGCCCATCGGCGCGCTCTCCGCATACGCATCGATCATCCCCTCCGTCAACGCCGAGTCCACCAACGGCGTCCGCGTGCCCCCCGGCGCGACGCAATTCACCCGCACCCCACGCGACGTATACTCCTTCGCCCACGCCTTGGTCAACCCCAGCACCGCATACTTACTCGTCGCGTACGCGACCATCCCCGGCGGGGGCGAGAACGCCGCCGTGGACGCGATATTCACAATCGCGGCGCGGACATGAACACCCCCTCCTCCTGCGGCCCCGGGATTCCCGGCCGCTGCGTCCGCGTCTCTGTTTAGGACGTGCTTCAAAAACTCCGTCCCCACAATCCACGTGCCCCTCAGATTCACGTCCAGGACTCGATCGAAGAGCTCGTCGTTCTCGATCCCGCCGATCGTCGGCGGGGGGCAGATCCCTGCGCTGTTGATCAGTCCGTCGATCTGCGAGGACTGGGCGAGAATACGGTCGAAGGTGGCGGTTATCCCTGCGCGTGAGGTTACGTCGGTGTTCGGGTAGAAGTGGATGGTTGCGGTCGGGAGGGTGGCGGGGAGGGTTGGGGGTGCGGAGGCGAGGTCGAGGACGTGGATTGTGGGTGGTGGGGTGTCTGGGTGTTTCGGGGTGAGGAGGCGAGTGAGGATCGCGAGGCCGATGCCGGAGAAGCCGCCTGTTAGGATGTAGGTTTTGCTGTCAGAAGGCATTTCTTTGACGTCTGGGAGGCGGGCGTGGGTGGTGAGGCTTTTGGTGATGGAAGCGGGGAGGGGAAAGGGAGAAGGAGAGCGGGGTTTGCGCTTTGCTTTGTCTCGTGGTTGCTGGTTACTAGTCATTATTCATGTGTGCATACCTTAGCCTCGCTGGCTAGCATGAGATGGGTTTGGGCTATGCATTCCAGAAGTGAGTTCATTGGTTCGGTATAGATTAACTGCCCCCACTCGCAGATTGCTTGAATCAGTACCACCCAGGCGGCTTGTCTGACCCTGGGAGTCGGGTCTCAACGTTCTCTGGTCTAGACCTTGAAATTGAATGGGTTGTAAACCTTGGTTTCTACCCACTCGTCTCGCTCTCGAGTGAGCAGGTACAGTACAAGCGACTGGGTCGATTACCATCGGAATCTAAAACACCGGAACAGATGCAGGTTCGTCATCTTGGAGCTAAGATGGGCTCGATTCCAGGATGCTCGGAGCAGAAATATCCCGAGGCTTTCTACGTGACCGGGCCGATATTCCAACAAATAGTCATGGTGTGTTGTCGCTGACTCCTGCTTATGTTCTTTGTTTATCTTAGCGTTGGCGCGGTGGATGGGTATCCTTCCTCGTATCACCTCAAGTTCATGGGCTGTAGGCAGTGCGATTGGACCGCGGCCGGATGCCCGGTTCGTGTCCGTTGTGAAGCTTACATACTAAAATCTCACACGAGACTTCGGTCAACAGATCTGATGCACGAATGCCTTAGGGTTATCTTGTATACGAGATCTTCTGGGCACAGCCCGACCCGTCCGGATTCGAGCCCGCAGCGGGGTAACCCGCCAGAATCCTGCGGGCTGAGCCGCTTTTGGGAAAGCCGGGCGGGGTACAGTACCTGGCCTTAGCCACGCGGCTGACTGTCTATCTCAGGGGTGTGGCAGTAGATCTTCTCAACATTCCCGCAATCTCCCATATTCTCTACAACTAATTCGAGTGATGTGACAATGCTTTCCAACCATTAAACGGCCCGAGGAGAGATATGGTCACAGATATAAGCTGCCGATTCTCTGAAAATAATGCTCTACTTCAATAGTCCTCCGGGGTTTGCGTTTATGCTATAGTATATTCGTTTATACTTCGAGCCTAGAGTGAACCATTGGCTTTCTTCCTTTATTTCTTTCATGATAAGAACTCTCCTTCCTTTGGGACGCTAGTGGCGCACTTACTTAGTTCAAAGTTAGTTACCTCTGCTGACTTAACTGACCGATCTATAGCCTCGAGCGACCGGGACAGGCTCTGGCCACCGAAGCCTTTGGTACTCTAATTGCTGGAAGAATGTCGAATTATTGGCCGGCACTATCACGCTTAATTCTCACGCTGGTGAATGAGCATTTGACGGTACACTGTGTGCTGTATTCTGTCGCCGTGTGATTTGTGGGGAAACCTTGCTTGTCGACGCAATGTCGACTCAAGAGCAACGACGTTCTTCTTTGGCAGTGTAAGAGGCTGAAAGGAGTGGCTGCTTCTATCCCTTCTCACGTCCTATGAACTAGTCATACTCATTGGAGTGGCTCGCAGGATCTGGGATGTAGCGCTCAGGAACAAGGCATAAATGTGCTCGTGACCACTCCGCCGTGGTGGAGCCGTTGCCCTATCTGTCAGTCACTGACCGCTACAAGGACCAGTACCCGACGTAATCACGGTGTCATTCGAGGTTCCGATTCTTAAAATTACACGCCTCTGGCTGATGTTGACCAATCTCGGCGTGGATGCTTACTATATCCAGCGGTAATTCTGTGGCAAGCAAAACGCCCCGACGCTTGTTGGAGTGCCGCCATGAGGCAATGAGAGCAGGTCAACGCCTCATGGCCTTACCATCAAGGCTTGTCCCTCTTCCTGTGAAACTGACTAGTCCTAGGCCAGCTCTGTCTGTGTTGAGCCTATAAAATCCTACGTTTCGTCCTCTCACTCGGGCACATTATCACACATGATCGATTCATGTTTTGCCTCTTAACCTTTCGGCAAATTGGTATTATCCAGACTTTCGGGTCAACGCAGACTGGTCCGGCAGTATTATCCACGAGAAACCACAATGGATTTGGGACGTGTGCTCGGCTCGACGGGCAAGCAGCTACTGGATAGGGCACAAACTAGCCTCATATCCTTGGGTACGGCTGCGGTTCCTGTCGGCCTAGTCAGGAACCTGGTCCTATCAATTCTATCGAATATAAGAGTTGGGACCCTGGAGATTTACTCTCACGACGGAGAAAAGTGGAGATGCGGTCAAGGGAACGGAGGACACAAAGGTATCATACATGTCCACAGGGATACGTTCTGGTTCCGAGTCCTTGTATCGGCAGACCTTGTGAGTCGTTCTACCGCGCGCGCCGGCTTGATATTCCTCTATTGATAAAACCCCGCTCACGGCTCGATTCCCCAGGGCTTCGCCGACTCGTTCATGTTGGAAGAGTTCTCGACGCCAGACCTGATGGCACTGATGGAGGTACACTGAAAACACCAAAACCCGAATTGCAGCGCTGACCCGTTCCCGCTCCAGCTCTTCATCGAAAACGAACAGCACCTGTCCAACCTCAGCACCACCCCATATCGATTTGTGGCTGCCATCTCGGATGTGCTCTTCCGCACCGTCGACACCGGCACCTTCAAAAACGCCAGTCTGAACATGGCCGCCGCGTACGACCTCTCCAACGGAATGTTCGAGGCGTTCCTCTCCCCGGACATGAGCTACTCCTGTCCGATCTGGCTGGCCCGGTCGCATCCGCAGTACGCCAGCGACACCCTGGAAGCCGCGCAGATGCGCAAGCTGGACCAGCTGCTGGCGAACGTGCATGCGCAGCCCACGGATCACATCCTGGAGTTCGGGACGGGATGGGGCAGCATGGCGATCCGCGCGGCGACGACGATCGGCTGCCGCGTGACGACCTGCACACTCTCCGAAATGCAGTACCAGCGGGCGCAGAAGCGCGTGCGCGCCCTGGGGCTCGAGGAGAAGGTCACGGTGCTGCTGTGTGACTATCGCCTGCTGCCGGTGCCGGAGGTGCCCTACGACAAGATCGTCGCCGTGGAGATGATGGAGGCGATGGGCGACCATGAGTTGCAGACGTTCTGGGAGACCGTCGATAGGTTCCTCAAGCCGGAGGGCGGGATTGTCTCGATCCAGTCGAGTATCATGCCCGAGTCGGTGAGTGGTGTCCCATGGGAGATGCGGGTTTTCGGGAACTCGGAGCTAATTCGTCTGCAGAGATATAAGAATATGTTTCCTAAGGGAGAGGGGTGAGTGTCTGGCACCGTCGAGGGTTTTCTTTTCTTTGGGTCTGGGTCTAACATAGAGTTCTATTTTAGGTTCATTCGTCGATATGTAAGTCTATTTTTCGCCAGAGTTCGGATTTCGCAAACATGGACTTGATTCTCATGGCCGAATAGATCTTCCCCGGAGGCCACTGCCCCAGCGTCACCAGACTGTTGGAAGCAGTCCAAAGTTCCAACGCCCGACTCGATCTGGAATCCGTGCAGCAATACGGCGCCCACTATGTGAGATGTCTCAACGAATGGAGTAACAAGTTCCAGCACAATTTTCGGGGCATCATTGCCCCCCTCGTGCGAGAAAAGTACAACCTGTCGGAAAGCGACGTGGAGGTCTTTTACCGGAAATATATCGTGAGTTGAAAACGTGTCTGTCCCCATAGCGGGATCCGCACTGACTTGGTACAACAGTATTACTTTACGTATGCAGCGGCTGCATTCGATACGAAGGTTTTGCACCTTTCCCAAGTCACTTTCAGCCGGCCTGGCAACTTGGCGATGTTGGCAGAGGCTTAGATGGGCTTGTTATTTCTCTTGGTTTACTTTGATTTTTGGTGTGTTGGGTCTGATCATAGATCTTTATTTTCTTGCATAGAGTATCCATGTGTCTATATTCAGTTTGATAGATATTATCATGTTTTTATCGCATGTGCTGAATCCAAGGGTCCAGAATCTTTCGGTGGGGATAGCATGGAGATAGCATCCCCGCCAAGGGATTGGCACGGAACAACAGATCCACTGAATCCTAGCTATTGTCCAAGACCTGCTCGGTTCTTCTTTTCATCTCATGATCCCCCGAACAGAGCTCCGCCAGCATCTCTCGCTCTCCGTCATCCAGGTACGGATACCCTTTCAAGAGGAAGATGCTATCGCGAAACTGCACCGCGTCCGGATGACCATCCCCCTGGGCCTCAAACTGCAGCAGCAGCAGCTCTTTCCACTCCGCATCATCGAGGTCGACATTGCCCCGCGCGACCAGGAGATACTCGAACCAAATAGGATAGTACGCCGCGTACTCCCAGTCAATGATGGCGACCAGGCGCCCGTCCCCATCCACCATGATATTGCTGATGTGGAGGTCGCCATGGGTGAGGACGTAGGGCCCGGACGCGGGCATGCACGCCATCAGGTTGTCAAGGATTTGGTCTGGCAGCTCCCGGTCCAGAATGCCGGTCAAATACGAGCGGATCGCCGCTCGCGGGTCCGCGTCCGAGACGAAGGGGCCCTGCACGCGGTTCCGGAACCCCCATTCGTACGGCGGATAGCACGCGCCTCTACCCACCGATTGGATGCACGGCGAGGTCAGCCGGCGCAGCCGCTGGCGGACCTGGCCCACCTGCGCGGCGATCGCTTTCTTTTGGGTCTGGGACAGTCGGGGCCATGCGTCTTGGAGTGTCTCGCCGCGCATGCGTTCTTGGAGGATGAAGTAGCGTCGGTTGCTGTCGATCCACTCGTGGAGGACGCGCGGCGCGGGGATCTCGGGTCCTGCGCCAGGACTCGCATCACCGCGCCCTCGGTGCAGAGGGCGTCGTCGCTGGGGTATTCCTTCAGGATCTTGTCGGTTCCGACTTGCCACACCCCGCGGTCACCGGTGGCGCTGAGGAGGCGGAGAGTGTCGGGGTTGGGATTCTCCATCTTGCTGTCTGTTCAGATATGCTTGTGGGACGGAGACTTGACTTGTTGTTGTGTTTGATGGCCTTGTATTGTATCAAAATGATATCTATAATGCACTCGTGCCCATGTTCCGTCCACATGTGCAATTGAGATTGCATTACCCCCGGACAAGGAACAGACAAAGCCCTCATATAACAGCCCGGAGTACTCCATCCCGGTCAAAGCTGGCACAGACCGTCTGCGCTTACACACATCATAGATGTTAATCATAGATAATATCTTCGAAATGTCTTTCAGACTTGAGTATACGTAGACAAAGATATCCCCCCTCTTCCGCTGGTATAGAGGACGAGTACACTTGCCATCCCATTCCCTCTCGCTGAAACCAAGTTTAATCCAACAATTCATGAGATTCAACTATCACAGGAAGTATAATGAAAGGCTAGAGTATGTATACTCCCATCTACATCTGCTTGCCTGATTGCGCTCAACGTGTTCTCACGGATGCTTACCGTCCATAATCCGTCTCTCATCCGCCCACGCCATGATCGCATCGAAGTCCTTACACTCATGCACCGCCCCGGTCCCGTCGGTGCCGGGCTGCGCCCGCTGGCCCTGGCCCTCCAGGGCGGTGTCGCCGCAGCACAGCAGCGACTCCCGCAGGTATTGAAAGCAATGATTCACATGGCCGTGGGGGCCCTCGGTGGGGTCGTCGCTATGCCCGTGGTGATGAAAATGGTCGTGGTCATGCGCGTCGCGGGCCTTGCGCATCGAGGGTGTGCCAGCGACGAGGTCGTCGTATGCGGACATTATTGCGTACTAAAATTCGAATACCGAACCTATTCAGTGGCGCTCGATCACAAAATAAAAGAGGATATTGGGACGAAGGGTAGGGGTCGAGAGTGACAGACTGCTCTCACGTACTAGGCAATGCATCTGGTGGAAGACCGCCACCGCGTACAGGTTCTTGCCGAACTTCTCGATCGGCGGGGACAGGACGTATTCCAGTTGTTCCGTGTGGTTCACCGCGATGAACCCATTGCCCCCTATCCATCATTACCCTATTAGACCTCGGCAGAAAAGCTGTGTCGCTTCGACCCTACTCACGCGGCATGTACGAAAGCCAATTCTCCTTCGTGGCCGATTTGGAGCTCTCAGTTCGATGGTCCGATACGGCCATGGGGTCGAGTCGGAAGAGAACTTGATGCGTGGGGACTAGATTCGGGCAAGGAATCGTCTGTCAGCCGTTGTTACGGGAACATCTTCGCCAACGGAAGCGAGGGGGGAGGGCTCTTACAATCCGGAACCAACCCGTTCAGATCGCGCAGGGGCGGCTGCCTACTCGTCTCGACCAAGTATACCAAAAACACGATGATCTCGACGAACCCAACCACCACCACCACCCCAACGTAGATGAGCGGTCGCAGACAGGCCCAGCGCCGGGATCGATTCATCTGGTCGATGTAATGGTCCCGCTTGAGCAAAAGCTCATCGGACTCTCGGTGATCATATTCTGGTTTAACCGACATATTTCACAATCGAGGAGGTAGGATCGCAGGAAGTCTACGTGACACGGAACAACGACAGACGCGATGGGGCTGTCTCAATATATACGTCTTGGCCACAGTCTGAATGAAAAGTCTACATCTCCTATGATCTATCGCCTCCAGCATCATTCCCACTTCTCAGGTAGCTTTACTAGTTACCTAGCACCATTCGAAATCCATGCTCTCAATACGAGCCGTGTAAGGAGGAGTACCGCGGTGTCAAACAATGAAATCTCGCGGGCGGATACCAACCCCGAAGTTTAATCTCGGGCTATTGAGACCTTCAATTGGTAACCCTTCGGCTCGCTTGCGCCAAGCCTATCCCGTTCTTCGTGCAATTCGCCCGAGTCCACGCTCATTCCCTAAAGACCCTGCGTTTCAGCCGCAGGGCTAGAGGAACAGGCTCGTCAGCTAGACTCAGAAGTTCCTTCTCTATTAGTTGAATGTAGTGGTATTTGGAGGTGCGCATCAGTCTGCGACGGAGTTTTAGCCAATTCGTAGGCCGAGTGATAATCAGTCTCCCATGTCCATATCTGGGACGCAGACAGAAATGAATGAACTGTGCAATGGTGGACGTGACCGGCGGGTCTCTTCGGTCGGAAGGCTTGTTCCGCCCATGTGGGTGCCACATCCCCTGCAACGGCTCGGTGGAGCCCGTAGGTGCAGTCCGCAGTACGTATTCTCATCGCTCGGCTTGGCTCTCCCCGTGAGCACGACCCTGAAGCCCTTCTCGACTGCGGGCACTGACTGCGCACATGCAATGTCCATACCAAACGCCGAACGATGAGTCTAGGTCTCTGCTCTCTTTGTTAATTGGTCATGAATCCCAAAGCAAGGAGACGTCATTTCTCTTCACGTGTATTGCATGAGAGCCCCATGCAGCTTCTCTTTTGTCTTCAAGCACCGCGTCTCCCGGGCGGCAGGTGGTAGTAGTCCAAGCCGTAGTGATGGCCCGGGGGAAGTGGTGGTAGCGGTTGTTGAGTCCAGTCTTGGGATAAGCTTTATGGTGATGGATTTTCATTCAAGTTATACATATCCAATTCAAGGAGTCTTCGCTACAGCATGAACAAGACAGCCAAAAAATCAAGCTCAAGAAATTGAGTCATCTAGGCAGCCGGCTCGTATTCAGCTCTAGGCAGCAGAGGCTAGTTCCTGAATTGGAGAGTCATGGTATGTTCCATGAACCCGATGATATCTTGGTGGCCGGAAAAGGAAGCCTGCAGCTATACCTACACCTGAACTTCATGTCCGATCGACACTCATGCTCTGAGCATGCAAAGCGTATCTATTGCATTACGAGGTAGTTTGGACATGTATTCCTGATTTGATTACCTTCATGTCAAAAGCAGAGCTTGTTGCGGTTGCTGGTCGCATCAACTTGAACAGGACGCCGACGCCGGGCCACTGCCAGTCTTGGCTAGCGGCATGTCTTGGCCGTTGGTGGGCCGTTGGTGGGCCGTCCCTCGGGTCAGGAAAAGGATAGCTGCATCGCGTAGTGTCTTGAGCATAAGCAGCACCATGATAAACGGCACCGTGTATATCGCCCCAGCACGTTGCTCTGATAGTAAGAGGTAAACTTATGCGCTGTGAAAACAAGCGGTAGCAGTCTAAAACTGACAGTATGATTTATCAACAGTATCTCACTCAGCTAGTCTTCTCGAAAAATGTGGGCGGTCAGGCCTCAGGGGCTCAAGGAACTGAGGTCATGAAGATTTCATTGGTTGGTGGCGTGAGGAACTTGGCAGCTACGTGCAACGTGGTGTTAACATGTTTCCGATCACGTGACCCAGCGTTCAGGGCCACGTACGCCGACAAACAAACTCCAAAAAGCCCTAATACAAGGATAGTAGAAAAAATACCGCGATAAAAGACCCTAAGAGAAAATTTTCAGCCCTAAATAAATTCTACGAATGCGACTGCAAGACTCCAAAGCCCTAATATATCGAGAAAACGCGGTATTAGAGATGTAATAGGTCGATAATGCTAAGGTCGACTAAAACATTTGAACCTTAAAAGATACATTAGGAATTAACCAAGGTGGAATTAACGCCGTTCTTGATATACAGCTACGGATGGCTTAGTAATTCATCCTCGAGATACCGACCACGAATCCCCACGTCCATATGAGATGCTAGTCCCATCGACAGGGATACTTGATTCCGTGGGCAGAACTGCTTGAAACGAGCGGAAGTGAGCCTTCTTAATTTATCACAAGGAAGAGCTCTACGGAAGCTACGGTTTATCAGCGAGAAGATCAGAAACCAAACCGTTTGTGGCTTGGGTATGTCATAACATACCATACCAATACGCTCGGTGCCATGCGAAGTCAGTCACATAGACCTAGATGCGGGGTGCGGATCATGTGCTGATCTGCCGCGTGCGACGCGGATCCGTGCGACCCACCCCGCCGAGTTTATTTGAACATGCCGCAGGAGTTTCGCCGAGCACGGCGGTAGCAATAGGTTTCCATGGTGGCGGTCGTCATCAAAAATTGCACGAATGGTTATATATGAGTCGGTGCTGATGTGTTGTACGTGCAATTGACATCGATACTCGCATCTTGCGCGATGTTTTTCGTATATGAGGAGTGGAGGGTTGGGGACATAACCATAAATCGGAGGGGCTCGTGATCCCACGACGTGTTAAGGTCTTACGACATTGTTATACAGGCAAGTCGGGAAATATTCTTTCAGGGGTCTACACGAATGAGGCTATAACTGACTCAAAGCCTAGCGCACTTGCTGACAATAGATTCCAGCTGATCCATCTTTTGCTCGAACAACACCCCGACCGACTTGATATCCGACCCCTTCATGCCGCGTCGCGTCAAGGCCATGGAGTCGAACTCGATCGCGCTGACGCCATCTTTGGTGGCCGCGCCGGCGGCGGCACCCACGTTGAAGTCGAGCAGCATGCTCAGGATTGCGACCGGAGCGCTTTCGGGGTCCTGCACCATGGTGTAGATATCGGTTGCCTCGTTCGCGACCGTGCCCACGAGCGCGAGCGCCGCATCCAGGCCCTCGATGACATCGCCGAGGCCGGAGAGCGGGCCGAGGAAGGGCACGATCAGGAACACGCCGCCGAGGATCTGCAAGATTAGCTCCTTCTTCTTCTCGGCCTCAATCTTCTCCCCGATGGCGACCACGGAGTAGATGCGGTCGACCAGCTCCGCCAGGGTGAACACGGCGGTGGAGTATGTCTGGACGATGTCGTCAATCACGCCGTCGAAGGAGCCTGACAGGATCTGAAGCTCGGTGATGAGGAGGGAGAGCTGGAGATTCGGGATGTTGGGCAGGGCCTGTCTCATCAGCTCCCGCGGGTCGCTGATGGTGATCTTCTGGGCTGGAATTGGGAAGCCACGATGCCACCAGCAGGCAGCCTCAGGATTGTCGTAGACGTTGCACGCGGTGTTGCCTTTGTCGTCGTAGTAGGGCCCCTCCGTGCTCGACCAGCCCCCTAGCACAACCCAGTCACGTTCTATCCCAAATTCCGCGCTGAGGTTGCCATAGAAGCCGTCCGCATCGATCAAGTTATAATAGACGGTATGCGCGCGATTTTCGTACCCGAGATCGTCAGGACATGGTCCCGCCGTTCGGTTCACCCCTCCAAAACTGAGTGTGCACGTGAAGAATCGGTTGCCCTCCCCTGCGCACCAGTGTCGCTCATATTCATAAAATAGGTAAGCTGGGTCCCCACCTGGCTTTTCATGTAGGACTCGTAGTCCTTGAAATACTCGTCATAGTTGCTCGTGTTGGCAATGCTGGTGAAGTTGGCAACCGTGGCTTCCAACTCCCCATACAGTGCGCCCAAGACATAGAAGTCAACACAGTAGGGATCCAAGCTATCCATGGCCGACTGTAAGGCACTCAAGGAGTTATAGCTGAGGCTGAAGTCGCAAGGAGAAGTGACGTCGCAGTAGTCGTCGTTACTGTCACAAGACTCATCATCGGACGCCATGTCAAGACAGACAGGCTGTGGGCAGTAATTGCGAGTACAGGCAAACTCGCAAAGTCCGTTATCAGCCTCGTCTGGAGCCCACCCGACAATGCTGGTATTCTGGGCTGGAGGCTGATTCAGTGGGCCTGTGGCAGTGCAGGTGCAGTTGTAAATGGGACAAAAGCCATAATTACAACCAAAGCTGCACAAACCGGCGAGCTCGTCCTTTCCGGTTCCGGCAACACAAGTGTCCGGGGTAAAAGGGGAGACAGTAGGGATGGTTAGTGGAACTGAGACAGTCCCACAGGCAGTGGAAGGGCAGTAGCCGTAATTACAGGTGAACGAACACAGACCTGCATAATTGGCATCTTTGCCGGCAGCGGGATAACCCTGAATTCCGGTGGGCGCAGGGAAATCTGGCTGAGGCCCCAACTTTGTGCAAACGCACGCCCCAACGGGACAATAGCCCAAGCTGCAGGAGTAGCTACAGAGCCCATTGAAGTCACCCATTCCCCATCCTTCAATACACACCTCCTTGTTAAGTTTCGGGGAGTCCACATCGACCGCGCCGCCCATACTGTAGCCCACCCAAGCATTCCAGTTCTCGACTTGATCCCCTTCCCAGCATCCGCTGCTAATATCATGCCCTTCAACTGTGATGGTGCCGGTAGCGCCAGTAACAGATACGGCAACTGAACCAGAATGACCGGCAAAGGAGACACTGCCGTGATAGATGCCCCCTCCGCCACTGGGGGTATTGGTCCACGTTGCACCAACATTGACCCCACCAACAGTCACCGAGACGTCACCAGCTTGCCCTAACAGAGCGGAAAAGAAGATCTTATCCTGTACGATATCCTTTGGCCAGTATTCCAACTGCAATTGAGATACCGTATTGCCGGTCGTGCCACCATCAGGGCACGCACCCGCTGCATTCAGCCGATACCACGTAACCAAGCCTTCGTTGTCAATGTTTGTCTCGTTGTACTTATAGAGATCAATGACATAGGGCAGGAACTGCCTCCAGCCGCTGTGGTCGAAGCCCTCAACATAGTTGTAAGGGGCATCGCCTGTCCCAAACGCAGTATACATGGAGTCAGCTAGCGGGTTGTGGCTGTCAACAATAGGACCAATGTAATGGGACTCGCCGAAGTCGTTCCAGGAGATAATCTCAATGAATTCCGGAGCAAGGTAGAGTGCCTGTTCCCACCGGGTATACCAGAGATCGTCACCACGCCACAGCCAGTTTTTATCGTACCCGGGCATGTTGGTGAAGAACCAAGGGGAGATCGGCATCATGTATGGCTTCTTGTCCAAGTATTGGATATACGACGCGTCCACATAGGTGTTCATGTCGTTGGGTCCATTAGGCCAGGCAGCCCAGCTGAAAAGACCATCAGCAACCCCGCCTGCTAGCGCCATGGCGGCTTTGGCCCCAACCGACGACCAGTCGGGTACGAAGAAGCAGAATTGCTGGGACTTGATGTCCACCCAGTCTTCTGCATTTTCGGGCCCTTCGAACGTCGACACAAGAGGATTCGATCCGTGAAAGTAGTAAGCATCATTGCTCACATACTGACCTAGCAGACTCAAGACATCCTCCTTATCCCAGGGCCCATTTCCAGCGTAATCAAACGAAAAGAAGAGGTGGAATTTCAGCTTTTGAGCAGCTGCAAAAGCGTTTGGGAGAGAGCTGGCCGTGGTACTCTCTCCCGCGGCCATGTTTAGGGCAAACGCATCGATGTGAGCATCCACAGCGAGCTGAATCTCATTCTCCCAGTCTTCTGAGGTGTATCCTGCCGTATTCGAGACCATGAAATGAGCGAAGACAGCGCGAGCCTGAACCTGATTCCAGAATAAACACGCTCCGACAAGTAGCCAGAGCCATGCTTGGACCCAAGACTTCATAATTTCAGGCATAGTGCCGAAGAAAGAGTGACGGGAAAGATTACTAGGTCGAGAGAGAAGGAAAGCAAAGGACAGGGAAAGAAGGCGGCGTTCGCAGTAAGAGAAGCCAAGAAAGAAGAGCGGCAAGGGAAAGAACGAGCGGGAATTAGGCAACGAGCTGACTTAAGGAGTGTCAATAGTCTACCAGCCAGACAAAAGCATCGATAGAGAGAGAGAGGAACTGTTTCTTGTAGGCAAAAGCAGAAGAGGCGTTTATCTTCCCTCGAAACATGGCGTGCTTAAGGGCTCGACGGCAGGCTGCCTCGGAACTACCTAAATTTTTCGCACCCGACCCGAACCCAAGAGCTATCGGACCTAACCCAACTGGCAGATCATTAGTTTGCTTGGCAATGTACTAGGGTATATGGTGCATCAGCTGAATGTAGGCCCAATCTCCGTGATGTCTCAGCCCGTCGATGTGGTGGACTGAAGCTAGGGCTTAGCGCATCTTCTAGGTTAAAATACCATAAAATACCAATACCTTCCCATTTCACCTCGGCAATTCTTTCCGGGACGACCTGAGCGAGAAGGGGCTGAACATGGCCGTGACACTATTTTATCTGCCTATCACCTTGCAAGCCCTCTTGAGCTTTGTTCTAAAATGAGAGTTCACAGCTCTCGTTGACTCGCTTTCCTTTCCTCCCCGCTGCCAGTACATGCACTCCCTCAACAACAAGTTTTGCGCAGCCAGTCATTCCCTAATCCAGGCAACTCGCATTTCTTTCGCGCGGTTTTTATCTTCGCCTTCACATTTCTGGACTTGATCTCTTTCACAGCACAGATCAAGTTGGGAGTTTTCTTGGGTCCCCAAGATCCCACCACCAGTCGCTCCTTTCCTCTCTTGTCGTCATAATGAAGGCCTTCAAGATTGTTCTGGTCGCGTTGCTATTCCTGGTCAATTTTGGCCAGGCGAGCATGAGAGCCGCCCCAAGCGAACTGTTTTATACGTACCTCGGCTTCGTTTTCGACTTCATCGTGAACGGGGCGTCGCGCACGATTGGACCGAATCTGCCGAACGACGTGTTATCCGACTTTGGAACCTTCGCCTCACGAATGTACCCACACCTGGTCCTCCGAGATCCGATCTGGGCCAGCACAAGCCTGCAATACAACCAGGCCACGCTGGACGCGATCATGCGCGACCTCAAAAGTGACAAGTACCTGCGTAGCGAGATCATACGGGAGGCACCGCCGGACCATTCCTCCTTGCTTGAACAGGTCGGCAAAGTGGTCATGTCCACGCGCGGCAGCACCGCTCCAGGCTTTTCCGATACCTGGAACGATCAGTTCCCCGAGTTCAAGCGGGCATTGGCGGGGACGCTGGCAGCGCGGCAGCAGGACATGTTCCGGACGAGTCTCGCCGATCTTTTCCAAGCAAAGTTCCCGGGCAAGACCCTGGTCGGCTCGAAGTTTTTCGTCCTCGACACCGATGTCGCGTTTAGCCGGCAGAACTGGGGCCTAACCGCCAGGGCTAACGGAGACAACATTGGGACGCTCAAGACTTACAAGACCTGGTCCCTTGGCCTTCCAAAACTCGAAGATACCTCCGGCATGACCGACACAATAAAGAATGCTCTTCATTTTTACCAAGACCATTACGGGTGGGCCGAGACTATAGCGAGAACTTTGAGCGCGCTGGACAGTGTAGACAGCTGCAAGGCAAAGTAGTCGTGCTGCTATATTCTCTTGCTGCATGTATAAAAGCCATGTGATCGCCGTATATATAGTTACTATACGAATTTAACCAAGTGAACACTTCAATAACACAGACAGTTTCATATTCACGGCGCATTCTCAAATAAGCAAGACCCCACACATTCTATCTTGTCAATCGAGGTTGACTCGAGTTACATTTTTTTCATCCTTCTCTAGTCAGAAGCCATCTCTGCCAGTAACCGATGGCGATCAGGTAAAAGAAAGTGAATTGAGAAGCATTTTAAGAATGGTATTGTCGCACCTTTGTGAGAAGAACGCTTACAAGGTATTCTCTCACCCGCCTCTCGAGTCCAACTCTAATCCAGTCCAGAAGTACTCGAAACATCATCGGCGAGCAGATTAGCCAACGGAAAATGGCAACGCTCTCCACACTACCGATAAATCAAGGCCCTTATTCACAACTCTACTCCAAGGGCTGGCCTTATCACTCTGCTATCATGTAAATCTGCTTCAGAACGTCGAGATCAATTCTCAATTTTCGCCTAGCAAGGCTTTTTTCAACCGGAGTGCGGCCCTCGGATATCATCTAGCATTGTACGCTTCGTGCGATCTTTAATGAGAGGGGGAAAATGAGCAAAGCACCCCGAGCCTAGTGATTTTCAATAGAAAGAATTGAGATAATCATTCTCATAGGTATGCCGGCCGTGGCCATCACGTTGAAATTCCTTGGCAATAGAGTCTCTTTCCTTCTTCATGAGGTTCCGATACTGTGTCGCCTCTTTCGGTGATATGAGCCCAGTACTCCGCGCCTGCTCGAATGAATAGTTCGGCCCGTCATATACCCAGCTGGGGTTTTGAGGAGGAACATTTTGAGTGGAGCAGACTCGGTAGTGAGGATCCACTAGCCAAAGGGTCACAAACCTAAGACGGCCGGGTATCGAGGGGTCCCGAAGGGTAAAAGATTCGGCTTTAGACCGCAATGTGGTGGGCCAAGCAAGAAGCGCCCCGGCCCGTGAGATGGGAATAGATCCCAACACTTGCAGGGCGGGTGGAAGGAAGCTGGGTTCATCAAGGACGGGTTGTTCAGGAATACCAAAAACTCGACTCATAATCAAACATTTTTCGACATTGAAGTCACTTGCATCAAGTTTTGTTTCGTGCTCAAATGAAAGCTTAGCATCCGTGATATTTTCTTGATCAAGATAGCACACTGTTGTGGCAACAATGTGCTCATTGAGGATGCCGGGGACACCGAAGGCGGGATCTCCAGCATACACGGGCTGTTCCGGGGTAAGGTCAATACTAGAGACCCGAATGATCACCTGAAGCCCCTGGAATTGATCCTGAAGAGACACAGAATAATACTGATGATCGGGGTCAGGAAGAGGTGGGTCTGTGCAGCGCTTGCTATTGTTCACTTTGGGTCGAATTGGCCGAGCAGTATTTTCCCCGGTCCTCCACTCGTCATATGTGAATGAGATCCCAGGTTCAATACCTTTGAAAATAGACAATCTTTTACTCTTCTCAAGCATCAAGTCTTGAAGAACGGTCCGCGAGTTCCATTGCCAAGGCTCCATACTGGCAAGAAGATCTTTCACATTTGATTTTGTTGGACGAATTTGGTATCGCTTTTCGTGCTCGGGCAGACTGAGGTATTCTCTAGCCTGTGAGCGAATTTCAGCCCATGTCTCTTCGGCAAAATTCATATCAAATGGCCTTGTCGCTTCCAGAAGGTTCCATGCCTGTGGTAACTCGGTACCTTCATACTCGAAGTCATAGGTTCGAATGCGGATCGGTGTTCGGCCTTGTTTTCCGACAATAAGCATCTCATTCCACGGCTGTATGGTGGTCGCAATCAGTCTCTCAAGTGCTTGGTAAGCCCTTTTCTCTTTAGGATTCACGCCGTTGATATAGGATGTAATCTCAGTCCTCCCTCGAGCTGTGAGCTTCACTTCACATGGAAGCCACTGGAAGTTGTTTGACCAGTATTTAGGCTTACCCATCCTTCGACCATCATTGAGATCTCTCTCTTCGGGATGTAACTCATACAAGCCTTTGGTCAACTTGTTGGGAATTGGAGCAGTCTGGCATCGAGAGTTATCCCATGACTCGAAACTGTCGAGATCGACCTTGCCTCCGTTGATGAGAACTTTGGTCCGTCCATACACAAGAGGATACATAGATGGATCAACCACATGCCGGATGGGGCCTTGAACACCAGCCTCCACGAGCGCCTCTTTGTCTTCCGAGTCGGGCTCTTCTGTCGATGAGAAAAGCGGTTCCATGGTCGTCCGAAGATCGGCGAGAAGACTAGCGTCGACTTCCGCCTTGATGACTCGAGAGTCCGCATCAAAGACGGCCACGTGACCCTTGCGCTTGAAGTCAGCTGCTTTGTCTTGCAGCTCTTTGTGGCACCAGTCCCAGCATGGCTGATCCAGATCAAAAGCACTATCGGCCTTTTCACGCCAGATCTCGAGGGTGTCGGGGTCGTCGCACTTGTTTTCCCAGTCTGGCTGCTCCGTGACGTAGGACATGAACTGTAGCATACAAACTTCCCGCAGGGTCAACTGTGGGCTCTGTCTCCAGTCTGCGATCCCATGCGCGAAGCGAGAGCCTCTGGGTAGCTCATAGTATAGAGGAACATCATTGAATCCAGGAACTTGGAGAGGGCCATCGCCGCTGTTGTCCATTTTTGGAAATTGCTGCGAATTTAGACGAGTAAAAGAGAATGAGTTTCGTATGTACAAAATACGGATGGGGAGTTGAGGACGAGAGCGGGAGTAAAATGGCTGCAGAGCGCGACGTGAAGCCATGGTGAGAGTTGCGTTGCGGTTCCAGCAATGTGTCGAAAGGGCGCCCGGCGACGGGTATCTGTTGCCCGGATGGGGGAAGAGGCATGGTGTCAGGTGACAGAAAAAAAACAAGCGGTAATGTCAATACACGGGAGTGAATTTGTCATCAGGGTCTAGAGTCAGGGTCTGGCGCAGCTGCCATCCTTTAGCGTCGATTTAGCGGGCCTTTAGCTTGGCCGTAGCTTAGCTATAGCTTGTTGCCTGCATCACTAGGCTCGGACCCCGAAATCAATAGTCTCTCAAGCGACAAGTGGATCCCTTTTTGCCTCCCGGAGGTCCGTAGGAGATGATATGAATTAAATTTCACAAGATTTTGCGAGTCTGTAAGCGAAAAGGATTCGGAGATTACCGCGAAAAAATCGTGCCACCACACCCCACACTCGCCTAGGCATACGAATTTTTGGACCCCTGAATTTTAACAGCTTGATCACCAGCAAAGGCCGTTGGAGATTCCCTTTCCATCACCTCTTGCACGTTTGACTGAAAGTCTTCTCAAACCTTCCTGGACCATGCCATCCCTTCTCTCTTTTGTCCTCGCATGGACTATCTTCTCGCTCGCGGTATCCGCGTCCTGTCTCAATAGTGCCCTGCATGGAAAGATTGGCTTCTTCAGCAAAGCCCCTCTAGCCTTCGGATACACGCATCCGTCACCTTCGGAATGTGCCATCGAGTGCGAGAGCCTGAGCACTTGCCAGGCATGGCTCTTCACTGTCAACGGCAAGGAATGCCAATTGTACGGCTCGGGCCCGGTCGCGCAGGCGGAGAATGCGGGTTTCATCTTGGGACTGTGTGGTGAGGAGCATGCTAATACGCCAACTGTTTCGGGGCCGTCGGCCTCTCGTGCAATTGTTTCTGCATCTCATTCTTCTGTCCCCACACCAAATGTAAGTTTCTCGAGTATTACCTCACGCATGATTCCTTGACTTATTGAATGCGCACCGTCACAGCCAAACAAAGCTTCCGCAGACCATCTCAAGCGGCATCAACACGGGCACGTTGGCCACCACCACTACCACCATTAGAATATTTAAGAGGATTCCGGTACTTTGATATTGGGCTGTTGACAGAACGAAGTTCCAGCGAGGCTTGATGGGTCTGATAAACTATCGCAGATCATGTTGACAATGGAGGGCATGGATATTCAGGCGTGTAACGAATGATGCACTGTAGTCAGCATAGAAGCGCCACGATATTAACCATGTACAAAAACACACCTCTACACACACAGAAAGAGACCATGTTATTTACCTCGTGCTTTTTGGGATCGTCAGATAGTGTTACTCGGTCATCTCCTTGATTACATGTTATTTTGTTTGATTCTTCGGCCTGCCTTAGCGAAGATATAGCCTAAAATGGTAGTGCGAAGCATGATTGATCTCGAAATAGGACCGTTCTCTACATGTTCCCTCTTTCATGTCCATAATACAGATCCTCTTCAGCGACAAGTACTTCTTGCAAGACTCATAACTCCTATGCGAGACGCACGTACATACACAAGGTTTCTCTTGAGATCAGGGAGAAAGCAACTAGTGACCCACCAATCTCTGAAGTCTCGCCAGCGTCCTGAAAACTGATCTAATGAGTCCAGTAGCAAATCTCCTGGCAATTAAGAAGCACAACAACCACAGCCCATCACCTTATTCAAGGCTTACTATTAGAACGAGATAATCTATCAGAAAAGCAATCCTCTACCTCCCCTGCTGTCCCGTCATCATCCACACCAAGTCATCCGGCCGCGCATCCAACCGTAGCACAGAGTACTTCTTCTCCAACCACTCCTGCGCCGTCAGCACCGTCGCATCGGGGTCACGAGCAGGGATGCATCCCGTCTGCGGCGCAGCCATCACCGTCTGGTTCTCCGGACGCACCATGTACGCGAACGAATAGCGGGTCGGCATAGCCCGACCGGGAAGAGGGCCAACGCGGTGGACACAGGACTGCAGGTAGCCGTTGGTGAGCAGGGAGAGGCCGTCACCCAAGTTGACGATGGCGTGGCCCTCGCGCGGCAGCACCCATCTCCAGATCTCTTCACCAGGATTCTGGATCTGTAACCCGGGCTGGCGGGTGAATAGGAAGGTTAGCGTGCCCATGTCGGTGTGGGCGGCGTGTGGAACCCCGCGCTGCTCGGCGGGCTGAGGGTGGTACTTGAGGAGACGGATGATGTCGGGCGATGGGGCGGACGGGCGATGGAGGAGCTTCAGGTTCCCGGTTTCGGGGAGCTCCAGGGAATGTGAGAGCTTGTCGAAAATAGTCTGGGAGGTTGTGTTGACGAAGGTGGTGAACTGTTGCAGGGTGTTCATGTAGTGGTCGATCAGTGGGGGGCGGGGAAAGTCCCGCTGGTTGTCCAGGCTCAGGATTCCGTTCTTGGGGATCTTTGCGGTTTATTAGATATGATCAGATTCCGTGAGTGACGGGCACATGTCGAATCATACCACGTAGGTCTCGAATCCATCGCGTTTACCCTCTAGTCCTCCGAAGTTGCGACCCACGGGCTTGTATCTGATCAATTCGTGTTAGTCAGGTTTGCAGTTGTATACAAAGAAGGACAACATACCCATTGCATTTCATTTTACCCAACCTATCCACGTCATACAGACATTTCTCCTCTAGCGGCAGACTAAAGAGTCCGTTTGAAAGCTCGTAGATAGAATCCAGGACCGGAACGATTTCCTTCTGCGCAAATGCAAGATTCAAATAGAAGACACCATCCTTGCGACTGGCGTCGAGTAGGCGCTGGGCTTCATCCTGGTTACCGGCTTGCAACCTCCCCAGATCAATAGTGTGCAGCTGCGCTATAGGCAGTTCAGAAGGAAATCCGACAGTGTCGGTCGTCGCGTTGTTGGAGATCGTCATGGTGTACTCAATTTGTGTGGCGGCTGAGCGTTTGATGCGCACCTGACAGGAGGACTAAGCGGTAGGAAGAGAAGTGTAATCGACAATCTGTTATCAAAAAAGTGATGTTCAAATTGAGTCAACCGGAATTAACATCTACCGTTCGAGATCAGATATTCCGTTTGCGGGAAGCGTCAGCTAGAGGAGAAGATTTCGTCACCTGTTCGGGGAGAGCAAATTTAAGCTCTTATCCCTATCATCACGTGCGATTCCCCTGACGTGATTCGAGATGCCGCGCCGCGCTCTACTTGGGTCGAAACCAAACCCAAATCATTTACTCACCGCTTGTTCCTGAGTCTGACAGGTCTCAAAGTTTCCACTGGCACACTACATTTACATAGGTAGCCAAGTGACTTTGCCAATACACGCGAGCAGATGGTCGCCATCTGCTCAGGTTGCTGATTTAAGTTCCGTCTCCTAGATGGGCGATAACTTTATTCTCGGCTATAATTCGAAAACTTGACCATAGATAGGACTATGATATGACCTCACATTCACATCAACTTTAAGTATGAGAGGGAAAGTAGTATGCACCCACTGCAGTGGCTAAAACCAATCTCCTTTTTGCTTGTCGATCGCTGTTGACTTTTTTGTCTTGGTTTGTTGTTCCAGTGCCTGGCGGCGCTAGACCCAAAGAAGAGAGCCCATCGAGCCCTAATTCGGCTCAGGGTCCTGAATCCGTTCGTGACCCGCCCGAGCTTTAAAGTATTAAGGTAGTTTGTTCCGAGAACGGCCCGGTATTGAAAGATTGAGTGCGCTTGTCGACGATAAAATTACCGCATCTCGGAAACTATTTCCAATCGGTTCCTAGCTTGAACCAGTGGGTCTTTGGATCTGACAATGCTACCCTGCCACAAGATCACCGCAATGACATCGAGACCTGGTCGAAGATTTCTCTAAGCTTCTACGTATTATAAGTGAAGAAGAAAAAAAAACAAATATATGCATCATTCAACAGAAAGTTTCCACCGAAGAGTCTAGCTGGCCTCGCAAGCATGACACAAATTGCCTGTGGCTCGGAAAGCTCGAAGCAGGGAAGGTGAATATAACTAAGTAGTAGGTATTCACTCTAAATTGAATATACTATTAGCTAGAATGGAATCCAGATCGCCACCCACTAATCTCAAGCGATATGAAGAACTTCGTTACATCATCTTTCCTTTCCTAAGATTTCACGATCTCAGATCTTAGATTTCGAAAACGATGCAGGAGGCGGGAAAGGTGCACTACTGATCTTGAGGCCTATATCGGATCACAGCAAATGGAAACACCCGGCCTCCCTCGCATTGTAAAATCCCTGACATTTGCGTTTTCTAGTCCCGGAAGTGCTGCTCTGCAGAATGGAGGACTCAGCCGTCTTGGTCGAGTCGGCACTTTGGCAGCACTACATCTGTCGTTTGAAGTTTTCTCGCTCAACTTTGGGGGAGTCTAATTAGATTCCTACTCTGATCTTGAGTCCTCGTCGTGGGCTAACGCGACTCATGGTTCTGGAAAAGTCTACTAAGCATAATCCGAGATGCTGTAATTCAGCAGTCGTTCGCTATGCGAGGCAGCATTGTATGATGGTATACTGACGAGACACCATGAGTCAACGCTCACAATGAGAACCATGCAGGAACACAAAAGCATGGCCCACCCCCAAAGACAACCACCAAGCCCCCTCCTCTTGATCAAATCCGAAAAGATTTACTCCAACCACACTGAACTTGACCGCTTATCTTTATCTTCACACTAAACAACACCACCATGACCATGACTCAAATCACTACGAGCCCAAGACAGACGGGCACAGGAAACACTACTCCGGCAGTGGATCGTACCTGCCCAACCTGCCAGCAGCTCTTCGAGAGCGTGCAGCTTCTCCGGCAGCACCAAATCTCCAAGTGGCACAGACTCGCCTGTCCGAGCTGTGTGGAGACCTTCGTCACTGCGGACGCAGTATCTCAGCACCAACGAGCCGCGCATGGCTCGAAATCAACAGAAGGGGGGTCGTGTTCATCCCCTTCGCAACCTCATAGAGGCACGGTAGCAAAGCCTCTCACTTCGGCTTCCAGTGCGCAGCCTCCTGAGCCGAGCCGTGCGGATGCAGAGAACCAGCAGCATCCTCGACTCGCTTACCTCACGGACATGGATGAGGTAGCGCTTCTCCCCATGGAGAAGCCAGTGCAGTCTCCCAGCTTGGCTGTCGAGCCAGTCACTCTACGTAAGAGTGACAGTATCACGACGACGACCACCACCACCACCACTACCACCACCACCACCACCATCACATCACCAGTCCTCGCAAAGGAGGACTTCCTCTTGGCGCGCCTCCTTCCGCGCTGCCACTCAGCCACCTGCCTCAACACACAGGGGTACAACCTCTCGGCAGTCGAGCCACCGTGGGCGAAGCCTTGGAACGGAGCGGTCCCCAAGTCGCTCTTCCAGCACACGCCCACCCACACCACCTCCACGCGGCCACGAGCAAGAAAGGCCGTGGTCATCGACTGCGAGATGGTAATGGCAGAGGACCCCTATGGACGGGGCCGGAGCTACAACGGGCTGGCTTACCTCGCGGCGGTGGACTTCCTGACAGGGGAGGTGCTCATCAACCGCTACGTGCGGCCGGCGGGGCGGGTGACACGCTGGATGACCCAAATCACGGGCATCTCGCCAGTAACAATGAACGCGGCTATCCGGCACGGGCAGGCGTTCGAGTCGTGGCAGGCGGCCCGCCAGGGGCTGTGGGAGTATGTCGACCGCGACACAGTGCTCGTCGGACATGCGCTGCACAATGATCTCAACGCCTTGGGGATCATTCACCCGCAGGTGGTCGACACGGCGATCGTCACGGCCGAGGCGGTGTTCTCGACACGGTGGGGCGAGACGAGGCGGTTCCCCCGGCTGTGGGGGCTAAAGACCCTGGCGATGGCCATGCTGGGACGGCAGATCCAGGCCAGTAGTCAGGGGCATAGTGCCGTCGAAGATGCGTTGGCAACGAGAGATGTTCTGGTCTGGGGGTTGGAGAACCCCGTTCTTGTGGGGGAGTGGGCGCGTCGGGAGAGGAGACTCCGCGACGATGTATCGGGCGTGGGGCTGTCAGACAGTGACAGCGAGTCGGACGGTGCATCTTGGTCCGACTTTTATGGGGTCTCCGCCTCTTCTGGTTCGGATTCCATCTTCATTTCCGACCCCGGTCGGATGAAGCCCTCGACATTCTGGTGAGCAGGGTGCTCGAATCACTTGCTGCTACCCGCTGTTGGGCGTTTTGAACACATGTAACATGTGTTCCTTGCTTGGAGTCAATGATAAGAGTCTGCTTTGGTCAATGAAAAGATGTGTTCGAGTTGCTTTGTGTCTGGTTGTATCGTAGCTTGTAGGATTCTTGTTGAAGGCCTCGAGCCTCTGATTGCTGGATACTTCTCACTACTTCTGCCGCGCGCCGTGTGAACCGTACTAGTTCCTTCTAGATAGCCTGAATCCACCATCTTTAAGACTCTTTGTCGGATTCTAAGCCCTCTCGTAGAATATAGCTTTGTCAACACTTTCGACATTAATTCTTATTGATCCACTCAATGTTCATCGAACTTTTGATCAGAAAATCCTCAAGGCTTCGAAAGATCTTGGATCTCGCCATCGTTCCATTGCCCTATCTGGCTCTTGGCATTTTGCTTCAGGGCAAACCCACAGAGTCCGCATTTCTTAGCAGGCAGCCCCAGGCTATCGAACTCTTAGCAATTGCCACCTTGAAGCAGCATATGTTGCTTCGTTTCTTTCACTCAATTCCCTCGCTTTGCCCTCAATTGGACGCCTTAGACCATTGTCTTCATAGTTTTGACCGTTCATTAATCAAGCTCATTCATTCAGACCGAGACTTTTATCACAGAAGCATTTACACAGCTTGTCGAGGTAGGCGTGGTGCAGAAAGAACAGGAAGTCGTTGCAGCTGTCGATCGGGTCGAGCATGAGCCCGCCGAGGCCGCCGCCGTGCGGGCTGCCGTTGTAGCATTGCCTGCATTGGCAATCAGTAAACTCATCAGGGGTGGGCAGTAAGCCCATATATTCCGCTCCCCGCTGGTTCTGCACTAATATAGCATAACCCTGTATCAGTGGGCCAAACACGGCGTTGACGTTTATACATAGGTTTATGACGTTCTCTTCCACTCCAAGTCAGGTCGGTACGGTGCACAGGAGCAGCACGACGTCGCCTTCCTCTTCCATAACGTGACCCTGTCCGAGTCGCTCAGCCCCACCGACCAGGCCGACCAGAAGAAGACCTTCGAGCCGCTGAGCTACCTGATGACGAGCATGTGGATTAGCTTTATCAACACTCTAGATCCCAACAATATCCCTAGTAAGTCGCTGCTATGTTCACGCGCATTACTTTTTTTACGACGGGCCACAGGCACTGACAAAATTCATCTTTAGCTAACCGAGCCAAGACCTGGCCCAAATACAGCCTGACCGAGCCTGAGGCGTTGGTCTTCGATGTGAATGCCACCGAGCTCTGTCGGGTGGAGCTGGATACATATCGGCCGGCCGCAATTTCGCACTGGATTGAGCTGTTTCAGACAAGCGAGTATCCGAAATAAAATGGTAGAGCTGCTTTCTTCTGGGAGGGTTTAGGAATAGGAGCTGGGTTCTGATCCGGGATAGAGGCTTTCTAGGTTGAAGTTTTGTCAAAGTGTACTATTCATGGTTACTATTCATGGTATCCCTGACCATGGTAAGGATACATAATATATTTGACCCCTTACCATAACATGAATACCGAGTCTACCTGTCTATCAATAATACAACTCACCGAAATCTGCAAGTGATATTCAAAAATCTAGATTATGGAAGAGATCTCCCAAATATCAGCGATAACCAAAAAAGATGGAAGAAGAAGATTTGATCAATTCAAAACCCTATGAACCGTTTGGTGCAACCTTGAATGACATCTGAGATTCAATGTGAGTTGCAACTTGCCTGACCAGGGGGCGAGGTCACGGGAGAAGAGACAAAAGTAGAAAATGGCAAGCTTCTTCTTCCCTTCTTTGAAGTCGGAATGATAACGAGGACGCGAGTTTGGTCGGGTCAACATGGTTTGTTTGTGGAAATGGACGGGGCAGTTAAATGCTGTGCCTATTGCGGTAGTGCTAAAGTCCCAAAATCCATGCTCGACCCTATCGCACGAGGCAAATGCTCCATGGTGACTTCCTTTGATGTCACATTTGGCTACTGGTAAACTTCATATACATAGCAGTAAATCTCCATTGTCTCGATTCTCCATTGTTTGGACGGACTATGCGCACCTGTCCATTCTTCTCCATATAATGACCACGCTACTTGTTGGTTCATTGTACACCATCATCGAACCGTTGCCGCATGCACCGCCAACATAAGGTATATATGCCGCCTTATATGTCTGAACAAATGCTTCGCATCTCCTATGGAAAAATTTCCAACCCACCAACACACAAATGTCGGCAGAATTTTCCCCCCGTACACTAACTATGGCCATACCCCAAAACAAGGGACTCATGGCACAAGTCATGCGATGCAGCCAAATTCACAAGGCGCTCCCACGGTCCCGGTCATCCCCCGAAGACCCGCTGCGATGGTTAGAGGTCGAGCACCAATTCCTGACCGACTACCGATCATCGTGTGCCAGCAAGCTGCGAACCCTGCCCATGACGCGGTTGAGCGTCGCCTACGCCCTCGGCAATGTGGAGGTCGCCCTGTCGCAGGCCAGTCCCCTGCAATCCGGCGTCTGGTGCGACGCGCCGGCGCTTGCGTTTGCAGAAGCCCAAGCAGAAGCCAAATACTGGATTCAGCTGGTGTTGCTGACCGTCCGCTGCGGACAACGGGTTCGCACCTACGAGAGCGCGCCGTTCATCCTCACGTGTCCGGACTACAACGTCCCTGACGAGCTTGGCAGCGACCGCAGCGCCGACTTCCGGCAGCAGGCGCTGCGCAGCCTCCGCACCCGGTACCCGAACGCGCACCGCGTGCTGCACGAGCGGCTGGCGGACGCGAAACTCATCCGCTGGCGGATTCTGCAATGGCACCGGCGCGATGCGCCGCTGGGTGGTGGCCCGCCGCAGACGGCCGCCGGAGCGGACAACGACAGCTCGCCGGGCGGTAACTTCCCGCCCCCGCCGGCGCTGAGCCCTGGGGCGGAGCACGTGCAGTGCCCCTATTGCGGCGACTCCATCCCTGCGGCGATCTGTGCGCCCGAGCCCTGGCGCGATCATGTGCTCTACGACTTCCACCCGTACATCTGCTTGCATGAGCAGTGCGGCGTGGATGCGGCGTTTCCGACGATCGAGGAGTGGAAGGCGCATATGGTCAAACATGACTGGAGGGATTTGGCGGATGAGAAGTGCCCCCTCTGTTTCAAGTGGTTGGGGCCCAGTGCCATTGCCCATTTGACGGGGCACCTCCACCAGGAGATTATGGGCATTCGGGCCTTGCCTCCTTACCCTTGATACCTTCATTTGTTTGGTTGAGACGGAGCTTGACAATGATGGTGCCCTTGACGTGAGGTCGCTTCTTCATGAAGAAGTATAGGGCTTCTAGGTCGCTTTAGCTTGACTAATTTGAGCATATCTCTCTTACAAAGTCATCCAATTCGAAATGTATGACCTTTTTCCGGACTTCCAGATTTTACTAGAATTGAATGCAGAGATAACTTTATTTTGATCGCGCTCCTTGCAGATTTTGTTGGTTTTTGCTAGTTTTAACCAGATTCTTTCATGATTGCGACGCATGCTAAGTGCTGAGCCCTGCGAGGGACTGGCTACCAAGCAACAAGTGATTGGCTGCGCTGAATACCTACCCTCAGGTCTCTGTGCTCAAGGCTTCTTGAATTTGCAATTATCTATGATCCTTGCGGTTTGTATCTATACTTTCTGCTGTTATGTAATGCCTCTCTGAGTGCGAGGTCTTTTTACTTACTTAAACCACCTTGTTTGTGTGAGCTACCCCACTTGTATAAGCCACCTAGCAACTTGCTAATTCCAGAAACAAAGCCTAACAAAGCTGCCAGGTGTGGCAGGCTAATTGACAATCCGGGTAGCTCACATCGTGCTTTCTTCATTCTGCTGCATGCTTACACAGTTTCTCTTCACGCCTTCTCTATGAGATTGCATAGTTGAGGCAGGAGCATTCCTCTCGCAGTCTATATGAACCCATCATTCCCTTGTGGCAAGCTCAGAACAACGATTCTATGAATCCCTTCACTTCACAAGACTGATCCCTATGCCTCATCCTTCTAGCGATACAGTTTACTTTACCTTTATTGTAGCGGAATCTGAATTGTATTATTACTAAGATTGTCGTTCCACTCAAGACACCACCCATAGCAGTATTATATTTGCCACTGATTCCGCTCCCTGGCATCCTGATCAACCCCGTCTGCCACGACCATCTACATCACCGACATTCGGTACACAGACCCCGACCACCCCATACCGGCTACACGCTACCCTTTCCCTCCCGTTCAAACCGTTTGCTTCTTGAGTTCCAGAACCCTTCCCACAATCACTTGCATCCATGAATTCAAAATTCGCCAAGTGAGTTCCTGAGCCCTGTTGTGAGGATCCTCGTGGCTAAATACTGACTACAATTCTGCAACAGATCCATCTCATCTCGTTTGTTTACTTTCATTGTCGGTTCGGAAGAGAAGAGGATCACCGTTCACTCCGACGTCCTAGCCAGCCTCTCGTCCGAGCTTGACAGCCTCCTAAACGCGCGGTTGCTTGAAAAAGGGGTCAGCGAACTCGACTGGTCGTATGTCGAGGCGGACACATTCATCCGACTGTGCGAGTACGCGTACGTCGGCGACTACACGCTCCCTCCGGATATCATCAGGAACTCTAAGCCATTGGGTGGTCAATCTCAGCTGAGGGCTGATACAAAACCGTTCCTTCCGCGCCCGTCAAGAGATAGGGGAGGGATCTACAGTGAATCATGGAGACCTCGACTACCCTCCGTCTATTTAGATAGATCAGCCGCACAGTCAGAAAAGCCCGGTGCGGCAGCCCAGGATCTACCTCGGATTTTCAACCCGTCTAGTACTCGCGATGCCTTCAACCATCTCCACACTTGTCTCACGGCCAGACGGGGCCAAGTCTCCGAAGAGAGAAAAAAGGCCTACGCGCCTCGCAAGATACCCCTCCACCTCCGGAAGCAACTTACGCCCAACCTTCTCGGCCATGCCAAGCTATGCGTCCTGGCGGAGCAACACGGCATCGTTCCCCTTCGGGATCTCGTTTTAGAAAAGCTGGCGACGACACTCCGAGAGTTTGAGTTGTTCGAGGACCACGTGGACTATCTGATTGATCTGGTGCGCTTCTCGTACCTCCATACACGCCCTCGGGACGATGAGATATTTTGTTTGCGGGATTTGCTGGCGACCTATGTTTTCTCGAGGCTGAAGCAACTCTATGAAAGCGTGAAGTTCCTGGACTTCGCGCGCGAAGAAGGCGACTTTGTGGTCGAGGTCAGGCAGAAAAAGTACAATTGGCGGATGAGGTGGGGGCAGTTGGACAGGTGTCCTAAGCGCCCCGATCCCTTTGCCTTTGGCTGAGTGCCTAGCTCACCTTGTGACACTTTACTTTGTTAGTTTAGTTTTGGAGTACAGAGATACTTGAGGAGAATAGCAGATAGCTTTCAAAGCAGCACATCTTAAGAACTCAGCTCAACAATCCAACCACCAAGAATTTAAGAAATTGTTCCATATAGCCCATCCCTGAGACATCCAATCGCTTATACATCTTCTGTCACAGTGCAACCAGGAGTTTCTGTCTTACTTCGGATGAATCCCTCGTATACAATCTTAGCCTTGTACCTCGTCGACCCTTTTAACTACCTTGCCCTTTAGTAAATTGAATCAGGGTTAACAAAGATGCACAGTTGTGCTAACACATTGTATGTACTAACCCCTATATGAGTGAGTTACCGGTAGATCAATAAGTATTAATAAGTAACGAATAGACCAAGGAATACATCCAGGAACCTAGAAGCCAACAGCCTCTGGCACCAGGGAATAAGATAGCAAACTGGTTTTAGCCGAAATTCAGACCGCATGACCCTGCCATCCCAGGTATGTAGGAGCTAATCAGTGTGAGGCTCTTTGGCGGAGGTATTTTATTGTTGCACCTAAAGCTTGTGAGCCTATGTGGAATTGCAGTATTTAAAATCCATTACGCGGACTTTTGACTAGAAAGAGAGACCTCAGCGCTGACTCTTGGTGCTGTAGCAGCTCATGGACTTTCCCAATCTCGGCAACGTGGCCCTAATCCAGGACAACAACGGAGTCTGCACTAACGATCGGTTCCAACCGGTGAGCCACCACGAGAACGGTATATCCTCTGAGCTCCTCACATAGCACCTTTCGTATCAGTGCGTCGGTCTCAAGGTCGATGCTACTAGCAGCCTCATCCAGCAGCACCACTTTGCCCCGCGACCGGCGAAGCAGGAGAGCCCGCGCAAGTGAGAACAGCTGCAACTGGCCCTGAAATAGAGGCCACTCCCGCATGGGAACGTCAAGAAACGCACTCGCGGCGAAGCCAGAATCCAGAGCTTTGTTGTCCAACTGCGAGCGGAGATGGACCGTATCCCGAGCATCCAGAATCTGCTCATCGGTCGCGAGTCCCGCGGCGTCCGGGTTGTGACGTACCGAGTCGCTCGCCAAAATGAACGAGTCCTGTGGGATGGTACTCGATCGAGACCGTACCACGTCCCGTGGGATCGAGGTCAGATCTAGGCCATCAATGGCGTTACTCCCCTCGGACAGCTCGAGCAGATGTGCGAAACTCAACAGAAGAGAGGGGTTGCCGCTGCCGGTGCATCCGCAGATGCTAATGGTTTGGCCCGGGTCCACCTTCAACGAGGTATGGTCGAGAGCGTGGGCGGCTCCCGAAGGTGCTCCGGTCGGCTGGACATATAGTAGTCGGCAACCACATTCCTCGCCTCAACCGCACCGGTGACGGGCCATGATTTGGGCAGTACGGTTGGCGAGGTCGGCTTTGGCTCGGGGAACCCCGTCTTCACAGAGTCCATGATGCGTGGAATGACGCCCCGCGAGGCCTCGCAGTTGGCCCATGATTGGACCGTGATCAACAGGGCCCTAGTGACTATCAGAATCACGTTCACACTTAGTCCCACATCGCCGGCTGTGAAATTATTCCTCAGGGTGACAATAAGGATCATGTTGAGCAGGGTCACCCCAGCGACTACCAAGTCAAGCACGAGGGTCAGCTGCTCTTCGAGTGAAAAGAATGTATATGAGGGTAATTTGGCTGCATTTACTGCTTTGCTGTTCTCGGCACCATACGCATCTTCCCATCCAAACGCGTGAATGGTGGCAATTCCCTGGTCGGTCTCCAAGAAGTTGCTGCTGGGAAGTGCATTTACCTCCGTACTGAGCCATCGAAGCTGCCCGCTGGTGGAGTAGGTATGTATATCTTCTGAAACCCCAAATGATACAGGATCTCTCAATTTCGACCAAGGTGGAGTTATCTCGCTATTCAAAACAATACCTTTCACACTGAATAAGCAGAAGGTGATCAATTCGAACCGAACCCGCGCATTGTCATGTGAACTTCGAGGGCAAGTCGGGACAGGTGAGTCTATCGGCCGAGTCACAAGCATCAATCAGCCACCCGCAGATATATGTGATCCACATTAACGCCATGGCTAGAGTAAATAAGAATTGCGGCATGGCTCAATGAAACCAGAAGGAGGGATTGCTCCCTTGGTAACACCCAAGTTCACCAAAAGCACATACAACTGTCTACCTGCGTCACTATTCAAGACTACTCGGTACTAGGGTCACACCCGCCCTACTCAGCTAAACGTACATTGACCCCGCCTTTCAACCGTCAGCCGCAAGTCGCGCAGCCCGCACCGGCCTTTCCCCTACAAGATGTGCTCACCTGCCCAGCTCCCACTTCACTTCAGAACTTTCTTTCCAGGACAACAGGTAGGGGACAAAGAAAACCCCAAACAAGACTCATTTTGATGTCACGATGGCCAACCAAACCCCATACTTCTTCTTCGCGCCCACGTGGGACTACCCGCCGCCGCCCGCCGGGCCCATCCAGCTGGGCAACGTGCTTACCTCGCTGCACAAACCCGACCAGCCCCTCTTCACCGCATCCCTGCCCGCCGAATCCGAGGTCTTTGCCTCCGACAAGACCGGTGTGACCTTCTCGCGCGAGCGCCTGCGGGCTGGGAAATTCGGGATCCTCACGCAATTTCTCTCGTTCTTGGGGGTGGGGGTTGATGTTGGAGGTGGGTGGGAGAGAAGGTGAGTTCTTTTTCTTTTTTTTTTAGGACGGTGTTTCTGAATGAGTAATACTTTGATCTATACGGATGATAGTTTACAAGGGCACATACCCTAAATACATGACGTAGAAAGAAAAACACAGAAAGTTCTGACCCCGCGTGTGCAGCGACGAGGAGACCTTCCGTTTCGAGACCATCACCACCTCGCAATTCGTGCCCCGTCCTAGCTACGTCCAAGAGAAATGCATCGATGCCTCCCCTGTGGTGCAGCGGTGGCTCGAGCGATCCCGCTACAGGAAGCCGCTGTATCTCATCGTGGGGTTGAAGGTGGTCCACGGGGCGAAGGCGGGCCGGTCGCGGACCGGGCGGGAGATCAGCGGCAATCTGGCGGCCACCGTGGACGGCACGGTGTGGAGTGGCGGCGTGGTTCCGGTGGCTGGGGGCCCGGAGTTTGAACTCACCCGGTCCAGGAAGGTGGGTATGGACTGGGAGAACGGGGGGGATTTCGTTCTAGCATTTCGTGTCAAACGGATCAAGGTGGCAAGGAAGACGAACGAGGTGCGCGAGGTGGAGGATTATGGCAAAGGCGCCATGCTGGGGAATGAGCCCGTAGTACTGGGAGGACCGCGGGGTATTCTTGTTCTTGAGGAGGACGAGCTGGAAGTGGGCGATGATGGGAAAGAGTGGACAGGCGTGCAAATGACGGAGGGAGACGAGCTCATTACAGTTGGCGTACCTCGGCCGGATGGCGCAGCAAGTCTCCAAAGATTTACCGGCGGAGTATATCGCGCAGTGTATGGTTGATGAACTCTGGGTCCTTCCCAAATAGATTATCGGAATAAAGGCTCAAGGCCATAAAATGGTAGTCGTCGCGAGCTCGCGAGTCCAGGCTCTTCTCCGCGATCTTCCGCAGCACGGCTTGCATTTTCGACCGTCGTTGCAACAGGTACGCATGCTCGGGGATATGTAGCCGAGTGTACTGCAGCAGGAAGCCCGCAATGGAAACCGCGATGGGGGTGGCATATGATGTCCCCGATTTATGCTTGAGGCCGGACGGCGATTCGCAGAGACGCACTGGCCAAGCGGACTCCACGGCCTCGCCGACCGTGGCCAGGTTCAGTGTGTCCGCGAGAGCAGTAGGGCTAAAGGGTGAGCGGTTCCCATTTGCATCTGTCGAATTGATACAGATCACATTCTCATCTCGAGCTGGGTAAGCCCTGTCCAGGTTCGCACCGCTGTTCGAAGCGGCAGCAAAGAGAAGAACATGGCTGGAGTATGCGTTGTGAATGGCACGTTCCAGCTCATCGTAGCCTTCGACATCCCTTGTGTGAAACCCAAACGACATGGAGATGATGTCAACGTCCCATTCGTTGACTGCATAGTTTAGAGCCTGTCAAAGTCAGTTGATGTGCCATCACAACACCGTGCCCGATCTTACCTTGGCGATGATGCTGGGACTGGATGGTTTGCCGTCGGAAATCTTAGCGATGTAGATCTCTGCATCGGGACAATATTCCATGAGCAAGCTCGTGATAAAGGTTCCGTGGCCGTTGTAGTCGTCGACCAGCCGGGGAAATTTCTCGTTCGTCCAATTGAATTGACCCTTGATCTGCTCAATGCATGCATCTACGTCTGGGTGTGTCTGATCCACTCCGGTATCGAAAACAGCGATTTTCACTGGAATATTGGGCGGCTGAAAGATGTGCTTCTCGTAGACATCTTTATATCTTTGACGCCAGTTGCGGTAATTGATACATCTGTTTCGTTGATGCTCACTGTTAGCTGGACCTACAGCTGAAAGGGTCATTTTGTAGACTTACGCTTCCGCTGAATGCTCTTCGGCAGTTGTTTCATCATCAAAGAATTTCATGCTTGAGTAAGGAACCTGAGCCGTTATCCCTGGTTGGTGCACGGGCATTGTAGAAGAAATAGGCTGAAAAATAGGCATCACTGGCAATGTGACCGATCCCTGAAGATGCGCTAGATATCTTTGCTGTTGTTGATATTGATCTTTCAAGTCTTGGATCGATGAGAGCCCCTGTGCTGGTCTCAACGCCATGTTGACGGGAGTTCCAGGAGAACGAGGAGAAGCCTGGTAAGTTTGGATAGCCTGACCCCAACTAGCCAGATCCAGGCTTTGTGCAATGCGATCAAGTTGTTCAAGAGAAATGTAGCTAAAGGCTTGGCTCAGCTCATCCTCTAATGGACTAACAACCTCCTGGTATATTGCAGTTTTCAATGCATTGTCGCTTAAGCGGGCTCCATTGTTGTCCTCCCACACCTTTGGATCTAAGCATTTCTTCACGGCGTAATGAAACTGGGAATTCTCCGGGATTTCATTTTTGCACTGTTCAAACACTAGCTCTGCATCGATGGACCTCGTCCGATCATTCAAAGGCACACCGTATTTTTCAGCTAGTTCTTCGAAGGGAGTGGCGAGATACAGCTCCATCAACACAATCCCCAACGTCACCAGATGCGGACACTGATGTATCATAATGTCATCAGGGTCTAAGTCGTCGGGATCAAAGTCATCTGAGTCTATAATGGAAATGCTCGGAGAAGCGACCGCGTGATCTTTTGCCAATTGAGTTTGGATAAAGGGCTTGAGAGGAATCGCCGACGAAGTCGTGTGGAAGAACAAGATACTCGAAGGGCCCCATGAGGGCGGAAGCCAGGGAGTCTCATGGAGGTATAGAACAGCGTATCCGAGAATCACGGCCAAAATACGTTTGGTCTTATCGGTCAGCGACCTGTACTGGCCCTGGATAAAGTGCTGCAGTGAGACCGGCGCTTTAGTCTCATCCACTGCAAAGCAGGACTTTTCGGAACGCAGCTTCCACAGTCGTCCATCTTCCCCAACTTTCAGCTTAAGACGATCATAGGGCTTTCTCTTCTTAATCGGTTCACATAGACTCTTGATCTTCATGGCGGGGACCTTTGGCCTCTGCGTGGTTTTGTTGGTCTGCGCAAAGTTTATTCCGGCACTCTTAGCGAAACACACGTCAGCCTCGTGCCATTCCTGTTGCATCGATAGAAACATCTCGAACGCGCAGTCGTGCTCCCGCTCCTTCTCAGTCTCCGGGAGAGTTTGAAATGTTCCCAGACAAAGCCGAACACCGAAGTCATGTACAGGCTGACATGTACAGTCTTTCGACTCCACCAGGGCAAGGAACAATGACTGTGGGGCATTCAGGACCAAGTATGACGGCTGTCTTCTATTCTTCTTCAAGCTGGCCATATCATCTCGAGCCCACAGTGCCGGATCGTCGGGATATTGAACCTTGAGGTCATCTTCCCAGTCTTCGAAAAATTCAATCAGCTTATCCGGTTGCTCTGGGTCTTCTGTAAGGTCGATTGAGAGCATTAAGAGCTGCAGTTCCATTGTACCGCCCTCACGGCGAGCATGGTTCCATGCGTCGAGTAGCGTTGCGAGCCGAGGGTAAGCCGTGGTTGAGAGCACCGATCGAGTTTTCAAGAAATGAGAGGTGGCTTGAATTTTCAAGACATCAGAGGTGACGGTTGCCTCGAGTCGAAGCAACATGCTTGTGATCAGATTATTATCATCGGCAATGAAGGCCTCGATGCGGCTGATGTGATCGTGAACCATCAAGCAATGAGCCATGACGCTGCTGTAGAAATGCTTAGACTCTCGGGTAGCGCCGTGGCTCCGGAGATATTTCGCAATTTCACGAAGCATCTCCGACACCTGGAGCAACAGTTCCACATTTTGAATGACGGTCATGGTCATCCCTTACATCGCTCGGCGTGCTGATGTTCCCCGAGGCTGAGGGCGCGCGGAAGAGTGAAGATGCGGGGTATGCCTTATCGATGCCTCAAAACCACTAAACCGCTTTGGGCCAGGCCTGCCTGCCTGCCCCTCACGTCTCAGCCTTGCATCTTCTTTCTCATCAATCACTCAGTCGGCCTTTCGTCAACTGATTTCTCGAACTTGCTTCCTTCGGGGAAAGGAATTAACGGCATGCCACCAGAGCCAAAACAGTTCCACACAATTGCGGCGACGGCCGATCGATGCTTGAATCTTTTCCAGCAATGTTTGCAGCAGTCTGCATCGATCTCGTCCCTGGAAATGACCTTGGTGGAAGACCAGCTCGCGCGTTTCTCTCTCTGGGCGGCCAATATCGGTGTTTTTGCCGGAGGACGCGCCTCATTGGATCACCGCCTAAGAGAAGCACAGGAGGTGCATGAAGTGATTATCGGGCTTCTGGAAACGCTAGAAGACCAAGTCGAAGCCTGTAAGTGAGACAAATGTCTCGTTAGGATGGGATGCTAGATATACTGAATTATCTTTCAGGGTCGCACATGCTTTGCGAGTCGGATTCCAGATCTCAGATATCGGACACTGGTCTTTCATCTGCAAGCGATACGATCACTCGTTCGAGGCGCGGCGTTGTCGGCCAGATAGCGCTCCTTCATCGACTGTCTAATACGATCCGAAGAGCGAGCAGCGAGGCCCACAATGCAAAAGTGTCCACATCATTCAGGATCCGGGATGAAGAGGGGAACGATGTGGAGCCATGTCTGGAAGTCGTGTTCGCAAATTACGTCCGCGACAGATTCCGTAACGTGGACGAAAAAATCCTGCGTCGACTGGTCTCCGCGATGATCCTTCGCCGAAGACGGGTGCTGTACAAGAGATCTCGTTTCGGCCATCAGGCGTTGAAAGTACCATTCATAAATTCTCCGCCGAAAAAGATACCGCCGCCGACGGATGCGCCTCGACAGATCAGTACCCCTGTGATCCCGTCGGCACCGCCTCCAATTGCCAGCGAAATGCCGGCGAACTCACAAGCTGGAGTCAGTGCAACCACGCTAGCCGTCGAAAGATTCAGAAAGGCCTCTACCCCTTCCACAGTCTCGGGTGCGAGAACTGTAGCGCTGGACAGCCACGAAGCGCTGCCATTCCCGGCACCACCTCTTGGTCGTGTGAGGCAAAGATACAGGAAAATAAGAAAAGGCCTGGAGGAGAAACATAGACTGAACCTGCAGTCATTGTCCGACAAGTGCGACACTGAATCGCCTTCCACCCTTGAGGCCCTCAAAAGGAAAGCGGAAGCGGATCTCAAGCAAGATCTGGATAGGAACTGGGATTTGTGTGTCGAAGCCATCGGAGAAATGACATGTCCATTTTGCTTCTACGCTGTTACAGCACGGGAGATGCAGAATGATGCGAAGTGGAAGTAGGTACCACCAGTGGTCTCTCTCACGAAACCTCTTCAGTCCGTTCATACTCAGTCTCCAGAAGGTCCTGACTAGGAGGTCTAGGGCTCACGTTAAGAATGATCTGGATGCATACGTTTGCCTCTTCGACGAATGCGAGACTCCAGATCAACTATATAGTCACACCGAACAATGGTTGAAACATATGCAAGACCATGCCTTGCGCTGGCGCTGCAATTCTAAGTCGCACGGGCTGTCGACTTTCCTCTCACGAGATCGCTATATAGACCACATGCGACAGGCTCACCAGGGGGCCTTCAGTGATGCCCAGCTCCGCGTGCTGGCTGACAGGAACGCGCGTGCGGTTGAACCACTGTTCGAATCATGTCCACTCTGTGGCTCCGGCGATACTTCGCAGGCAGGCACGATCATAGAGCATATCGTGGGGCATTTGAGGTACCTTGCTCTACAATCTCTGCCGCCGTATGAGGATGAAGGGTCGGAAAGCTCGGCTGCTGAAATCGCGAGTTCACGAGCATCAAAGCCTCATAAGCGGAGCA